ATGGAGATGTTTACTGATTCATCACCTTCCACCCCATAGCGTCGTTTAGCAAGCCAGAAACTCTCAGGGCAGCCAAAAAAAACTAAAACCCCAAGGGGAACCTGGATGCATTTTCGGGATGGATCAACCCTAAAAACGGGAACGTTCGTTGTGTTCAGGGTTGATGCCTCCCTAGTCGCATCCATTTCCGAATGAGTATTTTTTTTTCTGTGCGTTTCCGATCAGGGAGTGATATTTATCACCCATAATGAATTTGTTTTTGGACCCACAAATTAACACAGCAATATTTACTTCCAGAAGAACGCGATGTGCGCGTAGTAGTAGACGGCAGTTGTAACCATTATTTCAAAAAGTTGGACACACAGTTTGGTATTGATAGCTTTTCTCTTTTAGTCACGGCTCGGCTTGTTCGCCTAGCCTCTTGGGCAGCTAGGCTTCGAAAATCCTACGGTCGAGATTTTCTAGCCCTACTTCGGTCATCCCTCTGGCACTCTTCGGCCTCAGTTTGATAATTTCCCACATCCAGTGATTCCCCTGGCCACGTGGCTTGTGGTGTTCGCATTTCGCGTCAGCTTTCGCATCGCGATTTCCACAAAACCGACATCGAAATTTGGTTGGAAACGGAACAGAACTTGGCTGCTGAAGAAGTGGTTGTTGTGATATATCCACTATAAGCTCACTAGGTTATTGTACAGTTGTGGCCTAAGCACCAAGCGACTCACTGCTCATCATATTTAGGATCTGTACTCTTTTTCCTTCATCCAGCAACTGAGTAGCTAGGTCGAATGCCGTTAGCCCATTCAAATCCGGCTGCAATGGATCAAACCTCCGAGAAGCTAGAAGAAGAGAACACACTCCCACATGCCCCCACCCCACTGCAACATGGAGTGCACTACGCTTGCTCCTTCCTCTATCCTTGCTACACCTATTATCATCTCCTCCTCCTCTAGCTGCTGTTCCCTCCTGCACCCCCTTCTGGTGTTCCTGCTCTTGCTTCTCCAGCAGCCACTCAACAGCTGCCACATGCCCCCTACTCGCCGCCCAGTACAAAGGCGTGGTGCCAGAATTATCCGAAGGATCCAGGTCAGCCCCGTGCTGACTCAGCGCGCGCATGGCATCCACATGGCCAGCTGCAGCAGCACGATGAAAAGGTGTTGCCCCAGATGCATCCTTAGTGTTGACATCAACTAAAGCTGTGGCTGCCGACGCATCGCAACTGTTTGAGTCAACTAGAGGTAGCTTACTGCCAGAGTTACCAAGCTCAATCGGCCTGGAAAGCTGAGCAAATGAATTTGTTTGGGTGTTAGTATTGGTGCTTGTCTGAGAGCTGGGATTGGCTTGACCTGGTGCTGTGGCGCCACCAGCGAGCAAATTGATGACTGCCACGTGTCCCCCTGCAGCTGCCTCGTGGATCGGCTCTGAACCAGAAGAGTCCCGTGCCGTGGGATCGGCGCCGTGCTTCAGCAGCAACTCACAGACCGCCACGTGGCCATGCAGGCAGGAGGAATGCAGGGGTGTACGGCCGTTGCGCGTGCGCGAATTCACAAACAATTGTGATTGGCGTTCGCTGTTCACCAAGGGACTACGGGCCGGACATGTGAGAGAAGACACTGATGCAGTTGAACTGGATGTGGGAGAAGCAGACGCGCCTGCACAGCCCACACCTTCGTCTTTATTTTCTCCCTCTCCACGAGGCGCTTCACCTGACAAATCCATATGCTTGTCTTCTCTCTCCGCAGCATCCACCAGCATCGCCACCACCTCCTCTACCCCTGCTCGCGCCGCCAGGTGAAGCGCGTTCTCCCCGCACCTGTCCGCCGCCCGCCACGCGCTCGCGCGCCCGCCTCCCGCGCTTCCCCCCGCGGCATTCTCCGAGCTATCGGCGCCGAGTTTCCCCGCGCTTTCCCCCACACGCATGTGCGCCAGCAGGAGCCTCGCGCACTCCGCGTGTCCCCCCGCGGCCGCGCAGAGTAGCGGAGTGAAGCCGTTGGCCTTCCGCGCGGCGGGGAGCGCGCCCAGGGAGAGCAGCAGGCGGGCGATTTCGGCGTGCCCGTGCGCGCACGCCTCGTGAAGCGCGGACTTGCCAGACGGATCACGAAAGTTGACGAAATCCGTTATCTCAGCTGTAACTGTGCTACCGACCGAAAACCATGATGTTCCCACTGTGAACATCATCCATTCCGATTTTTCTAACATATCGGCGCCTTCGAAATTGCTGATTTTGAAAGTCGAGATTCCAAATCTATGGTTGAGGATTTTTTGCACACGAGTCAGATCGCCGTCTCTTGCGGCGAGATGAAACGACCGCCAATCGGCGATAGTTGGCGAAGTACCACTACTAGCACCTTCGCGAAGTCGTCTTGTAGAGCTATTAGCGATCGAGGCGGGTCCTGCGCTCGCGGCAGCGCAACGACCCTGTTTGTTTCGTCGTCGTCCCATACCAAAGCGGCTCAAAATGTGCTGGAAAAACCAACGAATCTTCACGCATGAGTTTGCTCAGGTAGTGAGGTAGGCTCCAGAGCATGCAATACTTCGTGCCATCAAGAGTGAAGAGTGCTGTGGCTATCTCCTCTGATGAGTAATTCGTTGTGAGAGTAGAGAAGTTGGATTTAAGTGTTATGGTTAACTCTGGTAACCAGGAGTGGCCGTGAAGTTCGGTGAGGATTGCATTCTCAAGGTTTTGCATCATACACCCTCATTCTCGTTAGACTGGCATATGATATAATGACCGGGACGCTTAGTGTAGCCGCAGCGGACCAAAGATGGTCCTATCACATGCGTTATACTGACAGTTTGACCCAGGGCGTTTAGTCAGGGTTGTATACGTTCTAGAATGGTAATGATTTGTTCTAAACGGTTTAGACAGCTATTCAGCGTTAACGGAATTTTACGGCCCAAGTCTGGTTTCGTCGCCTCGTGCGACTTGGCCCGCAACCGAGTTATCTCACCAGCCCGCTACGTCCAAACACTGTAGCCACTGCTTCCGCCGGTGAGAAGACTGAGAATAAGGGTGTATCGATATTTTGGCGTGAAACCACAGTAACCCAGCTGCAAGCAACCTCCCTCCCACTAGGGCGTCCGCTGGCAATATCGCAGATCATCGTCACACCACATGCGACACTCGCTCAAGAAACAAAACCAGCCTCAACCACCCCAAGAAAACCGGCGACTGGGTCAGGCTAGGTGGCCTGCTGCTGGGCTGAAATGTATTTTTCTTCGGGGTCGCCGAAATTTGACGTGGTGAGGTGAGGTGATGGGGCCAAAAGTACAAATCTCAACACCACACTGCCAACCTGGCGATTGCCGTGCCGAACCAGGCCCAGGTGGTTCTGCTCGGCTGGATGGCTGGCTGCCCGCATACCAACGAGGCGCGAATGAAGCACTGCGAAGCGCACATGTTGACCAACCACCGGCCCAGACCACCACCAGACCTGACTCACCCGCCCCACAAATTGTCTTTTTCCCCCACATCTTACCTCATCCCCCAAACCTATCCCATAACATCCCATCCCATCCCTTTCCATCCCATCTCATCCCATCCCATCCCATCCCATCCCATCTCATCCCATTCCTCTTACGACATCTTTAAGGGCGCGTGTCTTTTTGTGTAGAAGTTCGAAAAAAGGTCGAGCTTTTGCTGGTAGCCAGCTTCGCCAATCTCGTACAGAGCTATTGACGACGAACATGTGTCCAAGCTCAAAGTTACTGAAACAGAAGGACACTGAACTAGGGTCGACCTCGCATTCGACTATCCCCGAGCACGTTTCTCCAATCGTGTGTTCTTCGAAGAAGCTGCGAGATTCGCGATGGTTACGAACCACGTCGCGCCAGGTTACCAGAGTTTAAAGTGCTAACGAGCTTCACTGTATAGACAGGGTAACCTTCGAAACTTGGTGCGACTCGGATTTTACTGTACAAGTTCGACCTTTGAAAGTCGAGCATTTCTTGTGCCATGTGCTCCACGTCAAGGTGAACACGCGACTCGACAAAGAAATGACGAGATAGTCGACTACAGGTCGACCTGTGGCCTAAAATACATGAACTTTGGCCTAAATTTCAAAAGACACGCGCCCTGACTACCTCTTTCTCTTGTTCGCACCCAAACACACCCCCCCCCCCCACACCCCCCCCCCCCCCCCCCCCTCCCCCCCACACGCTCGTCTCCCCTTTCCTCTCCTCCTGCGGTAAGTATTTTCAAGAAAGCCATCATCTCCTCATCTTGCGGCTACTCGACTCCTGCTTCTCCTGGGCCAACTGCTCTTTTGCTCATAACTCCCCGCTCATTCTTCCCCACTACACCAGCTCCTTTCGATCAGATAGCTGCCTGTTCGGTACCCAATCTTCCCAGGATCGTGATTCTCGTCTGGCACTCTCAATCTATTCAGTTGGTTCCCGCTACTTCATCCCACTTATTGTTTTAGAGCCGTTTAGTCTTCTCATTTGTCTGAAGTGTAGACTTTTCCTGGCGGATTTATCGTTCCCCGCAGCAAAGCTTTTTGAGTCGACTAGAACTATAACCACTCGCACCGCTCACTCAGCAAGCTTCTTCTTGGTCGGGGACTTACACGCTTAGGGTTTGATAACAATAGCTTCTTTAAGTTCTTCTTGGTTGCCGACTTTGCCGTCGCCATGACTCGGTTGCGGCAGCATCTCGCGCTGTCAATCGCCGTAACCACTCTCGGTACTAGCTACGTTTCTCTTTGAACGTCTTTTTTTTCTCCTTTTTCTGTTCTTTTTTTAAGCTAGACATTCGTTTAGCTAGACACCTCAACACATTTTTCGGCTTTTTTGTTCTTTCATTTTCACCTCGCTTTCGGTTTGAATCCGCGTGTAGCGCGGATCCTTCTTTGCAAAGCGCCCCAAAGGTCACGCGTAGCTTACTGTGATATTGCACCCGCTGCACTACTTTACCTGGCCCAATAGGCTTGCTCCTCCCCCTTCACCTCTCCCGCTTCCGCAACCACGCAGTCGCCGCGTCGCTATGGAGATCAGCTAGCGCGATGGACGCCACCGCCGCCGCCGCCGCCGCCGCCGCCGCTTCAGCCGTTGCCGTTACTTCCCAGCGGTGGCCGAAAATAGTAGGTCAGTGCCCTCCTCGTTTTCCCCACTCCCTTACTCTTCGAGCGAACTTCCCACGCGGCGGCGTTTCCCGCTTCGCGTCATCGCTTTGGCGTGAGCGCTTTCGCACAATTGCCGCAAGCACTTCTTTCCCACGCGTTTGAAACTAGGTGGCTTAATCCCCTCAACCCGCCCCAACCCGCCCCCATCCGCGCTACAGTGCACTCCGAGTCTCCTTTAAGGCCATGTCTTCGGGTATTTGAAGGAATTAACGGCGTCGCCACCATTTCCTCCTTAAAGTCACAGTGAGTACAGTCACACCACCCCCTTCCCTATAGTACTCCCCTATTGCCCTCTGCTGTAAGCATCCCCTTGCCTTCGCCATTTGTCACTCTTCCTCTCATCTCCCCCTTCACCTTTTTTTCCTCCCTTCTCCTCCCAACCTCACACCCCTCCATCTCCTCCCCTATTTTCTCCCCTCCCCCTCTCTCCATCCCCCCCTTCCACCCCTCTGCCCATCTTTCCCAATTCAGAGCAGGCAAAGATTCTGTCTCCTACTCCCTCGTGATCTCCGGAACCGCCTCTCCCCCTACACACTCCAGCCTCGTTATAGGCAACCCCTGTAACCCGCTCATGTCACCAAAACATTTTCTCACTATGAACGGCACCTGGGTAGCCTGGTCATACAAGAATCAGCCCGCCTGGATGTTACAGGGCAGGGTTACTACCCCCAAATTGGTCCGTGCTGTGCTGTCCTACGGCCGATCGTACGGTGGAGATTTGTCCGATCTGCGTGTGGCGTTTTTCGGCAATCAGACACTCGTGGGGAGAATGAAGTTAGTGGGAGTGACAACTGTTGCTCCAGTAATGCCGTCTACACTCATCACTCAACGTCTTGCTCGATTTGGTACTGGACCAGAAGTTTCTGTTTCTTCTGAGGTTCCTGGTGCAAGTGACAAGTGGTATATGGAGTCTGGGCGGTGGACAGCTAGCAGACAAGGGCGGCCACTGGGACATGGATTAAGAGGCGAAGAAGAAGCATGGTGAAGCGGCTTTGCATGGAAGGGAAGCACAGCATGACATCCATGCATAGAGTTCAAATGAATTGATGATATCCATGGGCCCTCACTCATGGGGATAAGCAGCAAGATGGGAGTGAGTTCGTGTGGCATGTTTATTGTAGGTCCACGTTACAAACAGTGTTCATGCCACACCTAATTCATTTATTCTTTTATTTTTTGTTCACGTTAGCAGCAAGACCCCCCCACCCCATCAAGCTAACAAAATTCCACTCACCAGCGGAGACAGCAATGGGGGTGAGCAAGAACCTGAAGGCAGATTCACAAGCATGAACTTTAGTGTGTACGTCCTGTTTTGGGTCAGCTACACTGCAGCAGGTGCCATATCGGCCGGCATCCAACCAGTTGTGGTCAAAGGTAAGTATGTTTTAAGAAATCATCATACAGAGTGTTTTGTACAAAAATCCCCTCTATTGAGCTGCTGACCCTGTAGCTGCTGCTCCTGACTCTTCAGTCTCTGTCGGCACACCCAGGAAAATGTTTCCGGGCAGTGTGACTGGGTTCTTGAGCTCCACTACCACTTTTTTCCAGTCCGGGCGGCGGTAGTATCCAAACCGGCTCCGCTTCTTCTTGCCCTCATAATTCATTGTGTGTACCCGGCTCACTTCAAGGTTGTATAGCGTCTCTAGGTAACGACGAATCTCCACCTATCAGGAAAGCACAAGCGGGGGAAGGAGAGAAAATGTAACGCGCTTTTGAATAATTCTCAAAAGTGACACAAACATCACTTCAAGGTTGTATAGCGTCTCAAGGTAATGGCAGAATTCCACTTACCTAGTAAGCACAAGTGAGCACAAGGGAGGAAAAGAAAGCAATTGTAACGCTTTCAAGATTCAATCATCACTTCAAGGCTGTAGACTGTCTCAAGGTAAAGGCGAATCTCCACCTACCAGGTAAGCACAAGTGAGCACTAGGGAGGGAAAGAGAGGGATTGTGACAGATACAAGGTAAGTGAGGGAGAGAGAGAGGAGGGTATGGGAGAGGGTGAGGGGGAATGGCAGGAGAAAGGGCGAGAAATGGAAGGGACGGGAAGGGACGGGAAGGGACGGGAGAGGAGAAGGGATGGACACGGGAAGCGACTTTTGAGGCGCCTCCTGTCTCGCGGTTTTGAGGCGCCTCCTGTCTCGCGGTTTTGAGGCGCCTCCTGTCTCGCGGTTTTGAGGCGCCTCCTGTCTCGCGGTTTTGAGGCGCCTCAAAAGAAGGGATGGACACGGGAAGAGGAAGAGCCAGCAATTAAATGGGAAGAGAAGGGTTAGAGCATGTAAAAGGGCGCCTCGTTCCTCCACAGCCTGGAAAGGGGAGCGACCATGCAAGGCAGATAACAGGAGGTGCTAATGGAAGGGTTGTGTTTTGAGTCGACTCAGAATATGAGAAGAGAAGGCAAAGAGCATGAACAAAAGAGCCTCGTTCCTTCACAGCGTGGAAAGTGTAGAACAGGAGATGCTAATGGAAGGGGACGGGCCGATGCGGTTCAAAGGAGGAAAATGGTAGACGGAGGGTGACAGGGAGGCTGAAGACGGAGAGAGAGGGAGAGAGGTGAGAGAGAGGGTGAGATGGGTGTGTGTGAGAGAGAGAGGGGTGAGAGAGGTTAGGGTTGAAAACTGAAACTGTATATTGTCCTAGATAATCCCCTTATTTTTTTTTTGAATTATAGAAAAAAAAATGTATATTGTCCTAGACCAATTTCGGAAAAGTCCTCCCGGGCCTTGATAACTGGCAGATGATCAGGATAAACTATCAGGACAGTGAAAAGTATCTCACCTTATTAACGGACGGTATGGTTCTAAAGACGACCTCCTTAATATTCTCCAGCGACTCGGGCCGGACGATGCGGAGGGGAATGTTCGCGAAGTGGACGAGTCGGCCCATAACGGGGATGCGGAGGATGATACGGAGGAGACGGAGGATGCGGATTCGACTACGCGTTGACACGTGGACGACGGGTGGCGGACGAGTTGGGAAGGTGCGGAACGTGGTTTTGTGCGTTGGCGGATGGTGACTAAGGAACGGATCGTGACTTGCGACGTTGAGGAGGACGGGCCGCGCTCGAGTGGGAGGAAAGCGCGGAATGAATGCGTGGAACGTACGAACGCGACGCGGACGACGCGGCTTGAATCACGGGCACACCGAAAGGCAGACGCGCTACGCGGAAAAGGCAGGAAATGCTTTCTAGCGACACCCAAGCGGACGACACCAGCAGATGAGGGAATTGGGATCGCGAGGATCGAACACGCGGCGCGGAGGTACACCGATGGCGTCGCCACGTTCGCGACACCAAACGAACGATCAGTAAAGAACGAGCCCACGTGCTGTCTCAGACCGCGACGCCTTTGAGGTTCGCCCGTAATACCTAAGTTCCTACGACCCAGCTTGATTTGCTACTTGGTCTACTTTCCTCTCCTGTAGTCTGCTCGGTGGATCTGGATTCCCGATGAGTTCGATACGGTCTAGGGAGATGAAAAAAAAACTTCTTTAAACGGTGCCTCGTTACACATCTACGGAACGAGCACAGAAACTAGGACACATGATTGTGAAGTGTCCCATACAAGCTGCGACATGTTCTATTTTATTCCCACTAAGAACTACCAACCATACATGGACTAAAGTATTCCTAGGCATTTTCACATTTCCGTAAACACTTGAAACCTTCCTCTTCATAGTCCGCACGAGTTATCCAAAAATCGGGCTTGTCCTGAAAACAAGGCACGAAGAAATCACAAGCCGAAAACAAAAGCAAAGAAGGGTGAGTACAATGCCACATGAGAAAACGCCGTACTTACATCTAATTAAAGTCTCAGCCAGAACTAAGCAAAGAAACCTCAGTGCAGTGCATACCTTCATAATATCGGCCAGAACAGCACCCCCAAGAAACACAAGGTGCTTGCGATTCGGGGGGTCTTCAATCCGTAGCTTGAATTTCTGCTTGAATAAAGTTGGTCAAACAGTGTGAAAAGATAACTCTGATGACAGATGAAGGGTGCAAGTCATTCTGACACATGTGTGTGCAGTGCAGGTCGGAATTGAACTCGTCCAGTATATGCATGCATGCTTTTTTGAATCTGTACACAACAATGCCACATACGTCTAACCAGCCCATCACACACACGCACATACACAGACACCCACACACCCACCTTAAAGCCTTCCTTAATGCCCTTTAGCACGTGATTCAGGTGTGCTCCCTCACTTCCCTCTCCGATCAATTTGGCAGCCCGGGAAAACGTTTTTTTAGGCATTTGAAGAAGAGGAGAGAGAAAGCCACTCACCTTGAGTCCGTCCTTATTGCCCTTGAGCACGTGCTTCAGGTAGCAATCCCTCACTTCCCTCTCCAACATATCACATAAGGCGCCTCCCAAGCAACCAAAAACCTCCCAAGCAACCAAAAACCTCCCACGCAACAAAAAACCACCCACGCACCTTGAGTCCGTCCTTATTTCCCTTGAGCACGTGCTTCAGGTAGCGGTCCCTCACTTCCCTCTCCAATCGTGTGGGCAGGCCGGGGAACATGGTAGACCCGCCACACAGCATGATGTGCTGGTACAGCTGGTGGTGTACAAGACGGAAGAGAGGAGAGAGGAGAGAGGAGAGAGGAGGATGATTGAGCGGATGCGCAGTTGGTGGTGGTGGTTTATGGCCATTCCTTGAATGGTTCTAAAGAGATGGTCGCGTCAACCTACAATCAGAATCGAATTAACTATACGTTGTGTCGGATTAGTTCTATGACATTTGCGTGAATGTTCTATGTCCATGTCTTGAATGGATCTGAGGAGACGAGCACATCAGCCTACAATCAGCCAGTACTTAGTCAACCCGTGCAGAAGGAAAGGGGAGTGAAACGCTTACACTCAAGCGATGGTCTATGTCCATGTCTTGAATGGTTCTGAAGATGACATCAGCCTATATAAGTTGCCTATACTAACGTCAATCCGTGCATAAGGAAAGAAGAGTGAAACGCTTACACTCAAGCGATGGTCTATGTCCATGTCTTGAATGGTTCTGAAGACTACATCAGCCTATATAAGTCGCCTATACTAACGTCAATCCGTGCAGAAGGAAAGAAGAGTGAAATGCTTACACTCAAGCGATGGTCTATGTCCATGTCTTGAATGGTTCTGAAGATGACATCGGCTAATCCTAGCCCTTCGTTGTCGATCAGCTCCTGTAAGCATCATGCATACCATGCGATGCCATGCCATGCAAAGATTATTGATTTGACATACGCACCAGTTTTGAGATTCCAAAGGAGGAATGCTACAAATAAACACACACGGGTTGTTCCTTCGCACGACAAAATACTTTTTTTCTTAGGCAAAATGCAGGCGAATCAGAGAGCCTTCGAAATTCGACAAGGGAGTCAACAGCGTGCGGATGGAAAGAAGAAACATGGTACAAAAGACTTGAAGGATGCTTTCCTAAGAGCGGGCGAGGAGGAAGGAGACGAGAGAAGAAGGAAGCATACGGGGGAGAAGAGGGCTTCTGGTGCTTGGAACCGCTCCGCACCGATCCGAATCGTTCGACCATCAGGCAGCTGATGATGACGATGAGAGAGGAAGGGAGAGAGGGAGGGGAGTGGGGCGGGGAGGAATCGGAGCAGTGTAAATAAGGATATAAGGAGAGGGGTGGATTGAGAGACTGGTGTGTGCACAGCCCCTGTGTGTGTGTGTGTGTGTGTGTGTGTGTGTGAGTGAGTGAGTGAGTGAATGAGAGAGAGAGCATTCGCATGCAACTGGATCCCTCTCCCGTCGCAGTCACAACTGGTAATGAGAGAACGAATTTCGAGCCAAAGCAATGCTCGTTGTCCCCCACTTGCCACTCACCATAAATTGTTTGACAAGCCCTGTGGTGTGGTGTCCTCAGCCAGTTGAAGTGAGGGTAGTGAGGTGCATTTGGCGCCTCAAAATGTCCCCCCCACTTGCCACTCACCATAAATTGTTTGACAAGCCCTGTGGTGTGGTGTCCTCAGCCAGTTGAAGTGAGGGTAGTGAGGTGCATTTTGAGGCGCCTCAAAATGTCCCCCCCACTTGCCACTCACCATAAATTGTTTGACAAGCGCTGTTGTGTCCTCTGCCAGTTGAAGTGAGGGTGTTTTTGAGACGTCTCAAAAAACCCACTCACCATAAATTGTTTGACAAGCACTGTACTGTGGTGTCCTCTGCCAGTTGCATCTCTCTTGCACTCACATCACAACTGATATGACATGCCGGCAGGATGGATACTGAGTGAAACCAGACTCATTGGCCCCCAATCTCCACTCACAGTGAACTCTTTGACCAGCACTGTGGTGTCCTCAGCCAGTTGCATCTCTCTCTTGTAATCACAGCTGATACAGTCAACATGAACCGCCGTGATCAGGGCAAGGGAATGGCATGGTAAAATGGGGGCTGAGGAGGGGGTGTTGTGGAAGGAGCTGAAGAGGACGACAACGATACAAGTGAGTTGAAAGAAGAGTAGTAACAAGACGCATTCACTCACTCGCTCACTTACCCTCACACTCACTCACCCACTCACTGTCTCATTCACTCACTCACTCACTCACTCACTCACTCTCTCACACTCTCACTCTCTCACTCGCTCACTCACTCGCTCACTCACAGACTCCCTCACTCGCTCACTCACAGACTCCCTCACTCGCTCACTCACTCACACACTCACACACTCACTCACTCACTCACTCACTCACTCCCTCACCTGACAAAGCACAACTGTTCCTTGATGGCCCTCGCTGCCTCAAAGTCTGACACCTTACTGAAGGGGTAGCTGGTGCACGGTGTGGGGGGGGTGAGAGGCAGGCGGGTTGAGGAGAGGGAGAGTTGGGGAGAGCGAGAGGGGTGGGGGGGGCACAGGGGAAGTAGAGCTGCTCCTTGTCCTTGATGGCCCTTGGAGCCTCAAAGTCCGACACCTTGCTGAAGGGGTAGTTGGATCAGCGGCAGGCAGGAGGGAAGGAGCGGGCGAGTTGGGGAGAGAGAGGGGAGTGAGATGCCAGAGTTCAACAGCAAAGGGGAAAGCAGAGCTGCTCCTTGATTGCCCTTGCAGCCTTGAAGTCAGACACCTTGCTGAAGGGGTAGCTGGCGAGAAAAGGGGTGCGAGGCAGGCGGGCACCAGACGAGTGAATTTAACAATACGATAGAATCCTAGTCAATTATGAATACCAGCAATGTATGTACGAAAGAGCACATACCCGCGGCGCATCATGAGGTCAATGAGGTGAGACGTGCTCTGCCTGCCTGCCCCGTGTGCTCTCCCCTTTGTGCGTGGCCTCAACAATACCAGAATCCGAGCCACATGCGCACGAGGATATGGGTTCGAACCGCAGCAAACGAATCCGAGCCACATTACGACACAGCGATGAGGGTGACTTTTGAGTCGACTCAAAAGCCACATTACGACACAGCGATTAGTTTTGAGAATTCTCAAAACTAATCTCAAACAAAATTTACGACACAGAGATGAGGGTACGAGTGAGCACCACACGTACCCGCGGCGCATCATGAGGTCAATGAGGTGAGACGTGCTCTGCCTGCCTGCTATGCTCAATGCGAGTAGACCCAACATTACAATAGAATCCAAGTCAAGTATGAACACCGAGACGTCTGTACGAGTGAGCACCACACGTACCCGCGGCGCATCATGAGGTCAATGAGGTGAGACGTGATCTGCCTGCCGGCTATGCTGATCCGCTTGGTGAGGTGCGGGTATGCAAAGCCCTCCACCACAGGGACCTGGAAGGAAAGAACAACAAGAGGGATGAGGAAGGAGTGAAGGCAAGAGGGTATGCGGACACATGAATTTGCTCTCCCTCCCTGGGAGTATGCGGAGGGAAGCACGATAGAGGAAGAAGGGAGACGTGGGAAGAGGAGGTTCAGTCTAAAAAGAACTCGTCAACCTCTCTCTGAGCACCAGAGGAAGAAGGGGGGGATGAAGATAAGGATTGTGAGAATGGCTGTGAGGCGATTCAAGCGAATGAAGGTGTGCAGTGTGTTTTGGCAGCGGTACTTACTGCGTGAGTGGCTCTCTCCCCAGAGTCCTCCACTACAAGCCCTGTCAGAAAGGCTTTTGAGGCGTCTCAAAAGCAGGCGTGCATGATTTCAATGATGCACCTACCTCTGCCTCAAAAACAGGATTCAAGGGGAACAGCGGTGCTTACTGCATGAGTGGCGCTCTCCCCAGATTCCACTACGAGCCCTGTCAGGACGATTTTGGAAGCGCCTCAGAAGCAGGCGTGCATGAGTTCTAAGGGGCAGCCCTTCCCCAAAAACAGGAGGCAAGGGGAAAAAACGGTGCTTACTGCGTGAGTGGCGCTCTCCCCAGAGTCCACTACGAGCCCTGTCAGAATGCCTGAGGGAGAGATGGAGACGGAGATGCATGGAGAGAGAAGGGGAGGGTGAGGGAGAGGGGAAGGGTGTATCTGACGCAGTGTGTTCAGAACGCAAATCAGTCAGCAAGAAGCTGCAACAATCTCTCAAGTGGAAAAGCGGCAGTATTTGATGAATGCCGCAGCATTGAAAAAAAAAGCAGCACCCAGCAGCACCCCACAGCGCCCCACAGCACACAGAAACACGTAGCAGCAGCACCAAGCAGCACACCTTGGGCGTAGAGTGGCAGCACGGCTTGCAGCTGAATGAAGAGGGAGTCGAAGTTGTACTTCTCAAACATCATTTGCAGCTGCGGTGGGGGGTGGCGGGAAGGGCGTAGGGGAGGAAGTACAGGAAGGGCGGGTGCATCAGTTGCAGATGCAGTGGGGAGTGGCGGGAGGGGTACAGGAAGGGCGTAGGGGAGGGTGAGGTGGATGAAGAGGGAGTCGAAGTTGTACTTCTTAAAAATCATTTGGAGCTGCGGTGGGGAGTGGCAGGCAGAGGGGCGGGAAGAGGGGCGGGAAGAGGGGCGGGAAGAGGGGCGGGAAGAGGGGCGGGAAGAGGGGCGGGAACGGGAACAGAGCAGGATCAGTGAGCAGGATCAGTGAGCAGGATCAGTGAGCAGGGTCAGTGAGCAGGATCAGTGAGCAGGATCAGTGAGCAGGATCAGTGAGCAGGGTCAGTGAGCAGGATCAGTGAGCAGGGTCAGTGAGCAGGATCAGTGAGCAGGGTCAGTGAGCAGGATCTTGCTCTCAAACAGATCGATCTTAAGCGCAGTGCCGAAGGTGTAGCCCCACACGTGCCCCTTTTCGTCCCACCCACCCAACCACCCACCCACCGTGCATCTGAATGACTCAAGCCAGTCAACCCCGAGTCCCCGACCAGTGCACACCACAAAGCCTGCAAACCCTATGATGCCCTCACCATGCGTTGGCGGTTCTTAGTGGGGTTGAGAGGCGGGTCATTGAGAAAAATCTTGGTTTCCGATGGGTCGATCTTGAGAGCGGTGTTGAAGGTGTAGTCCCACACGTGCCCCATGTCATCCCACTCACCGTGAGTCCGAGTGACCCACCCCATGATGCACTCACCATGCGCTGGCGGTTCTTAGTTGGGTTCAACGGCGGGTCAGTGAGCAGGATCTTGCTCTCTGACGGATCAATCTTGAGCGCAGTGTTGAAGGTGTAGTCCCACACGTGCCCCATGTCGTCCCAGCGCTGCACCACTCCGTTGTGGATGGGGTAGGTCAGTTCCACTCGCTGCCCGCCCTGCTGCTGCTCCATGCACTGGGAGCCCACGAGGATGCTCTGCACAATTATGTAGGGTTGCAAGGGGTTCGCAGTAGGGTTGGCATGGGATGGGATTGGACTGAAAGGGATTGCTTGTGGATGGGGTAGGTCCGCTCCACTCGCTGCCCGCCCTGCTGCTGCTCCATGCACTGTGAGGCAACCAGAATGCTCTGCACAGCAGTGTGAAAATGGTGTTGGGTGGGTATGAAAGAGCAGGGGGTTACGGATCGCCTTGAGGGACTCTTGTGAATAGGGTAGGTCCGCTCCACTCGCTGCCCGCCCTGCTGCTGCTCCATGCATTGTGAACTGACCAGGATGCTCTGCACACAGCACAGCCCAGTAGGGTTGCATTGACATAGTGGAAGGGGCATTGAGGTCGCCTGACTTGAGTTGAGGGGTTGCCGTTGTGGATGGGGTAGGTCAGTTCCATGCGCTGCCCGCCCTGCTGCTGCTCCGTGCACTGAGTGACAACGCGTTACAGAGTGACAAGGTAGCAGGGCTTACAGGGGGTGCTTGGCCTTGGGAGGTTTCGTCGAGGCGGACGAGGCGTCGCCCGACGACATTGGGAATGACGGCGACGGGGAAGTTGTCGCCTGCGAACCCGCACTTGATGGACTGCGACAGACGGTCGCACGGGAATGAACGAGCGAGCGAACGAACGACGCATTGGAATGCAACTCAAAGTTTAAATAGATTACAGCGCGAGGAAATATTTAGGAACGAGGAGAGTGCTAGAATAATTGCGCGGCGAGCCGGTTATTATGTTACGCTTCACGAGGCATCGAATTGGACGGCCTTACCGCGCTGCCGTTATCGCAAACGACTATCTTTCGCCTATCATCCATGTCGAGTGCGGTTGCCGCGGAGAAGTAGCAGATACGAAAAGACACGTGCTGAAGGAATCTAGAAGAGTAGCGGGACTGGGAGGAGCTGACTATGCCGTCTAGGCTAAACCACATTACGTTCGTTGTGTATCCTGCTTGGATTATCTATGCTCTCCCGAGGCAGTATTCTTAGCAATTCCTACAATCAAGCAAAATTTACTTCGCAAGTATCGTCTGAACAAAATGTAGAAGCATATTGTGCATTAAAATATGCTGGACGATGCTGAAACGGGAATGCCAGCCAACCCCAGTTCTGCTTCGTGCGCTGCTTCCGAGCCAGTTGCTTATAACGAAGCCTTACGCAAAGCCAAACGGGAAAGGGTCTTGTGGACTTGCCCAACGGCCTAAGGTCGAGGCGCCACCGTACTGGAAACCCGATAAAACTATAGGAGACCTAAAAGCCGTTTCTGACTCCTTTCTAGGACATCTGAAAACGAATTCTACGGTTCAGCATTTGCTTGTCGTTGACCTTGCCTCGCTAGCTCTCATGTCACAGTAGACATGCCACGGCAGCCATCGATCATGTCGCCTCGCCTGTCGGTAGTTTCGAGGGACCCTTCTGGGCGACGCACGGAGGTTCTTGCCTGACGCGACCAATTTATTCTCGCTCGCGATGGCTTCCTTGAGTTTGGAGTCTTATGCATCAGGAGCGTTTCATTTCATAACCGTTTTCGCCGCTGCCATCTCCCGCAAACTAACCAGTTGGTCCAAAACAGACGAATTCATCGTAATCCGAAAGGTCTATTCTCAGCAGAGTTGTTTTCTTCTTTCAAATAGCTCGAGACAATGGCTGCTGAATCAGCGACGGGCTCGGAAGTCAAGGTACCAAGCGAGAGTACTACTCGTAGTACGACTACTAACGGCGTGGAGCACAAGGAGGAGTGGTTCACAAACTCACGCGGAATGAAATTAATGTCCGCGTCCTGGGTTCCGGCGAACCGACCGTTGAAAGCGCTCATCCTCCTCCTTCACGGTACGTCGCGATGTGACATTTGAGGCGGCACTAGAAACTCAACAGCCGAAATCACTCATCTTCTTCCCTTACGGAGCATCCACCTTCACGGTACATCTCACTTTAGATAGGAGAACAGGGGTTGGTAATGGTAGGCCTCGGCGCTATCCTCGTTATACTGCCAGGACCTCATTCTGTACGTATTCTGCGCATTTCCGTTGTTACAAGCCTTTCCCTTTGTTAATTCCCTCCCGATGTTTTTTGTTTTTTTTTCTCTTACCGTTCGTGGCGTGGCAGGATATGGCTTCGATTGCACCACTTACTTCCAAGGTACAGTACACTGCTTCCCCGCGCTGTGCCCCTTCCCCGCGCTGTGCCCCTTCCCCGCGCTGTGCCCCTTCCCCGCCCTGTGCCCCTTCCCCGCCCTGTGCCCCTTCCCCGCCCTGTGCGCCCCTTCCCCGCCCTGTGCCCCTTCCCCGCCCTGTGCCCCTTCCCCGCCCTGTGCCCCTTCCCCGCCTGTGCCCCTTCCCCGCCCTGTGCCTCCCGAAGTTTCGAGTCAGTGTCCATTGCTTTCACGTCCTTCCCTTCCACCTCACCCATCCTCCTTTTTTCCACCCGCTTTTCCTCCCTCTATTTCTCCCCACCTCCTCCTTTCCTCCCTCGTTTCCTCCCCTCTTCCCTGCGCTCCTCCTCCCCACTTGTGCAGACACGGCAGAGCGACTGGCGTCAGAAGGGTATGGCGTGTATGGGATCGACTTCGAAGGGCATGGCAGGTACATCATGCTTTCCAGGCACTTTCCAGGCACTTTCCAGGTACTTTCCAGGTGAAGAGGACAGAGGGGTATGGCAGGTATGCCGTGCGTTCTTTTCCAGGCACTTGTCCAGTGCTTGAGTGGTTGATGACATCATCGCACTCTGTTGTCTCTCATGACCCTCATGTGCCTGATCATTACAGTGGTCCCCATGTCATCCTCCCTGCTCACACCTCCCTGCTCTTCAGATCTGACGGGCTCAGCGTGTTCATTCCTGACTTCAACACCCTAGTCAACGACAGCATTGCATACTTTGCTCCCATACGGGGTGCGTTTAAGAGGAAGGGGGGGAGAGGGGGAAAGTGCTTTAGGGAAAAGGGTGCAAATCTGGCCGAACGAATCGGGTAAAGGGTAAAGGGTGCAGATCTCTTACCTGCCCTAACTCCTCGCTCCATGGTTCTTTCCTACTTTTCTGTTTCTTCTTCCACAGAGCGACCGGAGCACAAGAGCATACCCAAGTTCATGTGTGGGGAATCAATGGGCGGGGCAGTGGCGATTTGCATCCACCGCAAGCAGCCCGACCAATGGGACGGCGCCATTTTCATGGCTCCCATGTGCAAGGTACGCCTCTTCGGGCATGTGGCATGTGGAGATAATTAGTCTCCTGCGTACACTCCCTTCCAATCCTTTATGAGCACATGTCAGCCGAAGTGCGATCTTTCATTCAAGCAAGCACGGCGGATGAAGGGCGTGGCCCTGGCGTATGTGCTGCCCCTGAGGAACCCCTTGAATCCTCATCATATCACTGCACACACTCCCTTCCATTCCTTCGTGAGCAGATCTCAGCCAAGGTACAATGGAGCCCCAGATAGGAGCCATGTCTTTACGTGGCAGCGACTGATTCAACTTGTAAAAAAGTTTGTTAGTGTGTTGGTTTGTTTTGTTGCGTAACTGACATTCCTTCGTGAGCAGATCTCAGCCAAGGTACAGCCACCAGCGATCCTGGTGCGGCTATTGAAGGGCCTGGCATATGTGATACCCACGTGGCAGATAGTGCCCTCAGCTGACATCGTCACCTCCGCCATTCGCTGCCCAGAGAAGCTGAAGAAGGTGAGAGATTGGGTACTGCTGAGAATTCTCCGTAAATTGCGGGGTAGTTTGATGTCTCACAGAAAGACCCTGCAGAAAACGCCCTCCGCAGACGTCCATTGTCACCAACCCCCCTCTCCCCCCCCTTACCAGATAGCAGCCAGCCCATACACGTACCGTGCTCGCCCGTGCATGCGAACAGCCCTCACCATGCTGCACGCCAGTCAACGCCAAGTCCTCCCTGTCCCTCCCCTTCCCCATCCACTCCCGCCCCAACCCGATACAGATAGCAGCGAGCCCATACACCTACCGCGCTCGCCCGCGCATGCGAACAGCCCTCACCATGCTGCACGCCAGCCAAGACGCAGAGGCCTCCCTCCCGTCCATCTCCCTGCCCTTCCTGTTGCTCCACGGAGACGCCGACACTGTCACTGAGCTGGACGGTAGCCAGGCGTTTTATGAAAAGGCAAGGAGTGAGGACAAGACGTTGAAGGTGTATGAGGGTGCATGGCACCTGCTGACTGAAGGGGAGCCTGAGGAGACTGTGGAGAAGGTGCTGCGGGATATGATTGGCTGGCTAGACGAGAGAAGTCAACGAAGGTCAAGCGAGTAATGAAGGGAATCTATGATGATGCAAGGAGTGAGGACAAGACGTTGAAGGTGTATGAGGGTGCGTGGCATCTGCTGACTGAAGGGGAACCTGAGGAGACTGCTGAGAAAGTGCTGCGGGATATGATTGGCTGGCTGGACGAGAGAAGTCAACGCAAGTCAAGCGGGTGAATGGACTTTTACGTAGTCAAAAAAAGATGCCGGATACTTAGAAGTTTTATATTCCAGTCATTGAAATGCTCAAGAATAACTACCAGGATAGGATACGTACCGTATTACCCCGGACATACCACCCGCCGAAATAGAGCACCCCCCGGGTGGCTTGTGCAAGGGGGGTGCTATAGCGGGCCTCATTTCTACTATACCCCCCTTTTGGGGCGATCCGGTATAGCATCCGGGGGGGGGGGGGGGTGTTATGTACAGGTAATATTGCAGTTTTTGCCTAAATAGCACTGGGTTTCCAATGATTAACCATCTACATGTTAACATCAGCACAAACAAGCTACGTCTGACGCTATACAGCGATATCACTCCCATCACACAGTCTTTCCTTCATTCAGATGGGGCCTACTACCATCCAGACCGGCTGCGATTCCTGCAGTTTCAGCCAGTGGAGCTTCTCCTTGGCGGTGTACGCATGACGAACACGTTTCGTCATGCGATGACGTGGGGAAGGAGCGTCGGCATCCGCGTTGCGCTTCGGAGGTCCCTGGGGGCGTGTTTGTTCTGGGAAGGAAGGAATCTTCACCTTCGGCAGCGCCGGCATAGGACGGGTCGCGCTGCTGCTCGGTTCTGTTGGGCTGATAAGCCCTAAGGATCTTTGTAGAGTTAAAGTCTGGGTAGGATTTGTAATAGCGGAAGCGTTGAATAAAAGATCTTGAACCACCTTGCGCTGGTATGTGAGGGCAAAGTAAGTTGATTAAAACAAGCAAGTACAAGGCTTTATATAAGAGTACAAGGAATACGAATAGATAAGATAACTGTCTTGCTGTTGCGATTCGATACAGTGCGACTCGGGCAACTGCTCAATGTCGAGTCAGTTGTGTGTCCTTGCTGTCGCGCTGTATTGGTCAAGTCAAAGGTCGCTGACCTTTGACCTTCGCGTAACCTCCAGGCGGTTACCCCAACCTCCGAGGGTTGACTCGCGATGCTTCGATTTGGACTGCTTCGCTTTGAGTCCTGAGCTTCGACACGACAGAGGCGTTTTAAGACTTATTGTTCCCAACACTCCCCTTCGCTTCTGGAGTGTCGCTGATGGTGACGTGGCTTTGTCCAGTCAGCAGCATGCAGTACTCGAACTTCTGTTTTCCGAGCTTCTTGGTCAAATAGTCGGCTGCCATCTCGGACGTGGGACAGTAGGATAACTCGAGTCTTCCTTTCTCGATCTCGTCTTTCACGAAGAAGTATCGCAGAGCGATATGCTTCGTTCTGTTCGCGAATCCGTTTTTGTTGGCGATGCGAATTGCAGATTGGTTGTCGCAGTGCAGGGTGAAGCTGGGTAACTCAGCTAACTTTGCTTCTTCCAGCAGTTCGCGAAGGTAGAGTCCTTCTTTGGTGGCTGAGCAGAGGGCGATATATTCTGCTTCAGCTGAAGAGAGAGCGATTAGTTCCTGCTTGCTCGACTGCCAGGAGATAGGTCCGATAGGCTCGAGACGATAGACGTAGCCAGTGCGAGAGCGCCTGTTATCTGGATCGCCGGCATGATCGGCATCGACATAACCAATTAGTTTCGTTGACGCAGCTTCGTTCTTGTAGTAAGTCAGGCCGATCGTCGGTGTGCTCACGAGATAGTGCAGTGCGCGATCGAGTTCTGACATGTGATCTGCTTCAGGCCTCTTGAGGTAGGTAGCGAGCTGGCTAGCGGAGTAGGACAGGTCTGGGCGACAGGTGACGGCTGCGAAGAGCAGACAGCCCAGTTTTCGCTGGTAGTCGCGTATTCCGGCGGTTTTTAGTAGGGTGGAGTTTCCTTGGCCGTTTCCTGCCGTGTAGCGGTATGGCGTGGCGATAGCGGTAGGGGTGAGCGAGAAGCGCTTGGTGATCGTGTCAGCGTATTTCTCGGCGCTTAGATAGATTGCGTTTTCTTCTTCGCGGATGTTGAGTCCAAGGTACTGCGTGACGGTAGAAGAAACCGTGAGCGTGAGATCTTTCTGCAGCTCCCCTTCGAACCAGGTGGTGACGTCGTCGGTGGAGCCGATGTAGAGGAGATCGTCGACGTAGACGATGAGTAGGATGTAGTTGGCGCCTTTAGTGAGTCGGTACATGCCCTGGTCATGGGGTAGTTGGCGGAATCCGATGCGGATGAGGCGGGTGTGCAGGTGCTGTTGCCACAGCCGTGGGGCCTGCTTGATTCCGTAGAGGGACTTTAGCAGTTGGCAGACTTGATTGGGTTCCCCGTGGGTACCGTGAGGGAGCTCGACGAAGATGTCGGCGTCGACAGGTGCGTAGAGGAAGGCATTGGCGACATCAATTTGTCGCAGCTTCTTCTTCTTCATGGCGGCGACGGCGAGAAGAATTCGGAGTGAGGTATGTCGGCTAACTGGGGCGAATGTCTCGGTGAAGTCTCGCCCTTGCTCCTGGTCGAATCCTCGCACGACCCATCGTGCCTTGAACTTCTCGATTGTACCATCTGCTTTTGTTTTGATGCGGAAGACCCACTTCCCGGTGAGAATGGTCTTGTTCCTTGCCACGCTTGCGGGAACGACCTTCCAGGTGTTGCGTTCCTCCAGTGCTTTTAATTCTCTGTCCATGGCTTCACGCCATTTCTCTCAGTGTTCCCCCCCCAGAGCCTGCTGAACCATTGCAGGCTCTTTGGGAAGAGGAGAGCCATGGACGGCGGTGACGAGGCCGAGGATTTGCAGTCCGGTCTGTGAGTAGCGGGGGAGAGTTGTGTCCTCGGGATAGGCTGCTTCGTCTCCCGCTTCTGGATCGGGTATGAAATTTGGCCCTATCCTTTCTGCTTCGTTGGTGTTGGCTGTTGCAGGTGTTACGTAACCATTGTCGGCGAAGTGGTAGAAGACTTCGGCGTTGTTACTTTCGCGAGGATTTTCTTCGTCCATGGGCACGTCGACGGAGCAGTACGGGAGAGGTCCGGCTTCCTCCGATGCGTTGTCGACGTTCTGTTCATCCCAGTCTGCTTCGTCCGCTGCTGAGGCGAAGGCTCGGTCACCACGAAAGCCACCTGTGGGGTCCCGATTCTCGTGCAAGTTGGCGAGGTACGTCTGAAGGGTGAGTCGTTCGTAGAAGATCACATCACGTGCTGCTACTGTTTCTTTTGTGTGGACGTCGAAGATTCTCCACGCGTTGTAATTTTTCTCGATGCCGAGGTGTAGTCCCCACTGTGCCCGTTGCGAAAATCTTCCCGCTCGTGCTTCTGGGGGTCGGTACTGTACCATGCACCCAAAAACTCGTAACATTTTTGTGCTGCCCTGCTTTCCTCTCCACAGCAGATGCGGTGATGCGTTGTTCGGGAGTGACGACGACGAAAGCAAGTTGTGCAGCATGACAGCATGGTCCATTGCTGCTGGCCACTGGTGGTTGGGTAGCCGCATGCCACGTAGTAGTTTGGGCATGCTGTTCTGCAGGGTCCTGTTCATTCTTTCTGCAACACCCTGCTGCTGATGTGCGTAGGGAAGGGAGAGGAGTTGCTTGATCCCCCTTTCCGCCAGGTACTGCTTGAAGCGCTGAGAGGTGTATTCGCCACCTCCGTCTGACTGGAAGCTTTTCAGCTGCGTTCCTGATTCTCTTTCTGCTACCGGTAGCCAAGCGGCGAATGCTACGAGAGCCATGTCGCGGCTTGGTAGGTTTAGGTGCCAAACATATCGGGTGGCGGCGTCGATGAAGGTAATGGTGTAGTTGTAAGTCACTTGTCCTGGTTCTCGATTGAAGAGGATGTCGCTGTAGACTTTTTCGAGTGGTGCGTAAGCTGGTGCGCTCGGGTTGTGATGTGAGGCGAACGGTCGATGAGGTAAGTCAGCTTCGGAGCAGATGAGGCAAGTCCCCCGTGCACGTTGAAGTTCTCTGCCGTCGAGTAGTAGTAGCGAGTCTTTGTCTAGCACTCCTGCTCGTATCGTATTATTTAACACCGTGTTACTTGGATGTCCTGTGCGTGCGTGCCAGATGTCTTCGGAGGCGCGGTGTCCGGGTGAACGTTGATATGCGTCGGAGTTGGAGTAGAAGCTGGCGACGAAGTTGGCGCTGCGGTGGACTTCTCGTTGAGTCGGGTTCAGCTGTTGTGCGGGTGTTGGTGGTGCTTCGTCGACGATGACTGGTGTCGTTGTTCCTGCTGCTGCCGATGTTGTTGCTGCTGCCGATGTTGTCTCTGCTGCTGCCGATGTTGTCTCTGCTGCTGCCGATGTTGTCTCTGCTGCTGCCGATGTTGTCTCTGCTGCTGCCGATGTTGTCTCTGCTGCTGCCGATTGTTGAATTGTTGCTAATGCTAGTGTTCGCTCTGCTTCAGGGATGGTGTGTGAGTACCAGAAGCCTCCTGGACTGAAATCAGGATCGAGGTCCGGAGGGTGTGTCCAGTCGGTAAAGTTGACGATGGTGTCGCTGTCTGCAGTGCCCAGGTCGGGGACGAAGTCAAGAACGAAGACGTTATTCTTCAACACTGCTTTCCCGATGTAGAGGCCGCTCCTCCCGTGGTATAACTTAAATTCCTGGGTGGTGCTGTCGGCTTCCAAGTGAATCCCCTTCGCCATCAGCTGGCTAACACTCAGTAAGTTGTAACCGAGTCCTTCTACGATGAGTACTTTTGACATGTGTAGTATAACGTTGGTCTCTCTTGATTGAAGCTGAACGACTCCTTGTCGTCTTGTGCGCAGGTTCTGGTTGTTGGCGACCGTGATGACTACTTCTCGCTGGAGTCGATGTTCGCGTTGTACGAAGCGCCCGGAGGAGCACATGTGTTGTCCGCAGCAACTATCCAAGAACCAAGTGTCTTGGCCGGACGGTTCGCTTTGAGCGATGGCGGCGTACGTCGGATTCGGCTGGAGTGATTCGCGGCGAGGCGTCCTGTTGTCGAGCTCCTCTTCTGGTGAGTAGTAGGGTGGCGACTCTGTAATGCAGGAATCGTTTATCTTTACCATGCAGTTGACGATGCTTCTTGCTCCTTGTGCAGGTTGTCCAGTTGAAGTCGTTGAAGCTTGGATCGTGGTTGTCGGACTTGCTTGCGTTGAAGCAACTTGGGAGCTTAAAGGCCGGAGTTGTCGCTGTGATGTTGTCGACTGCTGACGAGACGGGCAGTGTGTGCGGGGATGGCCCGAAGTCTTGCAGATGTGGCAGAACGGAGGTACTGTTTTCACTTGCTGTTGTCGATTGTTGTTGCCGTTGTGTCGTCACTGAGTGTGAAAAGCAAATTCTAGTGCTAATGCTTTCTTCTTGTGTCTTTCTTCTTGCAGGTCCATGTCCTGCTGCTCAGCATGAATTTCGGCGCAGAGTGCCGCTTCGGAGATCCTCCCGTGTGCTCGGAGTATGGCGCGAGTGGAGCGCCAGTGGGGGCCAAGACCGCCAATGAGTACCGTGACAAAGGCGTCTTCGGAGATTGACCCTCCGCATCGAAGGAGCCTGTCGCGCAGTTCGCGACAGCGGCTGATATAAGCCATGCCTTTCTCGCCTGGTTTCATTTCAATCGTTGTCAACTACGCCATTAACCTGCTCTGATTTACGCTGTCTGTTGCTTGATACAGGTTCTTCAGGTGGTTGTACGCGAGCTCCGCGGAGTTGCCGTAGCCTCGGTAAGTTCTGATGTTCTGCTGCTGGGTCGGGGTGATGTTTCTTAGCAGTATCGTGTACGCCATCATTGATTGATAGGTGTACTGCTGCTTCTCATATTGTGTCCCGTTTGTTGGATATGGCAGGGACTCGTCGAAGAAGCCGAGAATCTGTGCTCCTTCCATCATCAGTTCAAACTCGAATGACCAGGTGAAGAAATCTTTGCCGTCGAAAGGCTTTGTCGTTTGTAGTTTTAGGACATGCGCGAATTGCGATTGGACTTGTAACGCATCCAATGTCCTTTCTTGTCCCGATGCAGGTTGCGGTTGCGGCATGAAGCTGACGGAGCCACGTTGGGGCTCGTACGGCGCAAAGGTAGGCTGCTGTTGTTGTTGTTGTTGCATCCCGCGTGCATAGGATGAGCCGTCGAGGCTCATCGGAGTAACATTGTTGTTGTTGTTGCTGTTGTTTGACTGCGCAGGCACTCCTTGCTGGTGTTGCTCGTAGAAGGACATGAAGGAGAAAAATTTCTCCATCATGCTTGGATCGAAGCCTGCTGGCGTTTCCGTGGACCCAGCTGCTGGTCTGGTAGCAGTCCCTTCCTCTGTCTGTAGGCCGGAGACAGGTGGTGGGGTAGGGGTAGTACCGGGGGAGCCGTTGGAGGAGCTCCTCTCCTTTCTGGTTGTCATGTCTTCTTTTGATGTAAGGTTTGCTGAATAATTATTTTAACTCTAACTGCTCTCATACCATGTTGGGCTGATAAGCCCTAAGGATCTTTGTAGAGTTAAAGTCTGGGTAGGATTTGTAATAGCGGAAGCGTTGAATAAAAGATCTTGAACCACCTTGCGCTGGTATGTGAGGGCAAAGTAAGTTGATTAAAACAAGCAAGTACAAGGCTTTATATAAGAGTACAAGGAATACGAATAGATAAGATAACTGTCTTGCTGTTGCGATTCGATACAGTGCGACTCGGGCAACTGCTCAATGTCGAGTCAGTTGTGTGTCCTTGCTGTCGCGCTGTATTGGTCAAGTCAAAGGTCGCTGACCTTTGACCTTCGCGTAACCTCCAGGCGGTTACCCCAACCTCCGAGGGTTGACTCGCGATGCTTCGATTTGGACTGCTTCGCTTTGAGTCCTGAGCTTCGACACGATAGAGGCGTTTTAAGACTTATTGTTCCCAACAGGTTCATCGTTGGTGGCGCAACTCACGGGGGGTAACGGCTGCAGCAGGACGGGCCGGGGCGAACGCCGTGTGCCCGCAGCAGCGGGTGACTGGGTGACGGAAGGCCGCTGCCGCCTAACCACTGTGCTACTGGAGTCTGGAGAGGTAGCCATCTAAGCCTAGTGAACGTTGGTGTCACAGGCCATGGAATCCCTGAATTTATGCTAGGAAAGGGATCGAGGAGGCAGTTGGTGTTAGCACACTCTGCCGAGCATTGCTCGAGTTCGTGGAATGGAGCCGCTGCACAGAAAGAAGGATGAACTCCTTCTCAGTACGGTACAAGGACGTGACCGCCTCAGCGAGGCAGCTGAGGCTGTTGCGGGCGCTCCGCCTTTGTGACTGCATGAATCCTCGTCGAGCGACGAGGGGGTGTGTTTTCTTTCCAATCAGGGCCTGACTGTGGGCCTTGTTGGAGCTTGCAATGTGGCAGCTAACCCACGAGACAAACGTTATCGCCCAGTCCTCGGTTTTGCGCACCCAACCAACAATCTACCACCGCGTCAAACATGTACATTTTGTTCTCAACCTTTTGTGCTCTAAAAAAAATATACATTATGTAACGACCCGGGTGCAATGTAGCTTTTTCTGATGACAAGACCCCCCCCTTTTTTTTGTGTAGTTATCATAGCACCCTAGGGTGGTATGTCCGGGGTAATACGGTAGGTGCCTTATCTCATATGACTGGTAGCAAATACAACGTCCCTGATTATCAGGTTCCCAAGAAGACAATCTCCCAAGACAATCATATGATTACAGCCCACTGCAGCGCAGCTGATGTTCTAGGAGCATCAAAGGTTTAGCTCGCTCTGGTTACTGAATTGGCCAGTAGACAGTGTCCCTGCTGTATTAGGCAATGTCTCTTGCTTTGCTTCCCAAAGCAGCCCTTGATGCCCTCCTGAACAGTTTATAAGAGCCCCTCCCTAGGTCTTCGAAACGAGCACGAGTCTGTGTCAAAACAGCCCTGGTTGTCCGAGACTAGCAGACCAGAGAGACCCAAGTGGGGAAGTACACGGGGGAAGAAGCCCCAGCAGAGGAAAACATCGCCCACGTTCACAGGCGAGCACAGCGGCTCCAGCACCATGCCTTGCCACTGCAGCACTGTGCCCAAAACCTTCCACCTTTTCTGGTTAGAACAGCCCCTGGTTGTCTGAAACCAGTAAACCAGAGACCCAAGTTGGGACGTACACAGGGAAGAAGCCCCAGCAGCAGAGGGGCTTCTCCCACGCTCACAGGCGAGCAGAGGGGCTCCAGCATCAGCCAGGCAGCACCATGCAGTATCCACATTTTTGGTTAGAACAGCCCTTGATTGTCTGAGATTAGTAGCCCCGACACCCACGTGGGGAAGTAGACAGGAAAGAAGCCCCAGCAGAGGAAGAATTCTCCCACGTTCACAGGCGAGCAGAGCGGCTCCAGCACCAGACCCTCCTGAGCTGTAGACCACACGCTGCTGCTGCGAATCGTCTCCCCGTCATCCTCGAGAGGTCTCGCTTCTCTTAGCAGACCCATCACGCTCACCGTCTGCCCCTCTGTGACCATTCTGTGTGGATATAGGACAGCGAGTAGGGGAGTGGGGTTTGGGGGCGTGGGTGGGGGAAGGGGAGGAATGGAGTAAGAGATGGGAAGGGGAAAAAAGGAGAGAGCAGAGCGGCTCCAGCACCAGCCCCTCCTGAGCCGCGGACCACATGCTGCTGCTTCGAATCGTCTCCCCGTCGTCCTCTAGAGGTCTTGCTTCTCTTAGCAGCCCCATCACGCTCCCTGTCTGCCCTTCCGTGACCATTCTGTGGGTACGAGGCAGGGAGATGGGGGGTGGGGAAAAGGGGGGGAGATGGAGTATGGGGGCCAGGAGGGCAGAAGGGAAGAGGGGGGGGGTTGGGGGGGGGGGGAGGTTGGTGAGTGAGAGAGAGAGTAGAACGGCTCTCCTCTCTAGGAGAGTGAGCACCAGCCCCTCCTGGGCCGTAGACCACACGCTGCTGCTGCGGATCGTCTCCCCGTTGTCTTCTAGCGGCCGCGCTTCCCTCAGCAGCCCCATCACGCTCACCGTCTGACCCTCTGTGACCATCCTGTGGGCAGATGAGAGGGAGAACGGGAGAAGGGGTTGCGGGGAAGGGAGGAAGATTGAAGTATGGGGGTTGATAAGGGGGGAGTGGGGGGTGGAGGAGGGGAGGGGAGAAGGAGAGATTAGAGCGGCTCCAGCACCAGGCCCTCCTGAGCCGTCGACCACACGCTGCTGCTGCGGATCGCCTCCCCGTCGTCGTTAGACGTTCTAATGGCCAGGCCAGGCTTCTCATAGCAGCCCCATCACGCTCACTGCCTGCCCATCTGAGAACACATGACAGGGGAGGGTTGAGGAGAAAGAAAGAAGCTCACAACTTCTACCTAATACAGTCACCTACCCCCGGGAAATGACAAGATCCGATGGCTGAAGGTTTGGATGGGTCTCCAGAAACTGCTGCTCCTGCTCCAGCCAGGAAGTATCCAGGAAGCCGATGATCCGCTTGCTAGACGCCAAAGGCACCACCGTCCCGTGCTGCACAAACGCCGCCAGTTTCCCCCGGTCCGCCGCCCGCCGCCCGCACACGAGGATGCTGTCCCCGCTGGCGTCGGATATGCGGAAATCGACGGCCAGGATCTGCCGCAGGTGCTCCCGGCGGCGATAGAAGGCTGTGGCTCGGCGGGAGTGGTACGACTGGAGGGATGTGCTCATGATGAGGAAACCCTGAAATCGGGAAGGGGAGAAGAGAGGGGCAGAGGGGAAGAGGGGTAGGAAAAAGGTGGTGTGGAGAGAGTGGCTTAGATATGTTACTCTGGCAGTGGTAGGCGGCCGTGGCTCGGCGGGAGTGGTATGACTGGAGAGATGTGCTCATGATGAGGAAACCCTGGGGATTTGCACAGGTAGGGGGAAGGTGGGGTGGGGAGGAAGGGGTGAACGGTGAGGGTGGTGATGCTTGCGGCGGCGGTAGCAGGCTGTGGCTCTGCCGGCGTGGTAGGACTGGAGGGAGGTGCTCATGATGAGGAAGCCGTGGGGAAAAGCATAGGGGGGTGGGGAAGGAAGAGGGGTTGAAGGGTGGCGGTAGATGGTGATGGTGGCGGTACCCTTCACCATGAGGGGGGTGATGGTGTTCCTGGTGGCGGTAGAAGGCAGTGGCTCGGCAGGCGTAGTAGGACTGGACGGACGTGCTCATGATGAGGAAGGACTGGGAGAGAAAGGGGTGAGCTGGAAGAAAGATAATCGCCCCCACCATTCTCTCATCACACTCCCACCACTCTCCCATGACACTCCCACCATGTTCCCATCTTACTCTTGTTATACCACATCTCTCTCTCTCTCACCTGATCCCCCTCGAGACTGGACCCTCCTGGCATGGATGCAGACGTGGAAGGCAGGCTCACTTGCCCTCGCAGCACCACGGCTTCTGCTTTGAGAAACGGTTTTTCATCTCAAAGCAACAGGTCTTACCTGATCCCCATCGAGACTGGACCCTCCTGGCATGGATGCTGGCGATGCAGGCAGGCTCACTCGCCCTCGCAGCACCACCACTCGCCCTCCTCTCCGCTGCCCCGCTATAGAGTAACCCACTTTAGCTGCCTCCAGTATATCGCGCTTGGCGTACCGCTTCAAGAACTCTCGAGCGAGTAGGCCGGGTAGAAGCAGCGCCAGGAGTAAATTACCCACGAAAATGACCGCCCAGGAGGTTGTGAGGAAGGCCGTGAAACCAGGAGAAGCTCCCATGAGGTGGAAAAGGTAAATAACGAGTACAATGAATATCTGGTACAGTACAAATGTCGCGATGGAGTAATATTTTGGGTCGGACCAGAACTGTATGCACGCTTGTTGACACCTGGTTGGGTTCCTTAACGAGTCTCCAGATGTCCCCGTTAGAGGCATACGCGTTAAGCCTCTCGTGTTCTCTTCGTTATCCGAGTCGCCGAAATGCGCGGCCACGGGAAGACCCTGATGCGCACTGCTGATGGCGAAAGCCAGCCCGGAAAACGCGGCGCTGAACACGGCGAGAGTTGCGGGGACGGACGCGCCTAAGAACGAGGTTATCTGGCCGCCGACATTTGCGGGGCTGAAAATATAGCCGCCTGCGCCTCCCACAGACGAGTGGTTAGGGGATTCTAACTCCAATAGTGGGCTGACCGCAATTTCCGCGTCTTGAGAGGCCGCTGCGCCATGATCGCCGTAGAATGCGGCGAGATTGCTGGGAACCTGACCAGGTTCTTCCGTGATTTCTGGAGCAGGGATAGAGGGCGAGGGCCGGGAATGCGGTTGCTGGTTGTGTGGAGTGGTGGTAGGCGGATTGAGCGGACCGCCAATGCGGACCTGAATGTTGGGGTTAATACTGAGTTTTAGCTCTGTTTCGAAGTCTAAGAGGCCGTCGTCTTCGTCTCCGGCCATCTCCGGCAAAAGAGGAGGAGAGATGTAGATCAGACTGCGATCAAGGTCGGGCTAATGCTCGCAATAGAGGGCCCGGAGTTTCCTTAGGGCTATCTTTCTGACGAATGCCGTCGGATCTGTGTCGTTCGCGAACCCAAACAGTAAATTTTCATATCACCAGACGGCGCGGCAAGAACTTGGTTTAGACAAGTCTCTGGTCTGGTTCAGGCAGAAACGGAGCCATGAAATAACGCACGCAGCAATTTTCAGGGGAGGTATGTTCTCATCGACTCCCAAAGAAATCTGCGAAACCTCGGCAAAAGTTTAGCCTTCGCAAAACCTGCAACACACCTGCAACACCCGGGTTACCACCGGGGAGAAACCTGTGTTACGATTACCAAAGTCGTGAACCTCTGCCGAAGTGTGACTGGCGAACATAACTCCCCCACCACGATTTGAAGGGACGTATGCTACGAAAAGCAACAGTCATTCGACTCGCCAGCCCAGCAGGCTGAGTTGGTAGGAGCTGGTTGTTGCTGATTACTCTCACCAAATGCAGCTATATCCATTTTATCCCTAATATCTTTGCACAGCTCCACTAAGTAACCTCAGTCTAGTGGCTTTGTTCTCGTCTCATTCGGCCCTTCGCCATTCGGGCTAGCTAAAGCGATGTTTCGAAGTGATTGCCATGGTTCACTCCCTGGACTCTCATCGCTCAATGCCGTTTGAGCGTCGTGTCGGGCCACGTCGAAGTTAAATCTGCCCGACAAGGCTCTTAGGAATCATGTCAATGCTGCCCTAGATTTTAGCATTTTTCCGCGTTTGCAGCGTTGGCAGACTAACCGCTTCGGCAAGTTAGGGTTCGTCATTGAAGGCAAGGGTCGTGCTTTACGAGCACGTTTAGGGTAATTACTCCTGCATTTCCCCTTCTGTGCTCAGAAGCTCTGGTTCCTAATCCATAAACGAGTTAGCATTAATTTTCCGAAAACCTACCCTGCACCTTGAATCAAAGCGTCGAACACTCGGGTGGCTGATTAGAGGCGTGGCGTGTCGTCATGGACCAGCGGTTTCAGTTGACAGAGCTCATTGGAAAAGGGTCGTTCGGCGATGTGTTCAAGGGGTAAGTCTCCGTTGCTATTGCCATTGCCAATATCGTTCCTAGGATGGACCGCGCTCACACCCTTCGATTTCTCTTGTGAAATCCATCCTCGTAATTCTAATTCCACTCGCATGGCTGACGGTCGTTTTCCATGTCGTCGCTTGGCGTGCCATGCACCTCATGGCTGGGAGTCATTTCATAATCCAATCATGGTCGACTCGTGATATCTTCGTTCTCGCACGGCCTTCAGTGCAGTTCGCACGCATTGTCAGCACTTAGAATCCGAACACGTGATGGCATGAAGCATGACGAACGGGGTACGACCATGTGCTGGCCTGTGGTGCGACCATGAACTCACCTACCGCAATGTGCAGGATTGACAAGGCGACGCCCAAGCAGGAGACAAACAATCAGATCAGACTTCAGCTTCCTCAAAATTGTCTCGTGTGACGACGTGCTGACCTTAGGTGTTACCATGTGGTTACCACATCGTGCAGGATCGACAAGGAGACGGGCAAGCAGGTGGCTGTGAAGATCATCGACCTGGAAGAAGCGTACGTTCCTGATTGTCGTTATTTATACGAATGACAGAATCTTGTTTTTTTCTCCGCATTCCCTCATCCCATTTCGCCCTCGTCCTGTCATCCATTTTGCTTCCTGATTAATTTCTCGTCCCAGCAGCCTGTTTAAGCTTGTCCTGCCGTTCCTGCAAAACAATCCTGCTTCAAATTTCTGGTTTAAGCGGACTTCTTACCTTTCTTACGCCATGCCATGCCATGTCTGCTCTGCTTCTGTGCCATGCCATGCCATGTCTGCTCTGCTGCTGTGCCATGCCATGCCATGTCTGCTCTGCTGCCATGCCATGTCTGCTCTGCTGCCATGCCATGCTATGCCATGTCTGCTCTTTGGCGTGCCATTTCCTGTGTTGCTGTGCTGCAGTGAGGATGACGTGGAGGATATTCAAAAGGTGAGCAATTCACATGGCAGAAAGAGGTTCACGTATAGTAGAAATGCTGCTTGCTGTCTTCTGTTAATCACTCAAGTCTTTGCAAGTCTCTTTGAGCCGTTGCAACTCGTCGCAAATCTTCTCAATTCCTGAATCCATTCAAACCTGCCCTGACAATCTGCACTTGCACAATTCTCTGTGCATGTGAATTCTCCCTCCCTGTGTGCGTGCGTGTGTGTGCGTTTGTGCGCGTTCGTGCATGTGTCACTGCATGGGAGCAGGAGATTGCACTGCTGGCAGAGTGCAGAGCTCCCAACATCACCAGGTACCATACCCTTCCATGCCATGCCATGTCATGCCAGTGCCGCTGTGACCTTGAGGCCCACACCTAGCGAGCCTGGCTAGCATTATCTATTGTAATGTTCCTCCCAAAGCAAATACCAGCTCTAGCATACTACTAGTTTGCAAGTCTGCTTCGTATTCATATGCAGTCAACATATTCCGATTCTATGTAATTTTCCGTGTTCCAACCCCACACAGGTACTACGGCAGCAGTGTGCACAACACCAAGCTATGGATCGTCATGGAGTTCATGGCGGGCGGCAGTGTGGCCGACCTGGTGAGTCTCGCTTTGAGTATTCCCGAAGAGGTCATGAGCAATGCACTACACACAACACCAAGCTATGGATCGTCATGGAGTTCACGGCTGGTGGCAGCGTCGCTGACCTGGTGAGTCTCTCTTTTGAATTTCCTTGAGAAGGTTGTGGACGCAAAAGCAGTGCACATACATACTGCACCGCAGTATGTATGAGAATGTTTGAGAAGGTTGTGCACACTGTGCAAACAATCATGTCAAGGCTCAACAGTCAAACATCTCACAGTCCATCTCTCGTTGAGGGCTCCCTCAGATCAAATCTGCTGCTGCAGGCTCTGGAGTCCCGAGTTCCCTTTGTCATTTTCTCCCTGTCTTGATTTCTCTCATTTACCTTCACCATTTCTCCCCAATCCGCAGCTGCAAGAGGCCCCTCTGGACGAGGCGTCCATAGCGTACATCCTGCACGACCTGCTGCAGGCTTTGGAGTATCTGCACTCGGAGAAGAAGATCCATCGTGACATCAAAGGTGGGGTGCATGTGGTGCGAATCCAAATGGGGCCTGCCTGATTGTGATGTGATGTGGTAGTACCATATCCAGCCAACGACTTGCTGCTTGCTCTTGACCTGTCATGATCTGCTGCTCTGTACCCCTGCTTAACCCTCTGTACCCCTGCCCAACCCTCTGTACCCCTGCCCAACCCTCTGTACCCCTGCCCAACCCTCTGTAACCCTGTCATGTCTCCTGCCACTGAGCAGCGGCCAACATTCTGTTGAACGAGGATGGAGATGTCAAGGTGGCTGATTTCGGTGTGTCCGCCAAGCTCACCAAAACCATCTCCAAGCGAAAGGTGCGTCCGTAACATTGTAACGAGGTGATATTTGAGTCGACGCAAAGCTTACCTTGTGTCCACCGCCAAGCTCACCAAAACCATATCCAAACAAAAGATGCGGTTGTAGTTCGGGATGTTGGCGTATTGGTTCCTGTCTTGAAGTGTGTGCTAAGTCGATTTTTGAGTCAACTCAAAAATTGTCGTATTGGTTCCTGTCTTGAAGTGCGTGCTTCTATTTCTCACTGTTTGTTTGTTTGTTCCACGTACCTCGCTTGTGCCTGACCTGTTTCAACGCCTTGAAACTGAGTATTCCCCTCTTACTGTCACGCACGGCCCCCCTTCTGTGCGCTTACTCCTCCTTCCGCATGCCTGCTTGCTGCATGAAACAGACGTTTGTGGGAACGCCCTTTTGGATGGCGCCAGAGGTCATTCAGAACACCGACGGATATGACGAGAAGGTGAGCTTCTTGCCGAATTCTCACTGCGTTTGTTGAAGCCCAAGTGTCACGATCGTTGAATAGCCTTCTTCTGGGTAATTTCGCGGAGTTTGAAAACAATAGCACTGCCATCCTCTCCCCCACTCCCCCTCCGCTCCCCCTCTCTCCACCTTCTTCCCATACCAGGCGGACATCTGGTCGCTGGGCATCACAGCCATTGAGATGGGCAAGAGGTGTGCTGTCCCACTCCCTTTCTCTCATACCCTTTACTCTCTCCTCCCGCCTCCCCCTCCTCCCACCTCCCCCTCCTCCCACATCTCCCTCCCACCAGGCGGACATCTGGTCGCTGGGCATCACAGCCATCGAGATGGCCAAGGGGGAGCCGCCCTTTCCTTCCCTCCTTACTCTCCTCGTTGCTCCCTCCCTCGTTTCCTGGCGTTCATCCCCTTTCCCTTCCCCCTCCTCCCCATCACTTCTCCCACCAGGCGGACATCTGGTCGCTGGGCATCACAGCCATCGAGATGGCCAAAGGGGAGCCGCCCTTTGCGGATCTGCACCCCATGCGCGCGCTCTTCCTCATTCCCAAGGACCCTCCGCCGCAGGTGAGAGTGCTTGCACGGAAACAGGAGGGGGCGGTTCCCTTCCCCTTGGGTGAGTGAGTGAATGCGGATCTGCACCGCATGCGCGCGCTCTTCCTCATTCCCAAGGACCCGCCGCCGCAGGTGAGAGTGCACTGCACCCTTCACCTATCTGCAGTGCAGGTGGGGTGTAGGCGGTGCAGGTGAGGTGAGGGTGCCTATCTGCACCCCATGCGCGTGCTCTTCCTCATGTTCAAGGACCCGCCGCCGCAGGTGAGAGTGCACCCGTCACCTATCTGGCAGGTGAGATGCACGCAGGCGGTTCTCTAGTCTAGAGTACCCGTTGAGTGCTTATCTGCACCCCATGCGCACGCTCTTCCTCATCCCCAAGGACCCCCCGCCGCGGGTGAGAGTGCTCCCTTGCACCCGCGGCACCTGATGCTCACGGTTCTTTAGACTTATTAAACAGTCTCCGGTGAGTGCAGATCTGCACCCCATGCGAGCATTCTTTCTCATTCCCAAGGACCCTCCACATCAGGTGAGAGTGCACCCTGCACAGGTAAGGGTAAGGGGAGAACCCCCTTGGGTGAGTGAGTGCGTGCGGATCTGCACCCCATGCGTGCACCCTTCCTCATCCCCAAGGGCCCTTCCTTTCCATTCTCTCCTCCTTGCTGCCCCTCCCCGCACAACCCTGCCTTGTGCCTGCAGTTGGACGACCATTTCTCAAAGCCCTTCAAGGAGTTTGTCAACCGCTGCCTTAACAAGACTCCCTCCCGTCTCCCGTTTCTCGTGCCCATCCCTCCCACTCTCTCCTTCCGATTCCCCCGCACAACCCTGCTTTGTGCCTGCAGTTGGACGACCATTTCTCGAAGCCTTTCAAGGAGTTTGTCAACCTCTGCCTTAACAAGACTGCCAGAGAGGTGAGGGGGGCGAATGGGAAGGTGAGAGGCGGTGGGTGGAGAGGTGAAAGGAGCGAGAGGAGAGGCAGACAGGAGAGAAGGAAGGTGATACGGCTTTTTTGTTGAAAACTCTTCCAATATTTTATTACCTTCTCCTTGACTTGGTTTTTTACAGAGGCCCAGCGCCAAGGAGTTACTGAAGCATCGGTTTGTCAAGTACGCACGCAAGACCCCGCGGATCATCGACCGCGTGAGGGAGAGGGTGGAGATTGGGGGGGAGCGCGTGGTGTTGCCGCGACTCATCAACCCTTGCCTATCGCTTGCCTTGCTCCCCCCCTTTGCATGATTTCTCCGACTGCCTGCTTGGCTGCATTCAGAGGCCCAGCGCCAAGGAATTACTCAAGCATCGGTTCGTGAAGTATGCACGCAAGACCCCGCGGATCATCGACCGCGTGAGGGAGAGGGTGGAGAGTGCGGGGGAGCGCATTGTATCGCCGCGCATGAAGCCAGACGACCCGGAGGACGGCCCTCCCCAATCCGCCGCTGCTGCTGCTGCCGCTGCTGTCGCTGCTGCCACCGCTGCTAGCAGCGCGCCGAGGTGAGCAATGGACAGTGATTTGAGCTAGTGTGGGGGGCGGGAATGGAGAGGGAGAGGGTGGAGAGTGCAGGGGAGCGCATTGTATCGCCACGCATGAAGCCAGACGACCCTGAGGTCTGCCCTCCGCAATCCGCCGCCGCCGCTGCTGCTGCCGCTACTGCCGTCAGCAGCGCTCCCAGGTCATCGTTAGTGATACAGGGAATTGTTTTTAAAAAGTGATGAAGGAATTTATACGCTTACTGAGTCTTCACTCCATGCTCTCGCCCCATGCTCCATGCTCTCGCCCCATGCTCCATGCTCTCGCCCCATGCTCCATGCTCTCGCCCCATGCTCCATGCTCTCGCCCCATGCTCCATGCTCTCGCCCCATGCTCCATGCTCTCGCCCCATGCTCCATGCTCTCGCCCCATGCTCCATGCTCTCGCCCCATGCTCCATGCTCTCGCCCCATGCTCCATGCTCTCGCCCCATGCTCCATGCTCTCGCCCCATGCTCCATGCTCTCGCCCCATGCTCCATGCTCTCGCCCCATGCTCCATGCTCTCGCCCCATGCTCCATGCTCTCGCCCCATGCTCCATGCTCTCGCCCCATGCTCCATGCTCGCCCCACGCTCCATGCTCTCGCCCCATGCTCCATGCTCTCGCCCCATGCTCCTCCGCCCCCTCCCCAGGCACTCGCGCATGGCGAGTTGGGACTTCGGCACGGCCACGGGCACCATGAAACCCACTGAAACGCTGCTGTGCTGTTGCTGATTCTTCTAACCAGGGGGCCCTGGATCCTCCTCACACTGGCTTTCTCGTTCTTCTCTTCTTGTGTTTGAAGAAGTGTTTTGAGACGTCTCAAAACACTTCTTCTTCAAACCCCTGGATCCTCCTCACACTGGCTTTCTCGTTCTTCTCTTCTCTCCTCCTCCCCTTGCCTCCTCCCCCCAGGCACTCACGCATGGCGAGTTGGGACTTTGGCACGGCCACGGGCACCATGAAACCCACTGAAACGCTTCGCAGGCAGATCCGCGCCGCTGTTGCTGACCCCTCTGAGGGGGGTGGGGCTGATGGCATGGGGAGGGATGACGGGGGAGGGGGAGGCGGAGGGGGAGGGGGAGGGGATGGGTACGATGGGGGGAAGCGGAGTGGGACGGTGCGGCGCAAGCCGCGTGATTCTGGGAGTGGGACTGTAAAGAAGGGTGCGAACACAGGCACGGTTAAGGCTAGCAAGGGGAAAGGGGGGTCGTCTGGGGGATCGGGGGGAGGCGCAGGGGGAGGAGGCGGGGGAGGAGGGGGGGGGGGGAGGAGGGGGGGGGAGGAGGAGGGGAGGAGGGAGTGGCGAACGGGGAGAAAGGGGGGTTGTATGGGAGCGGGTGGGGGAGCGAGAGTGAGGGCTCGGGCACCGATGAGGAGGGGGTGAGTTCGGTTCTAACACTTTGTAAGGGGGGGCGATTGGGGTTTTGGCTGACTTGTAAGTGTTTTGTTTCTTGCAATCCGATTGCCTTCCAGCTTTTAGACGTCTCAAGTCGCAGAGAGAAAAAGATTCAACCCAGATCTCCAGACTTAGCTCGTTCTAATCTCCGCTGATCTGTGGTTGCGAGGTGATCTTTGAGTCGACTCAAAAGTCACCACGTCTCATTAGGCAATCCTTTCAGTCTTACAGTCTTACTGAAACCTATTGAGAATCCCTCCCCCTTACCACCGTTTCTGTGAAACGTGATGGGCCACGTTCTTACTTCCTTCCCTCCCGCTTACCGCCTTCTCTTTTCTCCCCTCCCGCTTTGCCAACCCGTCCCTTTGCCTCACAGGGGGGCGGCAAGGGGCGCAGGAGAGGCAGCAAGCCGCCCCTGCCTGATGGCTCTCAAGCGGTATGATGGGTGGTGGCACGGTTGGCATGGGTGGGATGGGGTTGTGTGGTGTGGTGGAATGATGGCATGATTGCAAGGGTGGCATGAGAAAGGCATCGAAGGGTGCAGGAGAGGCAGCAAGCCGCCCCTGCCTGATGGCTCTCAAGCGGTATGAATGGTGGCATGGATGGTGGCCTGGATGGTGGTATGGATGGTGGTATGGAATGGCATAGGTGGTAGCATGACATGGCATGGATGGTGGCATGGCATGGATGGTGGCATGGCATGGGTGGTAGCATGACATGGCATGGATGGTGGCATGGGTGGTAGCATGACATGGCATGGATGGTGGCATGGCATGGGTGGTGGCATGGCATGGATGGTGGCATGGCATGGGTGGTGGCATGGCATGGGTGGTGGCATGGCATGGGTGGTGGCATGGCATGGGTGGTGGCATGGCATGGGTGGGTGGGGCCATTGTGTGGGTGGGGTGGATGGGGCGGTGGTACGGTTGGTGCCTGAGGTGTTATGGTATGGCTTCCTTACTCGCTCTTCTGGGTGGATTGTTTGTAATCGACTCAATAAATCTGGACTTTTGAGACGTCTCAAAAGGAGATGGGGTGGTAAGGTAAGGTTGGTGCTAGGGGTCTTATGGGTGTTCTGGCTCCCTTACTCGCTCTTCTGGGTGTGCGTGTGTGCCACTCCCCTTGGGTTCCTCAGTTTAAGTCTGCAGAGGGCTTAGTTGATTGACATGTTTCTTATTTGCCCAGCCCACTGCCCCTCTTCCGCCGCCCCTCTTTCTTGTATCCCTCTCTCCTCTTCTCCTCTCCCGTCGCTCTAATTCTGCGGAAGGTGGGCGTAAATAAGGAGGATTGGGCAACCAACATGGCAGAGAGGCACTCAAGGCCTATGATGCGAAAGACGCGTCCTGCGTCCTGGACGCATGCGTCCGGACGCAGGACGCTTCACCAGGACCAGAAAGACGCACCAAAAGACGCAGTCCCGGGCAGGCAAAAAAAACCCCCGGGCAGGCAAAAAAACTTGTTAAAGGGCATGGGATGAGGAGGGGGGGGGGAACGTTCCACACTTTTAAGGCAAACTTGGCCCCAACATCCCTAGATGCGTTAGATGACGTAGGGTTGCTTGAGGAAGCCATAATGGAGCTAAGCTATGCTTGTAGGCTAAAACCTCTAGGGTTTTCGAAAGAGAATTGGTTGGGTGGGTGAAATGAGAAATGACTTGGTTGGATTGCTAAATGGGCTTGGTGGTAGGCACCTAGGCTGGGTTTTCTAGTTGTGAAGTGGTTGAGAGGTATTTGGAATTCAATTGTTGCATGGGGGGTTATGAAATGTTGGGGGGGGACTGTTTTTCAATGTCGAATTGGGCAATGGGGGGTCAAAATTTCGCGATTTCGACAGTCGCGTCGAAATCGCGAGATTGAAATTCGTAATCTGGAAAAAAAAAAAAAAAAATCGGGGCAGCCCGAAAAAATTTCGATCTGCGTCCTGCGTCTGGACACGCGTCTTGCGTCCTAGCGTCCAGACGCTGCGTCCAGACGCAGGACGCAGCGTCCTCTGAGCGTCTTTCGCATCATAGCTCAAGGCCATGAAGAGGGGGGGGAAGGGGGGGACACCATGCTGCTGGATTGACTCACATGTTCCTTCGGTGTGCTCTCTCCTTTCCCCAGTCTGACTTGGCAAAGGGTGGGCGTAAATAAGGAGGATTGGGCAACCAACATGGCAGAAGCACTCACGGCCATGAAGGGGGGAGAGGCACCTTATTAAGCTGTCTTGGCTCGAATGTTCTGTGTGTGCCTCTCTTCCCTTTGTGGGCCTCTCAGTCTGAGAAGGGTGGGCGCAAGGAGGACTTGGCAACCAACATGGCAGAGAGGCACTCAAAGCCATGAAGGGGGGAGGGGAGGGGAGGCAATGTAATTCTTATTCTGACTATTACGTCTCCTTTGTCTCTACCCCATGAGTGTTTCTCAGTCGGAGGAGGGTGGGCGCAAGGAGGACTCGGCAACCAACATGGCAGAAGCACTCAAGGCCATGAAGGGAGGGAAGAAGGGCGGGGGAGGGCGGGCGAGCAGAGCGGGCGGGGGAGGAGGAGGAGGAGGGGGGGATGCCATGGACAGTGGCACCGTTCGAACAAGGTATGTGCTGTGCTGTGTGTATGGGATGATGTGCGATGTATGCAGTGAGTTGCATGTTGGTTGAGCAGAGGGGCCGAGCAGAGGGGCCGAGCAGAGGGTTTAGGGTCGGGGGCGGGAGAGGAGGAGGAGGAGGGGGGGATGCCATGGACAGTGGCACCGTTCGAACAAGGTATGTGCTGTGAGATGATATGGTATGATGTACGATGTCCTTTGTGAGATGATATGGTATGATGTGCAATGTATTCTGTGAGTTGATATGGGATGACATATCCCTCATCCCTCTCCCTCTCCCTTCCCCATCCCCAGAAAACCCAAGGCAGGGGGGCGGAGGGGCGGTGGAGGAGGAGGAAGGGAGGAGCAGGGAGGAGCGAGAGTGGCTGGAAGGGATGCCGCTGTGTCATCCTCGCCTCTGCTCTCCCTCGTGCTCATGCCGGCATTCAAGGAGGTGCGTCTGCCTTGCTTTTATTATGGCGACTCAAATGAGAGTGGCTGGCAGGGATGCTGCTGTGTCGTCGTCGCCTCTGCTCTCCCTTGTGCTCATGCCTGCTTTCAAGGAGGTACGGTGCAATCAGGTGGTTCTTTTGCATTAAGGGCATATCTCAATTCGGGTCATGGGCACTGTTTGGGTCATCCGAGATTCTTGGACGACCAATAAGGCGCATTTCAGCAACACTACTGGAATACCATTGGTCCTCCTATGACCCAAAGTGGCCTTATTACTCGAACTGAGATACGCCCTAAGGGGTTCAATTATTATGACGACACACACCCTCCCCCCTCACCCCCCCCCCCCCCCCCCTCTTTGTCCCAGCTCTTAGAAAAAAAAATAGTAGCAGCAGCAGATGTAGCCAATGTGCCCTTTCCACCTTAATTTTCCCCCGCTTGCTCACACCAGGTGGCAGCGGAACAGCAAGAGCAGGCAGCAGTGCGGGCAGCGGCAGATGCAGCAGATGAACCTCGTGTGCCCTTCTCCATTCTCTTTTCTGTTTCGATTATGTCTTTTGTTCGCTCACTCCAGGTGGCAGCGGATCAGCAGGAGCAGGCAGCGGTGCGGGCAGCAGCAGACGCAGCAGATGCTCTAGTGGAGATGGAACGATGCGCCCCCGGCTCCTGCCAGTTGCTGCTGGCCAGCCTGCTCGGCAAACTCGGCAGGTGATTTGCTCCCTTCGCCCTCCCTCCGTCGTTCACCCCTTGGAGTGAACTGTGGAAACATAGAGATGTGCATTGGTGGAGATTGAGGGGTGCGCCCCCGGCTCCTGCCAGTTGCTGCTGGCCAGCCTGCTCGGCAAACTCGGCAGGTGATTTGCTCCCTTTGCCCTCCCTCCGTCGTTCACCCCTTGGAGTGAACTGTGGAAACATAGAGATGTGCATTGGTGGAGATCGAGGGGTGCGCCCCCGGCTCCTGCCAGTTGCTGCTGGCCAGCCTGCTCGGCAAACTCGGCAGGTAAGCTCTCAACTCATCCAGCCCATGTGGTGAAGATGGTTGGGAGGAAAGGCAACAGGTCTCTAAGTATCATCACTTACTTTACAGTGCATCAGAGGAGATGCCTCGTTTGCGTGACTCACATCCATCTCTTTCTTCCCTTTCTTTACCTGACGGTGCATTCACATTCACATTCACTCCCACATTCACATTCACTCCCACATTCACTCCCACATTCACTCCCACATTCACATTCACATTCACTCCCACATTCACTCCCACATTCACAGTGCATCAGAGGAGGTCCCCTCGCTGCGTGACCTGAAGGCCAACGCTCGCAGGCAGTTTGGGGGCTCAGGGGGCGAGGGGGGAGTTCCCAACTGCAAGAATCTTCCCTTCCCCCTCCCCCATCTCCCACTCACGTCACAGTGCATCAGAGGAGGTCCCCCCTCTCCGTGACCTGAAGGCCAATGCGCGCAGGCAGTTTGGGGGGCCAGGGGGTGAGGGAGGAGCGGATGGGCGAGCGGACAGGCGGCATGGCAAGGGGGGAGACGATGACGTGAACAACCTGAGCCCCCTGGGAAGCTTCCTCTTCCGCAGGTGATTTTGCTTTCGCGCTTGATGAATACACCTAGAAGGGAGGGGGAGGGGCGGATGGGCGAGCGGACAGGCGGCATGGCAGGGGGGGTGACGATGACGTTAACAACCTCAGCCCCCTGGGAAGCTTCCTCCTCCGCAGGTGAGAGATAATTTCCTTTCGCCCTTTGTGAGTTGAACCAGAGGCGGAGGGGCAGGGGCGGATGGGCGAGCGGATAGGCGGCATGGCAAGGGGGGTGTTTTGAGACGTCTCAAAACAACACTTTTGACGAAGAACCTCAGTCCCCTGGAAAGCTTTTGAGGCGCCTCAAGGATGGCAAGGGGGGTAGGACGAAGAACCTCAGTCCCCTGGAAAGCTTCCTCCTCCGCAGGTAATTTTCTTTTTTGCCTTAAGAAATGACCCAGGGGGGTACTTTTGAGGCGCCTCGAATTTTTTGTTTTTGCGCCTTAAGAATCGACCCATTGGGCGAGGTGTTCTCGACCTCCGAATGTATGCTCAGCAATGGGTTGCAAGGGTTGTGTACACCCTGTTCTCTTGGTAGCATTGCTGGTATGCAAGAGGGGAAGAGCGATATCTCCAAAACCTTCCCATCGGGCAGGTTCCTCCTCTGCAGGTGAGCTGAACCTCCGATTTTCCTTTTTTCCTTTTTTTTTTTTTCCTCCCTTTTGTTTTCCTTTTTTTTTTTTTTTTACTCCTTTTCCTTCAGTGTTTATCTTTCCCAATCAAGATTAGCAGCCCTCAGAACCCCATGTCTTTGTCAGGCAGGGCAGGAATACACCCTGATCCCCTTCATCCTCCTCCCTTCAACCCCCAACTCTCTCCCTACACCCGCGCAGATGGAAGGGAAACTCGCTGCTGGAGTCAGGATGACCTTTTAGCCCAGCGCTGCTTGCTAGCTAGTACCACCGTAATATGCTGAGTTGGCAGGGTGGGATGGGATGTCGCAAGCCAGCATTGCGATGCGACGTCGTAATCCATGGCTGAGGTGCAACATGATGTGATGTGAACGACGATGCTGGGTTGGGTTCTGTTATAATGCCGGGGCGGGACGTCTCAGTGAGCTTTGAGGCCAAGCTTTTGAGGTCTATTATGATGCCCGAGTGCTGTTGAAATGGAGGGACATATCTGTTGGCGTGGGGAGTTCCTTTTGTTGTATCACTGCCCGACTCAAGCTGAGAAGAAGGGAACTTGGACACAAACTGCACTCGTCTTATGGATATGTGCCCATTTGTATGAGATTATGTGTTTTTCCAGTGAATGGAGTGGAGAGCCACTGCTGGATATGTGCCCATATGCATGGAATGGACCTTCTCTCTTGCCCTTATCCTAGGTAGGATGAAGCCTTCCTCTACGCTCTGCTCTGTTCAAATATCGATAACATATCCATTACCGTACATAGTTTCCTGGGATATTAAACTCTACACCGTGTACTTGTGATTTCCAGCTTCGAGGAATTAAATTCCGTTTATGGGAAAACCATTGGTGCTGCTATCCCAAATCTCTTTTCAAGTAGCTTGTCCGAGCACTTGAGGAGTTGAATCAAACACACCTTCTTCCGTGCCTGCTGCAGCGCTGCCATCGCCGAGCCTTGTTGACCTGTGACTCCTGTCCCCAACTTGTTGCTGCCTGAAATATACTCCAGGCCATTATAACTTCCAACCTCTTCACCGCATTCCACCTCTTTATCTCGTTCCACATCTTGCGACCCATCTTCCGACCCTGCGTCAGTATCCTTCACATTCTCCCTCCTACGTTCACCTCTCCATTGAACGGCCATCACTCTATATGGCACCAACTCATAGCCCATGCTCAGAAGTGCCACATGGCACGGTCTGATTCGCTGATCCAAACTCAACATTAGGAACTGAGGAAACGCAAGCACCTCCATTATAGACAGCCCCATGTCCCGTTTTAGGTACTCCACCTTGTGCCTCGTGTTCCTCTCCCAATTGGAGTAAATCGATGCTGGGGACTTCAGCACCAGACGCACCACTAGATCACGGGCTGTGGCGCTAGTTCTGCTCTCAGCCATTAGATCACGAGCTGTGGTGCCAGTGCTGCCATCAGAACCTCCTCTTTTGCCTGCCCTTGCTTCAGCCCAGCTATTAAATCTGACTCCAAAGCCAGCGCTGCTCTCCCCTTGCTTTGGACTTATGCTTCCATTTTCTTTAGGCGACTCAAAGGGAAGACTTTCTATTGCGTTTTCATCTTCTTCACCACTCTCCAACGCCTTTTCCATTTCTCGCACAAGTTTTCTGAAGCTCCCTTTGACATTCGCTTCGCTAGAATTCAGCAGCAAAGGAAACCGCGCCACTGCAAGCACGGTGTTCTCTCGCCCAATCAGATCGCTCAGCAATGCCACCGTGCCTTGCAGGTTCTCTAAGGATAGTTTAAGAACCGACGGATGGTTTCGCACCACACTCGCAGCTGCATTCTTCCCCACCAGATCCACTAAGTATTGGAGCTTAGCTAAGAGTTTATCCGAGCTGAGGAGGACGATGGTGGGGGCAAGGCGGAGAACCGGGCTTCCTATGGATGGGGTGCCTGGGGGAGTGAAGGACTGGAGGAGGCTGAGATTAGTGGCGATGACCTTTTGGGAGGGAAGGAGGATGTGCGGTTGCTGCAACAGGAGTTTTCTCAGGTGTTGCTTGTGTTGCTTCAGGTGCCCACTGCTGACGTTTCCTTCTTCGTATCCATCAGTCAAGTACGCTGATAGCAGCTCAAGCCGGCTTCGTATGGATTCTTCCTTGCTGCATAAAACGGTTGGGGCTTTCTCTATAATCACACCCAGCTTGTCCACAGGAACCCCTGCTGTCTCCACCAGAATGTCCAGGTTCGCTGAACGAGCCCGTGCGCGAATGAGATATCGAGACCTTCGAAACACCGTACCTAGCTTGGTTCGGCGTACACCCCGAGCCAAGAGAAAGTCAAGCATTTCCCGAACCTGGGGAAGGAAGACTCGGAGCCAGGAAGGGGTTCTCATGGTGATGGCTGAGATGTCGGCACATGATACGCCATACGACTGGAGGAGGTGGACACGTGGCAGCAAGTCATTGGTGGGATTGGAGCGGAGGAGTTGGGGGTGGGAGGCGAAGAGGGAAGCGACAATGGAAGGGGAGGAGATGCCGAGGTGGGACGAGAAGAAGCGGTAGAGGGAGACGAGGGAGGAGGGAGAGGTTGCACGTGCGTTTCCTGGACGAGAAGTGGTTCCTGGAAAGTCCTCCTCCTTCACTTCTGCTTCGTCTCGCTCACCCTCGTCCCCTTCCTCCCCAATTTCTAATTCCAATCGCTCCACATCCCCTTCCTCTTCTTCTGCTCTCTTCGCCTCCTCCTCATAACCAATTCTTCCGTCTGTAAACCCCACCTCCTCCTCCTCCCTTACGATCTGAGGCCCGAATTTCTTTCTCAGCACTCCAGCAATCACTGCCACTGCCTCCTCCTCCTCCTCGCTGGCGGCACATCCTCCCCTCCCACCTCCTCCCCTCACTCCTCCTCCCCTCCCTCCTCCTCCGCTCCCTCCTCCTCCGCTCCCTCCTCCTCCCCTCCCTCCTCCTCCCCTCCCTCCACTCCTTTTCCCCCCTCCTTCATCATTCACCTCCGCTTTCCCCGCTCGTCCGGCACGTCTCATTCGCCCTCCTCCGCCAACCACCTCCTCCTTTTCCACCCTACTCTCGCTCGCTCCTGGCTCTCCTCCCCCCTCTCGTTCTCCCTCCTCTATTCCCTCGGTATGCAACCGAGCCTCAGTCCCAACCGCCGGTACTGGTTCGCCATCAATGCTCGGATCGGTTCGCACGTTCGCACCCTCGGTCTCGGGAGCCGCGGCTGGTCTGGACAAGAATCGAACGGGACATCTTATAGCGAGGCACCGATCAGGGGTTCGAATCCTGACGACTGCTCTTTGCGCAGGTTGGTGAGGGTTAAAACCGAACTGGCAGAGGCTTCGGGAGGAAGGTGTAGGAAATATAGAAGGTATAGAAGGTGTTGATGTGATTCCAGGCTTCGCTAAGAAAGGCACAGACCGAGGCGTAGAAGAATGCGTGATATATCTAAATGTGTATCTTAGTATCCACGCGCTGGATAGCCGTGGCGAGGTACGACTCGCAATGGCAAAAAGGAGAAGGATATAGCGAAAAAGGAAGAAAACTGCATGAACGCGTCGCGGGTTACCAATGGTTCCTAGTACGCCAAGCACGACAACTCGATAGAGGCGTGAATTTGTTGTATGCTTGCATGCAGTCATTTCTCCTTGCAGAAGCAAAATCGAGAGGAAACGGAAGCAGGCAGATTACAGGAAGCGCAGATCGAACAGGAATTCATGGGATCAGAATCTTCCCGAAGTCAACGGATACTTTTCTGCTGCTTCCCATCCCTGCCACTGGGACTACCGATATTTTCGTTGCTAAACATCAGGTGGAATTTGTGCTTTCGCTTCTGGTTGTTACCGTGCGAAAGGTTCATTAGGCACCATTATCAGTGGAAGTGTCGTTTCGAGTTCGTACGCGGTATAACGAATTTGTCAACGACACCATATTGAGTCTTCATTCACAACGTCACACAATACGAATCATTTGAATCACCGTGACGACAGCCATCAATATAATATGATATCTTAATTTTTAATGTAATTCAACATTGATGGTTGCCATTGCACCATTAGAAATTGAATTTCCCTAGCACATAGGTATTTCCAATATCCTGTACGAAGTACATTCATCATGATACATTGCGTGGACGGGTCCTATAAAATAGCGAGTACACACATCTGGGGGATGTCCTCCTCCCTGATTCTCGAATCTCTCGGTTTTGTTCGGTTCTTTGCGGTCCATAGCGGCAAAAATTATTGATTTTGTTATCGTGTAGAAACACACTGAACCGCAACAGGCTGATGGACAAATTGGCGGGACGGGCCCCACGATTTCAGAAATGTCAGACTTCCCGCCAAATTCAGAACCTTGGGGTTGTTCCTCCAATCACAGGAGTCTCGTTCAATCAATCCTCTGTCATCGTTGCGTTGGTCTCTCCGCTGAAAGCCAGCGAACACGCACGTGCAACAGCAAACGCAGCAACCTCTCCTCTCCGTCCTTATTTGACCTTTTTCTCACCGCTTGCCTTTCTAGTTTCCAGTAATAGCTTCGTTGCCGTAGGCTGTTTTCAGGATATTCCTCCAGTTGCAACGTGTCACTTTGTGATCTGTCGTCGTATTCTCGATATTGTCACACCGCACACAGGCTACCGTCGCCAGCCTGATCGCTAGACACGTCGCAGAAGTTCGATGAAATTGCCATCGCACCTTAGCGTCAGTAGCAAGGTTACGAGAGTTCCCTTTTTTCAGTAGTAAAGTAAGCCATTACTTTTGGCCTGTTGGACTGTCGCTGAAACAGGAGCCTGCCTGAAGCGCTCGGGAAGGCGAGGGAGCGGGACGAATATCTAGCTTCTTCTGAAGGTCTTGCCTCGAGAAAACGATCGCCAGAGATGACGCCACGTGGCGAACGGATAATTCGAAGCGATGAGGATAGCCTTCTCGGAAATTCGGCACCCAGAACAGAAACGGGTGTGTACTCTTCAGGTAAAAATGTCGCTGGTTCGAATCCCGATAGAATATTACCCTGCTCAGGCACACGCAGGATCTGTATATCTTCTACTGGTGAAGATGATCGCACGGCCGGTGTTAGCAAAATGGGTAACCTCGTTGCGCGTGGGAACTCTGGCCAGACCAGAATCGAGACTAACCAGCCTACTAGTAGGAGCAAAAAAGCAGGAGATTCTTCACATAGGATCCGAGAACCTGTGGTATCGGCAGGCGCGCCGGCATGCCCACCATCTAGAGATGTGGCTGAAATTGACGGCTTAGAACCGCAAACGCACGGTACGGAATCCGAAACTGTTCGTACCGATCATGAACAGCGTCGCTCGCCGTCTGAAACGCGCGGCGTAGCTGCTAGCGATTTATTAGAGGATAGTTATTTTTCAGCGCAGTCCGACGGCTTCGTAACGGGTTACGCTGAACGGATTATTGCGGGAGAAGGACACGCGGATGATGCGAACGGGGTAGACGACGAGGTGCAGCAGCGCGTCCGTGCGGGAGATTCCGTTGTTGGTGCTTGTAACGAAGAGGCTAGAAACGAGCGGGTAGAGGTAGAGACGGAAGACGAGGTAAATCTGGGTGGGAAATTTATGGAGGATGCAGAAATTGCGGAAGCTGCAGAGGATGCCGCGGAGGAGGTGGTGGTTGTGGAGATTGAAGAGGCCGACTTGAGTGTGGAGGTGGAAGGGAAGGAGGAGGAAGGTAAGGAGGAGGAAGAGAAGGAGGAGGAGGAAGAGGAGGAGGAAGAGGTTGATGTGGAAATTGAAGGGGATGAGTTGCGTGTAGAAATAGAGGACGATGCGGTGAGCATGGATATAACGGAGGAGGAGGTAGAGGAAAGCATGCACGCGGGCGTGGCTGCAGTAGGCGCGTTTGTCGGCTGGCATCCCGTGGAAGCTAGCGGAAGGGGCGCCTCCGCCCCGCGCGGGGCCCGCGGCGGAGCGGACGGCGCGGGGGAAAGCGCGGAGGGTTTGCGCGGGGCGGAGGGGCCCCGGACTCCCGACGGGTGGTTTGGGGAATCAGCGCTGGTAGGCGCGCGGGATGGGGGCCGGGGGGGCGATAGCGCGGATGATGGTTCGGAAATTAGAGCAGCGGTAGGCGGAAGGGATAGCGCAGCGGATGCGGAAGAGGGTCGCGCACGAGGGGAAGGGGAAGGGGGGAAGGGGAGGCGGCGAGCGGGCCGCAAGTCGGTGGGGAGGGGTAGGGCGGGGCAGGGGAGAAGGAGAACCGGGAAGGGCGCGGGAGATTCAGCTAGGACAGGCACGGGAGGTGGGAGTGGAAGCACGGGCAACGAGCAGGGGGGGTCGGGGGTAGCGGAAACGCAGGCGGGTGGGACGTTTCAGGGGAAGGAGGAGGAGAAGCAACGCACGGGAGGACGTTCAACGAGGAAAGAAGTGCGAACGAGGGGTCAGGCGCGGTTGGCAGTGGTGAGGCAACTGAGCTTCCGCCGGGCGCTGGTTAAATGGAGCCCGCCTAGAGGGAGGCGGAGACCTGCTGCTGTGGCCGCTGCTGCTGCCTTGAAAGAAGCTGCAACGCCGAGGGGGAAAGGGAAAGGGAGAGGGAGAGGGGTAGGGAAGGGGGAAGGGATTGGGAAAGGGAATGGGAGGGGAAAGAGTGAAGGGGCAGGGGAAGGGACAGGAGCAGGGACAGCGAAAGGACAAGGGACCGGGAAAGAGACAGGGATTGGGAGGAGAAAGGGAAAAGAGAGTGGGGAAGGGAATGGAAGCAAGGGGGTAGTGTTAGGGCCTGCTGTAGCAGCAGGTAAGAAGGGACGCAAGGGTAAGGGACAGAGAGGGCAAGTAGTGGCTGCTGCAGCAGCGTCAGATGCAGCGATAGTGCGAGATGCAGGAGCAGCTTCAGGAGCAGCGGCAGGTGCAACGTCAGGAGCAAAGGCAGGAGCAACGGCCGTATCTCGAGCAGTAGCAGCAGCAGGAGGTAAGTCAGGTGGGAGTAGTGCTGCTGGCTCGTCTGGAAGGGCTCCGTTAAGAGTTATAACGGATGCGTTGGATAAAGGGAGGGCCGCGGGGACAGCTGGAGCAGCAGCGAGATTGAGGAAGGAGAGGAGGGAGAGTGCGAAGAGGGGGGAGAGAGCGGAGAGGGCGGAGAGGGCGGAGAGGAGAGGCAAGGCCAAGGCTCGAGATGTCTTATGGTTGAAACGGCAGAGCTTAGAACGAGGGGGTAAGGCCGGTGCGAACACAGGGGCGAAAGCAGGGGCGAAAGCAGGGGCGAAAGCAGGGGCGAAAGCAGGGGCGAAAGCAGGGGCGAAAGCAGGGGCGAAAGCAGGGGCGAAAGCAGGGCCGCAAGCAGGGGCGAAAGCAGGGCCGCAAGCAGGGGCGCAAGCAGGGCCGCAAGCAGGGGCGCAAGCAGGGCCGCAAGCAGGGCGGCAAGCAGGGGCGCAAGCAGGGCCGCAAGCAGGGGCGCAAGCAGGGGCGCAAGCAGGGGCGCAAGCAGGGGCGACTCCTGAGTTTATGAAAATGCGTTTGAGAAAGGGGCAGAGAGGAGGGGTGAGGGGCGGAGGGCAGAGGATGGAAGGGGTTGGCAAGGCAAGTGGTGTGACTCCTGAGTTTATGAAGATGCGTTTGAGGAAGGGGCAGAGAGGGGTGAGGGACGGAGGGGTGAGGGACGGAGGGGTGAGGGGCGGAGGGAATAGGAAGGAAGGAGCTGGCCAGGCAAGTGGGGTTACTCCTGAGTTTATGAAGACGCGTTTGAGGAAGGGGCAGAGAGGGGTGAGGGACGGAGGGAAGAGGAAGGAAGGGGTTGGCCAGGCAAATGGGGTGAGTGCTGAACTTATAAAGACGCCTTTACAGAAGGGGCGCAGAGGAGGGGTGAGGGGCGCAGGGCGCGGGGAGGAAGAGGCTGATCCGTCTGGTAGTGCGAGTCCTGATGTGGTGGAGGTGCCTCTGGTGCAGGTGCCTCTGGTGGAGCATGGGGGGCCTATGGTGGGGCATGGGGTGGAGGTGGAGCAGGGTAGGCCGTGTGGTGGGGCTGTTTCTGAGGCGCCTCAGAAGGAAAGGCTTAGGCCGTGTGTTGGGGCCTTTTCTGAGGATTCTCAGAAGGGAAGGCTTAGGCCGTGTGGTGGGACTGTGCGGGAAGGAAGGAAGCGGAAGCGGGCAGATGCGAGGGTGGAAGAAGCGGAGAGCGCGGGTGGGGGGCTGGCAGACGAGGAGGACGGAGCATGTAGAGGCGTGGATGCATGGGATGAGTCTCCGTTGAATAGTCCTCTGCGTGGGGCTGCTGGGGCGTCAGTCACAGTTGGGAGAGCAGTGGGAGCAGAGGAAGCAGTGAGGGGGGAAGTGGGAGCAGTGGGTGTAGTGAGGGCAGTGAGAGAACTAAGGGCAGTGAGAGAAGTGAGTGCAGGGACTGGATCTGCAGCAGCAGCAGCAGCAGCTGCTGCATTTGGGAGTCCCATTGATGTAGCTTCGCCTGATAATGTCACACGGTCTGCCAATGCTGCCAGTGCTGCCACTGCCGCCACTGCTGCTGGTGACATCACTGCTGCCACTGCTGCTAATGCGACAAATGCACCATCCCTTAATGCGCATGTTGTTTCTGACTCGCCACGACCCGCAACACCACCCCCTGCTTCCTCACGTCTCCAACGCTCCAATGCTGCCGGTGCTACCACCGCTGCCAATGCTACCAACGCTACTAACACGGCCAATGCACCATCCCCCAGCGTGTCAGCTCCTTCCAACGCGCCACTACCTGCCACACCTCCTCGTGCTGCTTCACGTCACCAACGCTCCACAGCTGCCGGTGTAGCCAATGCTGCAAACGCTACTAGCGTGGATAATGCAACATCCCCCAGCGTGTCAGCTCCTTCCAACTCGCCACTACCTGCCACACCTCCCCGTGCTGCCTCACGTCGTCGCTGCTCCACTCCTCCCCCTCCTCCTCCTCCTGCCACCACCCCCCACCGACCGTCCCACCCACCTTCCCGCCAGCCTCCCCACCCGCTATCGCACCAAACTTCCAACCGAAGCCACAAGAACGTGTTACACTCTCCGAAACCCGGCCGTGCGGCTTCTCACGTGAAATCCCCTGCTGGGAGGGGTGCTGGTGCCTCTCACGTCACGTCTCCCAGACCCCACACCGATGGCTCTCGCATTGTCAATGTGGAGTACTCTCGGAGTGGTGCGAATTCCCTCCAAATCTCCTTTTCACCACCCACCGCACTGCACTCTCCTTTTTACAGCGCCCTCACTCTCCTCCCTGTGATTCCCCTCATTCATTCCCTTTCCATCCCTTTCCTTACCCTCCTATCTAGTGGCCCCCTGCTCCACGTTTTATGTTTTGGAATTTGGCCAAAGCACATTTCGATTTATTAAAGTATGTTAAGCCCATGCTGAGGCGCCTCAAAAGCTCTTAGGATTTGGGCGTGTAGGGGTAGGCTAGTGTGGTATAGAGCGGTACTATTTTGCTTCATTTCGGTGCTTGCCTCCGTCCCTCACATGTTTCCTGTCCCCCTATGCTCGCCCCAACTTTCCCTTGCTCTCTCATTCCCGCACTCCCTCATTCCCTCACTCTTCATCCTTCCCCATCCCTGTTCTGCGGCGCCTCAAACCTTTCCTTTGTTCCTCTGCTCCCAAATCCCCGTGCCCCTGCTCCCTCCCAACCCCGTGTCCCCACCTGTTTGCTATGCATTCCTTCTGCCCGCAGGTCGCCCGCGCTTCCCTCTTCTGGCCTACTGGAAGCACGAGAGGATTTTCAGCCCTGTGGTGAGTCGTTAACCCGGAATGAGTGATTACTTTTTTTTTTGGGCGCCTCAGAAATAGAGCTCCTAAGTCGCCCGCGCTTCCCTCCTCTGGCCTACTGGAAGGACGAGAGGATTTTCCGCCCTGTGGTGAGTGTTCAGCCCTCCCTGTGGTGAGTGTTCAGTGAGTGTTCATCTCTCGCTTCAAGGGAGTCTAGAGATGGATTTTTCTCCCTTTACTTATTCTCTTTTAATAATTCTCTTTTTTTTTATATTCCTCTCTTTGCATGCTGCTTTTCTTTGTGCATTACTTGATGGTGCTTTGGTCACAGGATGTGGACCGACCTTGTATACTGCTAGGGCTGCAGCCAACGACGCGTGCAGAGGAACTGAAGATTATCAAGAAAGGTAAGCGGGTTACCATGTGTATGGTTACCACATTTCAGGTCACCAGGTGTTTGGTTCAAGCTGTTTTACCTGTCTGATTCTGCAGCTTTTTCTTCGTGATTCTAATATTGTCTATCTCTCCTAAGGCTATTTAACTCTAACTCTTCTGAATTCTCGTGTTTTGATGTGGCCGTGGCACTGCCACCCACACTGTCTCTCGCCCGACTCTGCAGCCTTGCTTGGAGAGCTAACAGCTGGTGGGGAAGAGCAGGAGAGAAGGGAGGATGAGGGGGAAGGGGAAGTGCTCGAGGGAGGGGAAGGGAATGGCGCAGATGCAGAGAGGGATGGAGCAGGGGAGGTGGGTGAGAAGCGGAAGAGCAAGAGGAGGCGGAAAGGGCAAGAAGAAGTTGTGGTTGAGGCGGAGGGTGTGGGTGCTACGGCTGGAGAGGCACATGTGGGGGGAGCAGTGGGTACTTTATCGGCCCAGAAGTCGCCTAGGGGGAGGAAGGGTTCTGGGCGAGGGGGGGTTGAGGCGGGGGGTGTGGGTGCTACGGCAGGGATGACAGGTGTGGAGAGAGCAATGGGTGCTGAATCGGCCCGACAGTCGCCTAGGGGGAGGGGAAGGGGGGGGCGATGGGGGGATGAGGCGGATGATCTGGGTGCTACGGCTGGAAGGACAGGTGTGGGGAGAGTTGTGGCTGCTGAATTGGCCCAAAATTCGCCTAGGGGGAGGGGAAGGGGGGGGCGAGGGGGGGTTGAGACAGCGGGTGTGGCTGCCTCGGCTGGAAAGACAGGTGTGGGGAGAGCAGTGGCTGCTGAATCGACTCGACAGTCACCTAGGAGGATGGGGAGGAGTGCTCAAGGGGAAGGGGGGGTTGAGGTGGAGAGTCTGGTTGATCCGGCTGGAATGACAAGTGTGGGGAGAGTGGTGGCTGTTGAATCGGCTCTGAAGTCGCCTAGAGGGAGGGGGAGGTGTGCCCAAGTTGGGGTTGAAGCGGACGGTTTGGGTAATTCTCCTAGAAAGGCAGGGGCGGGGAGAGTGGTGGCTACTGAAGCAACTCGAAAGTCTCCCAGGCTGAGGGGAGAGTATGGGGAAGGCGGGCAGGATAAAGAGGATATGATAGATTTGACTGGGGAGGCGGATGGGGGGAGAGAGGCGGTGGCGGAGGAGGGAAGAGGGGTTGGAAGGGAGGAGGGAGGAAATGGGGAGGGGGATATGGGCGGAGAGGTGGTGATGGAGGGAGCTGAGGAGAGGAGAGAGGAGGGAAGAGAGGAGGTAGGAGAGGAGGGAGTGGAGGGTGGAGGGAAGGGGGATGGAGATGGAGGAGTAGGAGGGGAGGGTGAAGAGGAGGAAAGAGGGGAGGGTGAAGGGGAGGGAGAAGAGGAGGGAAGAGGGGAGGGTGGAGGGGAGGGAGAAGAGGAGGGAAGAGGGGAGGGTGGAGGGGAGGGGGAAGAGGAGGGAAGAGGGGAGGGTGGAGGGGAGGGAAAAGTGGAAGGGAACGGGGAGGATGGAAGGGAAAAAGAAGAAGCGGAAGCTCCTGTAATGGGGGCTACAGATAAGGATGCTGTAACAAGTGTGACTTTAGCGAGTGTGTTGAAGGGAGCTGGGAGAACCGTTGATGGGACAGTGGTGGGAGGAAGAACTGTGCCTGGTAGGGCTGCCAAGGCTGCTGCTCTGGCTCAGATATTCCGAACCTCGAGAACAGGGCAGAAGGGGAGAGTGGATGTGGGTGCGGAGAAGGGAAGAGTGGTGGAGAATGCGGAGGAAGGGAGAGTGGAGAGGGTTGGAGAGGGGGGTGACGGATTGGATGGGAGTGGGGGAGGCGCGAGACAGCAAGAAGAGGGGGAAAGCATGGGAAAAGGGAATGGGGAAGCGAAGGGGAGGGCGAAGGGGAGGGCGATGGGGAAAGCGATGGGGAAAGCGATGGGGAAAGCGATGGGGAAAGCGACGGGGAAAGCGATGGGGAAAGAAAGCGGTCTCAAGAGGAAAAGAGAGGAGGTACAGGAAATTGAAAGGAGGAGTGTCAGAGTGACCAGATCGATGGCTAGGATTGCTCGAGGGGATAGTGGGGAAGTGGGGAAGGTGGGAGGAAAGGGGAAGGGTTTAGGGAAGGGGAAGGGGGAAGAGAAGGGGAAAGGGGAAGGGAAGGGGAAGGGGGAAGAGAAGGGGAAGGGGGAAGGGAAGGGGAAGAAGGTGGGGAAGGGGAAGGATGATTGTCATATTCCCCCATCCCCATCCGCCGTTCCGCCTTCTTCACCCTGCAATCCGCCATCCCCATCCCACGACCCCCAATGCCTTGCCCTGGTCCCAGCGCCCCCCCCACCCTCCCCTCCTCCCTCTGTCAACATCTCCGAATCTACTCGCAATCGCTTCTCTGCTTCAACCTCTGCCTCTGCTTCTGCCACTGCGGCTGCCGCTGCCGCTGCTGGTAACCCTATGGCTTCACCGTCACACGCCGCTAGGAACCGGCCTAATCAGGATCAGAACAACCGCGGGCAGAACCACCCCTCTCAAGACGAACCCCCGGAAAGCCCCGCCTCTGCGTCTGCTTTCGCTCCTGCCGCCGCTCCTGCACTGGATCACATGGGGTGGACGGCGGGTCAAGTGAGAGCGTTTCACGAGGCCATGAGTGCAGTGAATCCGCATGCAGAGGGGTTCTGGGCGCGGGTGGCCCTGTGGGTGCCTGGAAAGACCGCGACTGAGTGCTTTGACCGGCATCATGATCAGTTTCCGACGCCGCGGAAACGGAGGGAGAGGCAGAGGCGGTTGATTGGAGGGGGTGGGAGGGGGGAGGAGGAGGGGCAGCAGGAGGAGCAGGGGCAGGGGCAGCAGCAGCGAGGGGTGCCGATTGGGGAGTCATCCCATGCTGCGTTTGTTGCTGCTTGTGTGGGGATTGGGCCTGTGGGAGGTGCGGATGGTGCAGGGGAGGGCGGGGAGGGGTTGGAAGGGGTGGAGATGGGTGAGATTGAGGTTCGTAGGGGGGAGAGCCGCAGTGCGGCGAGGAATAGAGGAAGACTGGTGGGCGATTGTGCTGAAGCAGGGGCGATGGTGGTTGGGGGAAAGGGGAAGGCCGTTGTGGGGAAGGGGAAGGGGAAAGCAGCTGTGGGGGCAGGTAGGGGGAGGGGGGCAGGTCGGGGAAAGGGGAAAGGGGACGCTGCTGGGGGGGGTGGAAGGGGAAGGAGAGGTGGGAGGGAGGTTGCGACGGTGGACGGAATTGGGGCAGTCAGAGCGGAAAAAGGGTGGAAGCTTCCTCAAACAAAGGCTGGGCTGATAGTGGCTGCACATAGGAGGATGCGAGCCGACTGTGCCTTCCAGGTGTGTGTGCCTTCCAGGTGTGTGTGCCTTCCAGGTGTGTGTGCCTTCCAGGTGTGTGTGCCTTCCAGGTGTGTGTGCCTTCCAGGTGTGTGTGCCTTCCAGGTGTGTGTGCCTTCCAGGTGTGTGTGCCTTCCAGGTGTGTGTGCCTTCCAGGTGAGTGTGCCTTCCAGGTGAGTGTGCCTTCCAGGTGTGTGTGCCTTCCAGGTGAGTGTGCCTTCCAGGTGTGTGTGCCTTCCAGGTGTGTGTGCCTTCCAGGTGTGTGTGCCTTCCAGGTGTGTGTGCCTTCCAGGTGTGTGTGCCTTCCAGGTGTGTGTGCCTTCCAGGTGAGTGTGCCTTCCAGGTGAGTGTGCCTTCCAGGTGTGTGTGCCTTCCAGGTGTGTGTGCCTTCCAGGTGAGTGTGCCTTCCAGGTGTGTGTGCCTTCCAGGTGTGTGTGCCTTGCTGATATGTTGGCATGCCATGCTTTATCCCTGCTGTGTGCCGCCTGGGCCAACCCATGAGTTGAGGGTGGCGCTGATGGTGGCTGCACACAGGAGGATGCAAGCCGACTGTGCCTTCCAGGTGTGTGTGCCTTCCAGGTGTGTGTGCCTTCCAGGTGTGTGCGTGTTCCAGGTACGTGGGATGGGACGACATGCCATACCCTTCTCCAGGTACGTGTGTGAGCCTTCTTGGTATACGGGATGCTATGCCTTATTACTTCTATGCCCTCGCTGTTAGAAGTCCCCACCATCCCCCATTCCCCCATCGCCCCATCCCACACGCAACAGGCAGTCTTGCAGCACGACGAGCAGAGCAGCGTCGTCTCTGCAGTCGCACTTCCCGAGGTGACTTTTGAGTCAACTCAAAAGTCACCTCAAAACTCATTTTTTGAGTCAACTCAAAAGTCACCTCAAAACTCATTTTTTGAGTCGACTCAAAAGTCACACGCAACAGCCGGTCTAGCAACACAACGAGCAGAGCAGCGTCGTCTCTGCAGTCCCACTTCCCATCTCCCATTCCTTCAACCACTGCCCCTCTTTCTCCCTGCATCCAACTCACACACGACAGGCAGTGCTAGCAGTGCAGTGCCAGCACAAGGACGACTTCTCGCAGCATGATGAGGAAATCAGCACCTCCCCACCGTACCCTCACTGCTGCTACCACCATCCCGTTCCCCGCTCTCCCCCCAACAGGCAGTGGTAGCGGTGCAGTGCCAGCACAAGGATGACTTCGCGCAGCATGATGAGGAAATCAGCACCTCCCTGTTGTACCCTCACTCACTCACTTCTGCTAGTCCCCACCATCCCATTCCCCTCTCTCTCATCCCAGGCGGTGCAAGCAGTGCAGTGCCAGCACAAGGACGACTTCACGCAGCACGATGAGGAAATCAGCGCCATGTTTGCTGTCGCCCCCCTCTGTGTTGCCTCACCGCTCTCCACCCCATCCCACCCTCCCTCACAGACGGTGCAAGCAGTGCAGTGGACGACTTCACGCAGCACGACGAGCAGATCAGCGCCATGTCTGCTGTTGCCCCCCTCTCTGCTGCTTCACCCCCTTCACCCCCCTCTCCTCTCACAGGCGGTGCAAGCAGTGCAGTGCCAGCACAAGGACGACTTCACGCAGCACGACGAGCAAATCAGCGCCATGTCTGCTGTCGCCCCCCGCCTCGCCCTCGCCATGGCCTCTGCTGCTCACAAGAGGCTGTACAGCCCTGCAGCAGCAGCAGCAGGTGCTGCTGCCATTGCCCCCGCTCCTGCTGCTGCTGGCGCCTCTGCTTCTGCTGCTGCTGCTGCTGCTGCTGCTGCTGCTGCTTCTAGCGCTGCTGCTTTGGGGAACGCAGAACGAGGTTCAGCTGGGGAGAGTCCGGATGGTTCAAAACAAAAGGTGGGATATTGGGGGACATTGAGGGGAAGCGGGGGGAGAGTCCGGAGGGTTTAAAACAAAAGGTGGGATATTGGGGGACATTGAGGGGAGGCGGGGGGAGAGTCCGGATGGTTTAAAACAAAAGGTGGGATATTGGGGGACTTTGAGGGGAGGCGGGGGGAGAGTCCGGATGGTTTAAAACAAAAGGTGGGATATTGGGGGACATTGAGGGGGAGCGGGGGTAAGGCAGGGGTTTGTGCACGGGGAGAGGTGGGAGAGAGGCGGGGTGTGGTAAGGTAAAGATGGGTTGAATGTCCAAGCACGCCCTTCCCTTGGATCCACTGCCCCCTGACCTTGAATTTGATTCTTCAATCCACCAATCCCAAATGTTTATCCCCTCTGCAGAACACCACAGCAGTGACTCTTCTATTCCTCAACCCAAAACCCATTAAACCCTTAACCCCCCTCTGCAGTACTCCACGTATGTGGACCGCATCATTCGGGAGAAGCAGAGCAGCAGCTTGCCACGGCCGCACAAAACAGGTGAGTAGTGTTTTTGCTTTGTAAAAGGAGTGTTCTTTTTCGTTTTTTAATTCAGAGTCAAATCGTGTTTTTCTGCCTTTCAAAAAAAAAGCACAGCCGCACAAACAAATATCGTATCTTCCTATTTATCTCACCTTCTTTTATCATTACTCCTTCCACACTGTATCCCGATCTTCTGCACTCTGAAAGCCGGTGTTCCGAATCTTCCTATTTTTCTCACCTTCGTTCTGATCCCCACTAGTGTATTCCTCTTTATTGTTGTGATGATTTACTCGTGCAGGCGGCAGTCAGTCAAGAAGGGGGGGGCGAGGTGGAGGGAGAGGGAATGTAAAGGGTGGGGGAACAGGAGGAGTAGGACGAGGAGTAGGAAGGGGAGGAAAGGCCGTTGGAAAAGGGAGGGGGGGAGGACGGGGAAAAGGTTTGGGGAAGGGAGGTGGAGGTCCGGGATCAGGAGATTCGGAAGTGATTGGACCGGGGCTGAATTATCTTGCCGGTGCATTGGGGGGCGAGAGGGAGGTGAAGGCGTTGGTGGGAGCATATGAGATGCAGAAGCGGCATCTGGAGTTGACTGCTAAGCATGCAGAGGCACTTGCTCTTGGTGCTTCAAGGGATGGTGGTGATGGCGGTGGGGGGATGAGGAGGCTGGGGTGTGGGGCATGGGAGGTTTGTACATGGGATGAGGAGGATGAGGATGAGGAGGAGAATGAGGAGGACGACGAGGAGGAAGATGGGGAGGAAGAAGAGGAGGGGTGGGTGGGACGCATTGAGGGGGGTGGAGGCGAAGGAGAGGGTGGGGGAATGGGAGATGAAGGGGGAGAACGGGAGCAGTTGGAGTGTGGCGAGAGAGATGAAGGGGAGGATGAGGAGAATGAAACGGAGGAAGCGGAGCTGGAAGAGGAGGAAGAGGATTGAGATGATGGAAATCATTACGGAGAAGAGTAAATAGTTATGCAGATGTGTAAATAGTTATGCAGATGAAGAGTTTATGACATAGGTTTTTCCCATTATGTGGTCTCATGCACTAGTTACGTATATTATCTCCTGAACAACCCCACCTAGAAGTTATGTGTACGTAAGGGGTTGTTAAAGTTTGTTTCAATATATTCCAAGTGAGGTCATCTTTTATTTATGTGAGCTCATCTTATAGGTGGCTCTAATCTCACCAACTTCAGGTATTATCTCTGATACGTTTGTTGCGCATGTCAGAGGCAGGTGCCCCTTGGTGCCAAGCCAGCGAACCGCATGTTGCGTCTACCTGATTGGTTTCTTCGTTACCGAACCTAATGGACTTGAGGTCCCCCAAACCTGTTTCTTCGCCGGTTTCCACAACTGGTTGGGCGACGACGACAGGCGCACCTTGGGAGAATGACGATGCCCCCATTCACGAAACCTGTGATTCGGTGCGATGGACGCGACGCGACGCGTAAATCGCGCTAGGCCGCACAACACGGACGGTGACGAAGAAGACGCTCCTTGCTCGTCCCTTCCTTCACTGCTGCGACGCGACAAGCCCTCACAAATTCTGTAGAATAATACAATACACTGTACGGTGTATCTGCTCGGCATGTGTCTAGGCATGATGCAACACATCATTGGTTGGAATTCGGTTTGGGAGCAACCAAGCACATCAACATCACCAAACCACCAAACCACCAGTGCCCTGCACTGCACCACCACTCCAGTTGGTTCTCCCCCCTCCTCCCTGCACGACCCACCCCAGCTGTAGCAGGTGAAGCAGGGATCATTCCTAGTCTCTCTTATTTCCATCATTGCCTTACCCAAAGGTTCCCAGTAACCGTGGTCCGTGAGTATTCCCGACGGCAGTTCCTCGAGGGAGCGTGACTGGGACGGCGCAGCCCGAGACAGCCGTCGACTCCTGTCAACTCCTGCTGCCTATCGTTCGGGCGCAATCACTCAAGCCGCCATTGCCAAAGCGACTAAGAGCATTGAACTTTCGGATTCTCGTAATTCACAGGCCCGCCGTGGACATAGCATTTGGAAGGCGTTGCTCGAGGGCTTGTGAGCCTTTGGACGGTTACTCCAATACAAGCCAGTGCGAAACAAGCTTGTAGTGGGTGGGTCGCAGCACCTCGTTACTACACGCACCGATATCGTTACAGCACTAGACATCCTGCGTTACGCTCGTCCTTATTCATCGTCGCCGTCGTATCTTCTTCGCCTCGTCGCTAGCTGCGGCAACCTTCCGCTCAATCCTCGAAGCGCCTCAGAAGTAGCCTCGTCGCCTGTTACAGCCACCCAGCCGGCAGCAGCGGAGCCGCAATGCCGACCCTCCGCCACTCGATCCCCCGTCTCGCGCGCCCCAGCTCCGCCATCCCCCTTCCTCCGCCTCTTCCCCGATGCCATTCCCGCGGCCTGCGCAATCTCCCAAGCGGCCTCCGCAGTCTCCCCTTCCCCCTCCCCCTGCTGCTGCTGCTCGTCGCGCTGCTCCCCCATGCGCCCGTCGCTGCCGGTCTCCTGCGTCTCAAGTCACCGCAGCAGCTCAGCTACTCCTTCGCGTCCACCGATGCCGACTTCGGTAAGCTCTTCTCCATCCGCCCCCAGACAATAAGGTCTTAGGTTAGCTCGCCAGCAGCTACGGCGTATCATAATGGCTTCCCGACTCCCCGAGTCGCCGCAGCACCTCGGCTACTCCTTCGCCTCCACCGACGCGGACTTCGGTAAGCTCTCCCTCTTCCCCATGCGCTGCTAGACCACATGGCCCTAGGTCACCTCATGTGCAGTGAGTCCGGCTTATAGTGGCTTTTCAAAGCCTCGAGTCGCCGCAGCAGCTCGGCTACTCCTTCGCCTCCGGCGACGCCGACTACGGTAAGCTCTTCCTCTTCCCCATGCGCCCCCAGACAACAAGGTCTTAGGTTAGCTCGCCAGCAGCTACGGGGTACAAATGTGGCTTCCCGACGCCTCAAGTCGCCGCAGCAGCTCAGCTACTCGTTCCTCTCCGCCGATTCCAACTTCGTTAAGCTCTTCCCCATCCGCCTCAAGAGAACATGATATTAGCTCAAGAACACTTATTCCGTCTAATGGCGGCTTCCCAATGCCTCGAGTCGGCCCAGCCGCGCGGCTACTCCTTCCTCTCCGCCAATTCTGACTCCTTCGGTAAGAGGAAGGAGCAAGAGGGGGTTGGCTCCTTCTTGGGTAAGCCTCTTCTCCATCCGCCGAGAGCAAGAGAAGGCTGGCTGCTTGGTGATCACCATGCCTAATCCGTCCATTCTGCTGCTCTCACTCCCTCTCACTCCTCCTTACTCCCTCGTTTCCCTCTCCAGGCCCCGTCATCCCGTTCAGCGGCTTCTGGGGACGGCTGTATCCGACGGTACCCGCCAACGCATGTCAGCCTATTCAAAACCGCGTGCTGCCCGGCACCGTCCAGTTCGCGCTGATTGCGCGCGGAGATTGCTCGTTCGGGCGGAAGGTGCAGAATGCGCAATTCGCGGGGTACGCCGCTGCGGTCGTGTACAATAACGAATCCAACCAAGACCTCGCTATAAGTAAGTGATCGCTGTTCACACCTCACTAGCTTGCGTTGCGCTGCTTGCCCTGAAGTGTACAATAACTTGCGTTGCTTGTTCCTTCACCTTCACTAGCAAACCTCTCGCATCCTCTGCGTTTCCCCCTTGCCGTCCATTGTCCCAGTTCGTCCTTTTCCCAGTTTCCCGAAATCCCTCATTGCGCCATGTCCCCGTTCCCGCATTGCCCCAGTTCGCCCTTCTCCGCATTCATCTCTCTCGAAGACGCGTCCACCATTTTCTCTGCCAAACTCTAACACGTCCCCCCTCCCCCCTCATCCTCCCCACCCTCCCCGCCCCTCCCCTTCCCCCCCTCCCCTCCGTCTCCCTCAGTGACAGAGAATCAGCGCATGGGCATCATGATACCCTCCGCCTTCATCTCTCTCGAAGACGCGACCACCGTTCTCTCGGTCATCCAGCCATACCCCGAAACCATAGCCATCCTTTACCCCGCGCAGCCTTACTACACCACCTCGGCCTACTCCTGGTCCTTCATCATCTGGATCTCCTCCCTCCTTGCTATCGGCATAATGCTCCTCGCGTTTCTCTGCGTGTGCCGGCATAGGATTAGGAATGCGGTGGCGGGAGCGGCGGCGGCTGCGGGGGTGAATCCGGATATTCTGCCCATTCAGCTGACCGTCTCGCCGGATAAAATGACTCTGGAGGAGGTTATGGCGCTGCCCGAGAAAACTTTCCTGGGTTTGCCGAGTCTCAAACGGGCAGAGGCTGAAAAGAAGGATGGCAGCAGCAGCAAGGGGGATAAGAGTGAAGGGGTTGCAAAAGAGGAGGCTGACAGGAAGGAAGGGGCTGAAAAAGCTGAGGGGAGTACAGAGAGTGACTGTAACGAGCTGGGGAGCAGTCAGGAGAAACTCAAGGGGAAGCATCAGGCAGATGTTGTTATAGTGAGTGAAGGGCGGAGGCCCTCGTGTGACCATATCCAACGGGGGGACGTAGAGCTGGGCGGCTTTCCGGGTGTGGAGCTGAGTCGGCAAAGCAGTGTGCGAAGCAGAGTGTCTTTTCGCGGTGCGGAGGAGGGAGAGGAGGAGGAGGATGGGGAGGAGGAGGTTATTTACAGAAGCACGTGGGAAACGTGTGCGATCTGCCTGGAGGACTACGAGTGTGGCGACCGGCTGAGAGTCCTGCCATGCAGTCATGGTAAGACACGGGGCGTGAGTGTTGGTTCAATCAATGGAGGTGATGATCGCCAGATGCATGTGGGGGACGTGTGCCATGCCGGGTTGGCTGTGAGTGTTGAGGAGTACGGGTGTTGGGTGCGGCTGAGGTCCTGCCATGCAGTCATGTTATGTGTGGGTAAGACGAGGAGGTGGAAAGAAATGCATCGCTTGGTAAGAAGCGGGAAATCAGGTGCCATGGTTTACCAGCCGATAACGTACTCACATTTGACTCTCCTTGCTTCCCCTTAGCTTTTCTTCCTACTGGTCCCATGGTATTTTTCCTCTACATGGGCCTCTCTTTAATCACGTAATGATTTCTCATTACTCGTTTTCTGGGCTCCACCCATATATTTCCCACTGCAGAGTTCCACAGTGAGTGTGTGGACGAGTGGCTGACAACCCGGCAGCCCTTCTGTCCTGTCTGCAAGCGCATCGCTCGAACCCCGAAGAAAACACCCGGAGCAGAGGCGACCGCCTTATCTGCCTCTTCATCGTCAGCATCCTCGTCGTCGAATGATTTGGAGATGGCAAGTGACATCCAGCTCTTGTCACACGTCTCCTCCGAATCCACCATTCGGGAGGCGAGTGTTCACGGATCGAGCGCTGGGGTTCAAGTGCAAGATGCAGCAACGCAGACCTGGCGGGGTGAACAGGAGGACGACAATATCAGGATAAATTCAGAAGTCCAAGCAAGTACGCAACCACTTGTTGCTGCACCTGCACATTAGGGAAATGTTTATTATTTTTTAACTGTAATCCTGCTTTTTACGACCTGTAAAGGCATTTTGTTTCATTCACATCGGCATTATTGCTTGTTCGACAAATACCACGGAGTTAGAGAAGATGAGGCCGGAGGGTAAGCCCTAGAATTTCAATAAGGCTGGCTTGGGCTAGTCTACAATTTCACAATACATGGTGCATACTTTTTTAAAACCAATGTTACGTTTCTCAGAGAAAGTTGGCTTAAAAACAGCCAAGCTCAGCCTAACAGTATGTCATGATTGTAAAGAATCGCAGACTTCCAGAAGGACAGCTGGCAACCCGGAAATCCAGGCGCCCTGCCACATTTCTACTTCTCTCATGATGAGAGTCTCATCCCATCTGTTCGCGAAAGTCTACGCAGCCTTGGCATGAACAACATCGTTCGATTCGCCACGCTGTCGCGGGCAGCGACAACTTCAAGAGAACCTTTCATTCTTCCGGGCCTCCCTTGCCTCGTCGCCATCGCCAATTTCCAATCCCAAGGCAAACCAGCACCATCGATTTCTTCATTCAGACTCTCACATTTCTTCATTTTACCAGCCTTTCAATCTTCTTCCTGGTTTCCCGGTCTGTTCCTAGTCCTGACCAGACTAGGGTTCGTTCCCTGCGCGTGATTGTCCCGATACAGCGTTAAGAATGGTCCCCTGGGGTTTTATTGTCAGTGTCGCAGCATACGCTGCATTCCCGCAGCACCGCACGATAATTGTCGCGGTTAGTGCCGTCGGAAGCCTGGTGCGCGGCGGTAAGAAGAAGGGAAAGGCCGTGCGACATAAGTCGTTTGTCGCCGGCGACCCCGACCGTGGCGTGAAGCTTGAATGGAGCGACATCACGTGCCAGCTTCTCGATAAGAAGGGAGAAGAGGTACGACATTGTCGATTCAGTAGTTCCGTTCAACCCCAAACTGACGAAGGGACAGGTGATGCAGCTCAGTCAAACCTCGACAAAGCACGGTAACATCACGAAGATAGTCAACGTTGAGATTTGTTACTTGCAAATATGGAAACAGTTTTTACGTTAACAATTGAGACCCCATTCATGTCAGGTGAAGAAGCTGTGGGACTTGCAGAACAGCAGCGCGGGGCCTGGTCGCCTATAGGCCTTTACGGGCCTGTCAGGGTCCGGCAAGACAGACACTGCCGAGGTTCCCTAGAAAAATATCGTGCTGCCTTCTTCCCTACCCGCAGGTGAAGAAGCTATTGGACGGGCTGAATGGCAGCGCGAGGCCCGGTCGCCTGCTGGCGATCATGGGACCGTCGGGGTCCGGCAAGACGACGCTCCTCAACACTCTTGCGGGTCAGCTGCCTAAGAGCAGCAAGATCGCGCTCTACGGATCAATCCGCGCTAATGGCATCCCCATTGCGGATTCATGGCACAAGTAAGTCATTCTTGCGTGTTTTTTAGTGTACTAAAAAATAGCTGCCTATGAGCAGCAACATCGCGCTCTACGGTTCCATCCGCGCTAATGGCATTCCCATTGCGAATTCATGGCACAAGTAAGCTTTCAGTATGACGCACGCATGTGCTGCCATTCGCATTTGCGTTCGGAACATGCCAGCCTCCCCTTTGCCTTCTTTAGCAACTTTTTCTCAAAAGCGTGCAGTGCCTTGCTAGATTATCCGTCAGAACGTCCCACGGACGCTGACGCCTGTGAACGTAGGATTCAGAGTTCCCTCACGAGCATTTACGCACACGAATGTAGGACCCCTACGAAAATTGGCGCCTTTCTCCGTTTATCCTTTTTCTTTTTCCTTTTTTGGTGTGTGTGTGTTGTTTTCTGCACGGCCTTTTCTGAGCGCAGGCAGGTGTACGTCCGGCAGGAGGACATTTTCTTCTCGCAGCTGACGGTGCGGGAGACCCTGGTGACGGCGGCGAAGCTGCAGCTGCCCTCGTCCATGTCGGACGCGGAGAAGGAGCAGCATGTGGAGGAGCTGCTGCAGCACCTGGGTCTGGTGAGTCGCACATCGCTTGTTGTATGGATAATGGGAATATGGATGTGAGATTTCTTAAAGGACGCGGAGGAGCAGCACGTGGAAGAGCTGCTGCAGCTCCTGGGGCTGGTGAGTGGATTTCGACTTTATGTTGAATATGAATATGGTTCTGAGATGTCTGAAAACATAAAACACGAGGAAGAAGGAGCAGCACGTGGAGGACACCTGGGGCTGGTGAGTCTGTTGTTTGAGTGAGTGAGCGAGTGATTCAAACAACTCGCAGATTGGCCTGCAGTAGGTTCGAGTCCGAATGAGCAGCGCGTAGAAGAGCTGCTGCAGCACATGGGCCTGGTGAGCGAGTCAGACTGATTTAGTGCCAGTCGCTGAGTTGCCTAAGGAATCAACGCTTCTTCCCATGCCTTTCTCCATTTATGTAGGTGAACGCGGCGGGCACGATAGTGGGCGACAACAAGACGCGCGGCATCAGCGGCGGCGAGAAGAAGCGGCTGTCCATCGCGTGCGAGCTGCTGGGTAACCCGTCCGTGGTGTTCGCAGACGAGCCCACCACGGGGCTGGACGCGTACCAGGCGGAGAAGGTCATGCAGACGCTCAAGGACCTTGCTAAGGAAGGCCGCACGGTGATTTGCAGGTGAGAGCCGTTCGCATAGAGAAGGAAGGAATTGGCGGGAAAATGGCATGAGGGCGTGAGGTGAGCGGGCAAGGAGGCCCACTACGGGGCTGGACGCGTACCAGGCGGAGAAAGTCATGCGGACGCTTAAGGACCTTGCTAAGGAGGGCCGTACTGTCATCTGAAGGTGAGCGCACAGGAGGGCGTGAATTGTGAGTGGATTGTTTGTTGGGAAATAGAGCGAGAGTGCTATTCCCTTTCCAAATCCGCCTCCCCTTACTCTCGTCCTCTCCCTCCCTCCATCGCCCCTTCCAGCCCACCCCTTCCCCCGTGAAACATTCATCTCTCTTTGTTCACCGCCACTTATGCCCTCCCTTCTTCCATGTGGTCAGCAATCTCATCCCCCCGCCTTCCCCGTCCTCCCCCCTCTTCTCCCCCCTCCCCTCTCCTCCACCACGACCCCCCTTCTTCCGTCCACCAGTATCCATCAGCCACGTGGCAGCGTGTTTGACATGTTTGACGACATCATGGTGGTTGCGGGCGGCAAGCTCGTCTACTCGGGACCTGCTGGGGACACTTGCCTGGAGTACTTCAAGAGTCAGGGGTGAGTGGAGGATGAGGTGTGAAGGAAAGAGGGGGAGGGATGAGCGTGTTTGACATGTTTGACGACATCATGATGGTTGTGGGCGGCAAGCTTGTCTCTGGTTTGGCGGGAGACACGTGCCTGGACTACTTCAAGAGTCAGGGGTGAGTGGAGGGAGGAGGAAGGGATGGGTAAGTGATCTACTCTGGGCCAGCAGGGGCCACGTGCCTGTAGTACTTACTTCAAGAGTCAGGGGTGAGTGTGGGGACAAAGGGGGTGTGGTATTGGAGGGGACAGGAGGACATGTGCGTCTCAAACATCTTCTCAAAATCGGCAGGGGACGCGTGCCTAGAGTACTTCAAGACCCAGGGGTGAGTGGGGGGTGCATGGGGGACAGGAAGGGGTAAGGAGGATGGGGGAAGGCTTAGTGGGAGTGGTCTACTCAGAATTCCTCTCAGACCTGGTCGGCTCGGCACTGACCACACCTCTCCCGACACTGAGGCAACCTACCACTCCCCCCTTCCCTCCCGAACGCACCACCCTCCTCCCCCTTCCCCTCTTACAGGCACGAGTGCCCACTGCATTCCAACCCGGCAGAGTTCCTTTCAGACCTGGTCGGCACCGACCACTCCTCCCCCGACACCGAAGCCCAGTCCGCCACCCGCATCTCCCGCCTCATCCAAGCCTTCGCCGCCCACTCCACCGCCCAGGCCGACACCAGCGCCGCCCTGGCCGTCTCCGCCGCCCTCCAGGCCAGCCTAGGAGATGATGACGAGGAGGAAGAGGGGGAGGGGCAGAAGCGAAAGAAGACCCTCGGGCTGTCTGCAGCCAAGTCAGATGCGGACGGGGCAGGCTTCTGGCAGCAGTTCAAAATCCTCTTAGTCCGAGCCTGGCGCCAAACCACCCGCGACCGCGCCACCAACGTGGTCCGAGCCATGATGAACCTCACCTCAGCAGCCATCTTCGGATCCATCTTCTGGCGCATGGGCTTCGGACAGTCCACCATCCAGGACCGCATGGGACTCCTGCAAGTCGCGGCAATCAACACCGCCATGGCTTCTATCACCAAGACGCTGAATGTGTTTCCCAAGGAGCGGCAGATAGTAGAGAGGGAGAGGGCGAAAGGAGCGTATGCGGTAGGCCCGTATTTTCTGTCCAAGCTGGTCGCTGAGCTGCCTGTGACGGCGTTTTTCCCCGCGCTGTTCTCGGTGGTATGCTACCCTATGACCGGTCTGCACCGCACAATACCCAGGTGAGAGGCATGATGCTGGCCCGTTCAGTAGAGAGGGAGAGGGCGGAAGGGGCGTATGCGGTGGGGCTGTATTTTCTCTCCAAGCTGGTGGCTGAGCTGCCCGTGACGGCGTTTTTCCCCGCGCTGTTCTCGGTGGTGTGCTACCCGATGACCGGTCTGCACCGCACTATACCCAGGTGAGAGACATTGCTACCATGCAACTTTGCCGTGCAACTATACTTCACGTTCTCAGCCATGGGGCTCACAGTGGGGAGTATGATGCATTGCCCCCACCACAGCAATCACCCATCCTTTCCCCAATCCCCCCCTCCCTTCCCCTCATCCCCACGTTCACCGGGCTCTCCATCCTCCCCGGTTGCAGGTTTCTCAAGTTCATGGGAGCAACCACGGTTGAGTCCTTCACCTCACCAGCCATGGGCCTCACAGTGAAGCGCATGATGCATCGCCCCCACCACGAGCCAGTAACCCCCCGTTCTCCCCCCAAACCCCACTTCCGCTCACTGCAGGTTCCTCAAGTTCATGGGAGCAACCACGGTGGAGTCATTCACCTCATCAGCCATGGGCCTCACGGTGGGGTGCATCGCCCCCACTGTCGAGGCAGCCATGGCCCTCGGCCCCTCCATCATGACGGTCTTTATCGTCTTCGGAGGGTACTACGTCAACCCCGACAACACACCAGTCATCTTCCGCTGGATCCCCAACACCTCCCTCATCCGCTGGTAAGAGCTCATCCGCTGGTAAGTACTGTTGCCCTTATGCCCATGGTTCATAGGACCTCTGTTCATCCACCCATGGCACTCGGCCCCTCCATCGTGACTGTCTTCATCGTCTTCGGAGGGTACTCTGTCAATCCCGACAACGCGCCTGTCATCTTCCGCTGGATCCCCAACACCTCCCTCATCCGCTGGTAAGTACCTCCACCCTTCTCAGCCCTGCCACCGTCATCCCTCCAACATGTCCGTGTGCAATGAGTTTCAAATATTTCTCTTTTGAGGCGCCTCTACACCTTCCCACGCCCTTCCCTTCTTCCCCCCAGGGGCTTTGAGGCGCTGTGTGTGAACGAGTTTGACGGGCTGACATTCGAGGCCAGCAAACCCACGGACCTGAGCACGGGCAAGCAGGTGCTGGAGCGCCTCTCCTTCTCCAATAGCTCCGTGGCCAAATCCGTGCACAAGGAGGTGCAGATCATGCTCGGCTGGTACTGGGCGTCTGCTTACCTACCAAGCCCACGCACCCTCTCCCCTCCTCGCCTCTCCTTCCCCCGCCCCTCCCCTCCCACGCCCTTCCCTTTCCCCATCCTTCCCATCCCACCAGGGGCTTTGAGGCGCTGTGTGTGAACGAATTCGACGGACTGACCTTTGAGGCAACCAAGCCAACAGATCTGAGCACGGGCAAGCAGGTGTTGGAGCGCCTCTCCTTCTCCGATAGCTCCGTGGCCAAATCCGTGCGCAAGGAGGTGCAGATCATGCTCGGCTGGTACTGGGCTTCTGCCTACCTGCTCCGGAAAAAGACCCCCGAGTTTACTAAGCTGCTGCCGGTGTCTAAGCTGCAGGGGAAGGTGCGGGGGACTGAGTCTGGTAAGGGGGTTGAGGAGGGGACGAGTGTGAAGAGCAGTGTGGTTATAGAGGAGGTGATTGAAGCGAAGGAGGAGAGTGTGGTGGCGACAGAAGAGGTGACAGCAACGACAGTTACCACCACCACCAGCAGCAGCACCACCACCAGCAGCACCACAATCACCACTGCTGCTACCACCGTTGTCACTGGGTCGGCCAGTGTGGAGGTTGAAACCACTGAAGAGGAATTCGTCGAGGCTGAATCATAGAATTTCCTGGTGAAACTTGTGATGTTCATCCTTTCGAAATATTTTGATGTTGAAGTGATGCTGCTAAACATTTTGTTAGCCTACATATCAGTGTTCTCTTTTAGAGCGATACCAAAATGCTTGAAATCTGCTCGAGTTATCCAACAACTGTTCTGTATCCTGGCCGTGCAGTATGCATCACAGAAAGGGGGAGGGTGCAGAAAACGTGCGTCCTACAGGTATCTCTCGCGTTCATCCTAGCATTTCTAACCAGTACTTTTGGTATGTCAGTATACAGTGCCCGGCCCATATGTACAGGAGATATACGGTGCTTGTAGAATGAGTTTCTAGCATAAATTTCTGTCATCACCCGGATATAAGACATATATGTCTTATCTCGTACACGGGCAAAAATGCTTGCGTTATCTTGTAAACGGGATGGTTTAGGGTGTCTTATAAATCTTATAAATGGAAACTTTTTAAACTTCTTAGAAATATTTTCCGTACTGCTTGAAAAAGAGTTCCTCATAATGAGTGTGGATGTTGCGAAGGTGCCACTTCGGCAACCACTGCCTGGGACGCCACGTCATGGAGAACACCTGCAGAGGCAAATTTGGTAGGTCATGGGTCAGCGCGTGGAAGAATTCGCGCTTCGCAAGGGTAAAAATGTACCGTACGCGGTATTTCAACTTTCGCTATAATATATTGAAGTTTCGATTATAAGACATACATGTCTTATCTCGTACACACAAATAGGTGTCTTATGATGAGGCTAGCCTGTTTATAAGAGACACCCGTATAGTAGACAACCCCTGTCTACTATTCAACACTGTCTTAGGGCGCGGTGAAAGTGGAGAATCGATCGCCTGAGGATCGTTTTTTAGCGCGGTTATAAACGGTTGTATACCTTTCGTGTCTAGAACGCGAGGTTCAGTGCGGTGACCGAATCGATCTACCCCCGATCGAGCACTTTCACCGCGTCCTTATATCCGGGCGATGACGGTTTTAATGTTTCAATAGAACCGACTGCGAATGAGTTCACGGCAAAAACGGTGCGAGCTCAACATCAAACCGCCTTTCGAATATGTGGTCGGAGCATAGAAGCAACTGACCCAAGCATACTGCCTTCCTTTCCTGCTGCCAACTCACACCTCTCTTCCCCAACGCAACAGAGTTGTCTTGGGTAGGATCCATTGCAGTTCCACGCTCATGCTTCCCCACCCCATACTCAGCTTTCTCACCCTCATCCTCCCCATCCTCCAGTGCCTTATATTCTGCCCTCTCTCCGCCCTTTACTGGAAGAGCCACCTCATGCGGCACGAACACATAGCCCTTGCTCAGCAGCGCCACATGTCGCGGCCTGATTCGCCGATCCAAGCTGTACCCAAGGAAGAAAGGGAACTTAATGACCTCCGTTATAGGGAGCCCCATGTCCCGCTTTAGGTATTCCACCTTATGACTTGTGATCCTCTCCCAACTGAAGCAGATAGAATTCGGGAACTTAACCACCAGATTTGCTACAAGCTCACAAGCTGTGGTGGCACCAGCAATGCTCTTGAAGCCTCGTCTTTCTCCTGCCCGTGCGGTTGCGCTTGCTTCAGCCCAGCTCGTAGTCTTAGCTGGGATTTCAGCACCGCTCCCCCCTTGCTCCGCATATTCTCTTGCATCATGCTTCAATGCCCCTTCCCCCAGCCTTTGCGTTCCACTTCCTGCTTCCCCACCGCTCTCCAATGCCTCTTCCACTTCTCGCACAAGCTCTCTGAAATTCCTTCTGAAATTTTCCTCGCTAGACGTCAGAATTAAAGGATGCCGTGCCACTGCAAGCTCGGCATTCCCCTGACCAATCAAATCGCCCAACAACGCCACCTTGCCTTGCAAGTTCTCGAAAGATAGATTCAAAACTGAAGGGTGGCTTCTCACCACAATCCCTACTGTCTTCTTCCCCAGCAGCTTCTCTAAGTCCTGGAGCTTAGCTAAGAGATTTTGCGAGCTGTGGTGGACGAGAGTGGGGGCACGGCGGAGAATGGAGAGGGAAATGGAGGGACTGTCAGGGGGAGAGAATGACTGGAGGAGGCGGAGGATGCTGCCAATGCGTTCGGAAGACCTGAGGAGGATTCCTGGATAGTGCACCAGGAGTCTGCTCAGGTGATTCTTGTCCTCGTGCTGCCCATTCAGGTGTTGCCTCAGGTGCCCACTGTTGACGTTTCCTTCTCCGGATCCAGTGGTAAAAAACGCTGATATTTGCTCGAGGCGACTATGTATGGTCTCCTCCCTCGCGGATAGAATATCTGGGGCTCTGTCTATAATCAAACCCAGCTTGTCCACAGGAACCCCCCCTCTCTCCACCAAAAATTCCAGGTTCGTTGAACGAGCCCGCACGCTAATGAGATTTCGAGATTTTCGGAGCACCGAACCTAGCCTCGTACGGCGTACACCCCGAGCCAATAGGAAGTCGAGCATTTCCTGAAGGTGGGAAAGGGAGAGTCGGAGCCAGGAAGATTTTCTCATGGTGATGGCTGAGATGTCGGGACGGGATACGCCATACGACTGGAGGAGGTGGACACGTGGCAGCAGGTCACTGGTGGGATCGGAACGCAGGAGGGCAGGGTGAGAGGCTAGGAGGGAAGCGACAGTGGAAGGGGAGGAGATGCCGAGGTGGGAGGAGAAGAAGCGGTAGAGGGAGAGGAGGGAGGAGAGAGATACGACCCGCGGGCCATAGTATGGAGGAGGAGGCCGTTTGGGAGGACACGTGGTGGGTGGTGCGTCCTCCTCACTTTCTTCTGCTTCTGCTTCCAATTCTGCTTCTGGTTCTGCGTCTTCCCCCTCCTTCCATTCCTCATCCTCTTCGCTCTCAGCTTCCACGCCCCCTCTTTCCCCACCCCCATACCCCACCTCTTCCTCTCCCTGTCGTCCCTTGGCCTCCTCCTGGTCCGTAATCCTTTCGTTTGTAGACCCCTCGTACTCCTCCTCTGTCACAATCTGGGGCCCGAATTTCTCTCTTAACACTCCGGCAATCATAGCCACTGCCTTTTCCTCCTCCTCTGTCTCCTTGCATCCTCCCCTCTCTCCAGTCCACCCGCCTCCCGCAACCTTGTCCTCCATTTCCCTTGCTCTTGTCAATCTACTCCCGCTCTTCTCTGATTTTCCTCCCTCACTTTCTCCCTCATCTCTTCCTTCTGCACGCAACCGAGCCTCCGTCCCAACCGGCAGTACTGGCTCGTCGTCGAAGCTCGGTTCGAATCGCAGAGTCGCGCTCTCCGCCTCGTGAACCACTCCTACTCTGGCCAACGAACCAACGGAACAGCTTATATTGAAGCTCCGGTCAGGGGTTCGAATCCTGGTGAATGCGTTTTCCGCAGGTTGGTGTCGACTTAGCCCAAACAGGTAGAGGCTCGACGGGGAAGGAATAACAGCTGTTGATGCCATTCCAGATTTTTCTAAAAATGACTTGGAACGAGGCGAAGAAGACTGCGTCATGTATCTTAACGTAAAACCTAATCTGTCAATCCACGGGATGGATGGCCGTGACCTAGAGACACGATACGCCATATCTAGCCGATGGATGTAACCAAAAGGATGAAAGATTACATGAGCGAGTTATTCGGCTGTGGTGCTTGACCGATTACCGATTATCAATAGCGTTTTTTCTAATCGTTGCAGTGACTGCTAGAAAGCTAACGAATTAAAAAAGCGTTTCGTATCCATGGTTACTCCAGTTCGCAGGCGGCAGTCATGTCGCTCACTTTCAGCAGATCTTTAGGATACAGGCACAAGTAAACAACCTGTTTTTTGAGTCAGAAATCTGGGAGTAGGCAATGGCAGTTGCAAACAGAACGAATCAGAGAATGATAGTTTTCTGGTCTCGCTCGCTGCAGGCACTGGGATAACCGAGCTGCGATCATCTAGGCTGGCGAATCAATTACTCACCTTTCACGAGTTTCGTGTTCTTCGCTAGCCCCAATGTATCCAAGCGACGACTGGTTGCTCCAATTGCGATGTCGTGCGTGTTCGCCTGTCAAGTCCGTGTGTTGCCGTTTCATTTTCGTACCCGTTTGGTACAAATGCTTCAATAAACCCGACATGAACAGCGAGATCTCAACCTGAAAGTTCTTTTCAAACTATATGTTTGCATTTAAGCAACTGAATCACGCAAACCGCCTCCCTTTTGAGGTGCTTGAAAGCCTGACTGACTAGGGATGAGCGTCTGGCAATGAACGGTGCAAATCTCAACCTTGAAACTCTTTTCGAATTCATTGTCTGGGCAAACAAGCACAGAACCAAGCACACCGCCCCCTTTTTTGAGGCGCCTCAAAAGCCCGACTAGGGACAAGTTTCCGGCATGAACGGTGCAAGCTCAACCTTGAATCTCTTTTCAAACTCCTTGTCTGTGCATTTAAGCAGCTGAATCAAGCACAGCGCCTCCCTTCCCTGCTGTTGATTCATGCCGCACCCGTTCGCAGCACCCGTTCTCCCCAACACGTCAGAGCTGTCTTGCGTAGAATCCAAAACACTTTGACACTCGACCATCCTCACCCCCAACTCATCCATCTCACCCTCATCCTCCCCGTAATCCACTTTAACATCCTCATCCTTCCCTTCTGCCCTCCTCTCGCTACTAACTCCCTCCAATTTCCCTCCCCCTTCTCCCCTATTATTCGGCAGAGCCACCTCATGCGGCACGAGCACGTAGCCCTTGCTCAGCAGCGCCAGATGTCGCGGTCTGATTCGCTGATCGAGGCTGTACCCAAGGAAGTGCGGGTACGCAAGGACCTCCGTTACAGGGAGCCCCATGTCCCGTTTTAAGTAATCCACCTTGTGCCTTGTGTTCCACTCCCAATTGTAGCAGATAACTGCTGGATTCTTAACCACCAGGTTCACCACCATCTCATGAGCTATCGTGGCACCAGCAATGCTCTTGAATGCTCGTCCGCTCCCTCCGCTTGCTAGCTTCCTTGCACCTTCCTCGAGCATTTGCCTCCTCACCTCCTCTCCTCCACTCTCCTCCATTGCTGCCTCCACTTCTCGCACGAGTTCTCTAAAACACATCTGAATGTTCTCACCACTAGATGACAGCAGCCTAGGAAACCTAGCCACAGCAAGCACGGCGTTCTCTCGACCAATCAGATCGCCCAGCAATGCCACCTTGCCCCGCATGTTCTCTACCGATAGAATAAGAATCGACGAGTAGCTGCGCACCACGCTCCCTGCTGCCTTCTTTCCCACCACTCCCACTAAGTACTGGAGCTTAGATAAAAGAGTCTGAGAGCTGAGGTGGACGAGAGAGGGGGCCTGGCTGAGAATTGGGATGGCAACGGAGGGGCTGTCAGGGGGAGTGAAGGACTGGAGGAGACTGAGGATTTCAGGGATGCGCTCGTGAGGATTGAGGAGGATAGCTGGGTACCGCACCAGGAGTCTGCTCAGGTGATTCTTGTCCTTGTGCTGCATATTCAGGTGTTGCCTCGGATGCCCGCTGCTGAAGTTTCCTCCTTCGCATCCATTGGTAAAATACGCTGATAGTAGCTCGAGGCGACTTCTTATGACTTCCTCACGCAAATATAAAATATCTGGTCCTCTTGCTATAATCACAGGCAGCTTGTCCACAGGAACCCCTGCTCTCTCCACCAATATGTCCAGGTTAGTTGAACGAGCTCGTGCGCCGATGAGATATGGAGACTTTCGAAGCACCGCACCTAGCTTGGTTCGGAGAATGCCTCGAGCCAAGAGAAAGTCAAGCATATCCCGAACCTGGGGAAGGGAGAGTCGGAGCCAGTAAGCGTTTTTCATGGTGATGGCTGAGGTGTCGGCACGGGATACGCCATAAGACTGGAGAAGCTGGACACGTGGCAGAAAGTCATTGGTGGGATCAGACCGAAGGAGCGAAGGGTGGGAGGCGAGGAGGGAAGCGACAATGGAAGGGGAGGAGATGCCGAGGTGGGAGGAGAAGAAGCGGTAGAGGGAGAGGAGGGAGGAGGGAGATACGACCCGAGGGCCGTTGCGTGGAGGAGGAGGGCGTGTGGGAGGAGATGTGATGGGTGATCCGACCTCCTCCTTTGCTACTACTGCTGCGTCCTCCCCCTCGTTCCCTTCCCCACCATCTTCCTCCTCTACTTTTGAACCCTCTGTTTCCTCATCCCCATATTCCTCCTCCTCTTCTTGTCGTCCCTTATCCTCCTCCTGATCCATAATCCTTCCGTTTATTGAACCCCCCTCCTCCTTTATCACTATCTGAGGCCCAAATTTCTCTCTCAAAAATTCAGCAATCATTGCCACTGCCTCCTCCTCCTCTGTCGCTTTGCATAATCCTCTCCCTCCACGCTTCCACCGGCCTGCCTCAACCTTTTCCTCCAATTTCCTTTCTCTCGTCTCACGTCTCGTACGCTCTCCTCTGCCGTACACCTCCCCTCTTCCCACTCCACTCTCACTCTTCTCTGACTCTCCTCCCTCACTCTCTCCCTCCTCTCTTCCATCTGTACGCATCCGAGTCTCCGTCCCAACCGCTGGTACTGGCTTGCCATCGAAGGGCGGATAGAATCGCACGTTCGCGCTTTCCGTGTCTGGAACATGCTCATGCGAATCAAGAGTTACATCGCATCGCACGCTCGCGCTTTCCGCCTTGAGAACCTCGGCTGATCTTGCCAACGACCCAACGGAACAGATTATAGTGAAGCTCCGGTCAGGAGTTCGAATTCTGTTGAATGCGTTCTGTGCAGGGTGTCGGTTTAGCCCAAACCGGTAGAGGTTCGGCTGGGATGGAATACCAGCTGTGGGTGCCAGTCCAGGCTTCTCTGAGAATGGCTTAGAACAAGGCATCGAAGACTGCGTGATGTATCTCGATGAAAATCTTAATCTGTTAATCCACGCTATGGATGGCCGAGACGTTCTACGATACGCCATATCGAATAGCCGATAGATGCAACGAAACGGATGATGGACTACATGAACGACTTATACGCCTAAAGTGTTTGTCCTATGACGACCATCAGTAGTGATTCCTGATTCCCGAATTGTTGAAGTGACTAGCAGAAAAGAGAAAACCGTCTCGTCTTGATAGTTTCTCCAGTTGCTGCTTGCAGACATCTCGCAGGCTAGAAGCTAGTTCACAAAACAAACCCAAGAGAACAACAGAGAAGTGCTCTGATTGAAGGACCATGGTGAATCCAGATGAGTGAAAAAGATGGATCCTCCCACTGCCAGCACTGGGAATACCGTGCTGGGGTAACCATCGCTGGCGCATCAATGCAATCTCCTTTCACGAGTGCATTGCGACAATGAGTTGTCCCATGCGAAGATTCCTGCGTGTTCGTCAGCCCATTTCTTTAGAAGCGACGACTGGTTGCCACACTTGCGAAAAGTCTTGTGTGTTCGCCTGTCAAGGCCGCGAGATGGCTTGTGCCGTTTCAGATTCGTACCCGTTCATTGAGATCGATGGGGCACACGCCAGATTAATGAATTTACGTGCAATATTTCACACGAGCACCAGATCTTTTACAACAATTTCTTGAAAAATGCTGAGCTGAGCCTAAAACAGAAAAAAAACCGTGCAAATGTAGTGATAGTCCTCCTACCTCCTAAACTTTGGTCATAAATTTCTCCTCAAAGCGCTTATCAGTACAACTAAGGAACTGAGACAAGCACACCCGCTTCTTAGGTTGTTGCTCCTGTGCCATTACTTGACTCTCAAATCTGCCTCTTCCTCTTGGCTCGTCGTTACCTTCATGCGGTCTCACCAGAAGCTCATTACTCTCCTCATCAGCCTCCTCTTCTTGCCACTCATCTTCCCCATTCCCCACATCTGCCAAACCCTTCTTCAATTTCCCGTCCACGTCCTCCTCTCGGTTTCCCCTCTCCTCATCTTTGTCCGCAGCCCCTTTCCGATTGCTGCTGAGCTTCTGAAGAGCCACAGTCTTATAGGACACAACGTCGTAGCCCAACTGCAGCAGCGCCGCATGTCGCGTCTTGATTCGCCGATCCAGGTTAAACCCCAGGAATGGAGGGAAGGCAAGCACCTCCATTATAGAGAGCCCCATTTCCCGCTTCAAGTACTCCACCTTGTGCCTCATGTTCCCATCCCAGCTGTAGTAAACGCATTGCGGGGACTTCACAGCCAGATTTATCACCAGCTTACGTGCTAACTCCTCCACTCCATTCACAGAACCTTCACCCACACCGGATATACCTTCTTGTTTTCCATTTTGAGACCTATACTCTCCATCCCCCTCCTTCGCTTCACCAATCCCACCTGCCTCCAGTCCCTCAATCCCACCCTCATCCCCTCCTCCCCCTTCCAACGCCTCCTGAAACTCCCTCAAAAGCTCTGCATAGTTCTGCTTCATGGTCTCTTCCCCAGAAGTCAGCAGCAGTGGGAATCGCGCCACTGCGAGCGCAGCATTCTCCGGGCCAATTAAACCGCTCAGAACCGCCACCTTACCCTCCAAATTCTCCTTAGACAGAGTCAAAACCAGCGGATGACTACTAACCACCCTCCCTGCTGCCTTTTTCCCGACCAGCTCCACAAAGAACTGGAGCTTAGCTAAAAGATTCTCCGAACCGAGGTTTAGGATGGAAGGAGCGTGGCGGAGAACAGGGATGGCAATGGAGGGGCTATCAGGGGGAGTGAAGGACTGGAGAAGGCTGAGATTGGCTGAGATGCGATCAGAAGAAGAGAGGAGGATTCGTGGGTAGTTCAGGAGAAGCCTCGTCAGGAGGATCTTTTTGTCCAGACGTTGCCGATTCTTGTGTTTTTTCAGGTGCTGCTTCAGGTGTCCTGTGCTGCTGCTGGTATCCTCTTCTGTCCCCTTCTCTTCGAATCCATCTGACAAGTAGTCTGACAGCAGCTTGATTTGATCCTGTATGGATTCTTCACTTCGACATAAGATATTTGGGCATCTCTCTATAATCACACCCAGCTTCTCCTCAGGAATCCCTGCTGCCTCCACCAAAATGTCCAGGTTCGTTGAACGAGCATGCGAGCGGATGAGGTACGGCGAACCCCGGATCACCATGCCTAGCTTGCTTCGGCGCACGCCCCGAGCCAGAATAAACTCAATCGTCCCCTGAATTTGCGGAAGGGAGCTTCGGAGCCAAGACGCATTCGTGATGGTGACGTGGACAATGGTGGCCTGGGATATGCCATACGACTGCAATAGCCGGACACGTGGCAGCAGGTCACTGGCCGGATCGGAACGCAGGAGGGCAGGGTGGGAGGCGAGGAGGGAAGCGACCGTGGAAGGGGAGGAGATGCCGAGGTGGGAGGAGAAGAAGCGGTAGAGGGAGAGGAGGGAGGAGGGAGAGGTTGCACGTGCTCCCTTGAGTGGCATTGCAGGTGTGAAGAAAGACGTGCTACCTGGTAATTCCTCCTCGCTGAATTCTGCTTTTATGTCGTCCTCTCTCCCCTCGCCGTCCTCCATTTCACAGACCGGTACCCCTTCCTCCTCTTTCACTCTCTCCGCCTCCTCTACCTCTTTTTCCTCCCCTCCCTCCTTAATCTCCTTTCCGCCCTCTCTGCTTCCGCCTCCATCCTCCTCTCGAACAATCTGAGGCCCAAATTTCCCTCTTAGCACTCTCGCAATAATTGCCACTGCCTCCTCTTCTTCGCAACTTTCCCCCCCTCTGCTCGTTTTCTCTGCTCTCCTTCCGCTCCTCTTATCCCCGCTCCCCCTATCCCCACTCCCCCTATCCCCCGGCTCTTCGCCCCTCACTGGCCTCACGTTGCTCTCCCCTTTGCCGCCATTGCTCTCCCCCTCCTCTTCCCCCACTTTACGCGTCTCAATCCCTGTATCAATAGGCAGCGACGGCTCGATTTCCACAAATGCGATCTCAGCCGTTGAAAGATCTGCTGGTCTGACGGGTTTTCCAGCGTCACACTTGATTGTCAGGCTGTGGTCACGGGTTCGAACCCTGGGAGCCGCTTTCGATGGAGGTAGATTGAGATGTTTGAGCGGAATTTTCAAGTTTCTAAGAGGCAACTCGCGACCATCATCAGGCCGCACAGCTCTCAATGGGCGAATCGAAACGACTTGCGAAGGGAAAAGGTACGCCATATTTAGGGGTGGATTTCGAACAAGAAAGCTACTAAATGATGTTGGTCAAATCAGCGCGGTCCTGCCTGTGACGCAGTGCGTCAGCCATCAGAGCGGTGCTTTCTAAAACTTCATGAAATCGCCATGGTGGTAAGACCGCCAAGGATGTTGGAGTCTCGTTCTAATTCTCTGGAGGTATGACGTACGCGATAATGAGAAAGAGAGGGTTTGAAGTTTGAATAACAATTCTGTTTTCGTGGCAAATTTGTATTTCCTGACATAGATGTGCTTTCCACTGGGGTGCCCAGCCGATCGCACAAAATGCTGAGTTCCGCCTGCGAAACAGTTTGCGATTGTGTATCGAAGCAACGAAACTTCAAAGAGCTGGTAACACGGACACGAATTTCAGTGAACAGCGATGGTGGAGCATCAGACAGCACATCGCATCAAATGGCAGAGAACCGTACCGCGAAACGGTTTGGCGGGATGGAGGACTGAACTGCGAGATTTGTTCGCCTGACACTGTTCTAGGTGCGACCCGAAAAGCTCCAGGGAGGGGGAACTCTATTTTTTACTGAGAGCGTTTCCCTGGGCAGGATTTCTTCGGTGGATTTTGTTTTCTTCACTACTGCTGCGCGGATTTTTTTTCCTGTTTGGTGATTACGAAGTGCGAAGTACAAGGGGACCAGCAATTATTTTAACTATACACGTTTCATACAAAATCAACGTCACAAAACGAACTTATAAAATAGAGTGCAAACAAGGGAATGGTGAAACTACTACTACAACGCTAAGGTCCTTCGACGCTGCTCTTCAACTGAATTCGCCACTTCGGTCTGACCCCTCTTGGCCGCTAGGAGCAAGCTCCTAGCGTTTCACCCGTACACCACGTTGAGGTGGGGGTTATTCGTACGGGACACCTGTGGGAAACAGGGGCAAAACTTTCAGATTGTCCCGCCACCGGGCAGAGAACCACCTCAGATATCCGGATGTCAGATGTCAGGTTGAAGGCGCCTCGAGTCGGGGATGCTCCACAGCTGCTGAAGATGGGAAACCCATCTGTATCCACAAAGCTGAGATGGGAAACCCATCTGCATGCACACCAACCCAACCACCCCCACCTCGAACCTGTACCACAAGTACCACAATCGCGCGTCGCATCTAAATACCTGTACCACGTGTTCGCTCCTACTCCTACTCGCCACCCCGTCGTCGCTCCTACTCCTACTCGCTACCCCGTCGTCGCTCCTACTCCTACTCGCCACCCGCGTACCTTACTAACTCTCACCCTTCAGCAGTGTCGTGCCGAGCAGTGCCGTGCCGAGCAGTGCCGTGCCGTGCCGTGCCGTGCCGTGCCGTTCGTCTGCTCCTCCGCCATGGTCTGGAACGGAAGGAGAGGGAGAAAACGGTGAAAGCTCCAGCGGCCTCCCCTCCACGAAACCTGCGCACTAAAACACGAAAAAAAGTTAGTAAAACTGATGAATGAAACCAAGAACAAAAAGAACAGGAAAAACAATGACAAGAAATGCACGACAAAGCGCGACAAAAACGACATAGGTAGAGAAACTCACCCTTGGTTTCGTTCCTCCAGTCACGACCTCCCGTCCGTTGTGCTCCTCCTCGGCCTGAGGAGACAAGATAGAGAGAGAGACAGAAGGGAAAGAGTGATAGCTCCAGCGGCCTCCCCTCCACGAAACCTGCACACTAAAACACGAAAGAACGTTAGTAAAACTGATGAAAACAAGATAAAAACAAGAACAGAAAGAACAGGAAAAACAATGATAAGAAAAGCACGACGAAGCGCGACAAAAACGACATAGGTAGAGAAACTCACCCTTGGTTTCGTTCCTCCAGCCACGACCTCCCGTCCGTTGTGCTCCTCCTCGGCCTGAGTAGACACGACAGAGAGAGAGACAGAAGGGAAAGTGATAGCTCCAGCGGCCTCCCCTCCACGAAACCTGCACACTGAAACACGAAAGAATGTTAGTAAAACTGATGAAAACAAGATAAAAACAAGAACAGAAAGAACAGGAAAAACAATGACAAGAAAAGCACGAGAAAGCGCGACAAAAACGACATAGTTAGTAAAACTCACCCTTGGTTAGCCACGACCTCCCGTCCGTTGTCCTCCTCCTCAGCCTGAGGAGACAAGACAGAGAGAGAGACAGAAGGGAAAAATGATAGCTCCAGCGGCCTCCCCTCCACGAAACCTGCGCACTAAAACACGAAAAAAACGTTAGTAAAACTGATGAAAACAAGATGAAAACAAGACTAAAACAATATGAAAGCACGAACAGAAAGAACAGGAAGAACAAAGACAAGAATAGCACGACAAAGCGCGACAAAACGACATAGGTAGAGAAACTCACCCTTGCCGCGATGACGTGCAGATCGCGACGCGATGATGTTGTCGCGGCGCCGTCTTGATCTTGTGAAGCCTCCAAGTCTTCTGAAGTCCTCGCGGCGCTGGAGCTTGAGTTGAAGACAAGCTTACGATCTGTAAATTATAGAAACGATTATCGTAAGGCCCGCCGAAAGAAAAAAAAACAGTAAAGCACGAAATCCTTATCCTGGAAGCTCGCGGCGCGTTGAATTCTTCAAGTGAAAAATATCCTCAAATGTCTTCAAAATAACAGCGGTCTTGGACTGTCTTCAAGTTACGCAGCGTTCCGATCTACTCAAATTGAGGCTAGTAGACACGTTCGGAAAAGGGAGGCGAGGAGAGGAGCACCATCGAGGCACACGAATCAGCCAGAAGCATGTAGCAAAGCGTGCGCTGCTAGCCTATGCTGCGACTCTGCGCTGCGACGCTGCGCTGCGATGCTGCGCGCCTATGCTGCGAACCTACGCGCGACGCTGCGAGCGCACACACGCTCTGCTGCATGCCTTTGGCTGACTCGGGCTTTCCGGTGCTCCTCAAAAGAAATTATCGTCGACGATAGTGAGTTTTTCGACTGAATGAAGTTGGAATGGATATTTAGTGGTTTCTTGAGCTAGTTGACTGGAGAAGGTTTAGGTGTGAGAGGTGGTGCCGTGTGCGCGAATCATTGGGATGGAATCTCTGGTAAGGATGGGGATCGGGAATCGAGGGTGGCAGATTGCCGCCGCTAATTCTAAACGGCCTCGATGCAATCTCCCGCTGTTCGCCGACGGCCTTGATAGACCGCCAAAAGCATCTTCTTGCGTCTGGAGGAGTCAGAACGACTGAAGTGATATGATGGGATCAACTTTTGGGAATGCGCCTCGAGAGGTGTGATGGTGCTGCCTGTGCGAATCGCGGTCGATCATACAGAAATCTCTGGTGAGATTACACTACCTATGCCCTCTAGCACCGGTTACGACCGTGGTGTTTTTTGCATTGTACGTGTATAGTGCATATTTCACCTACCAAAAAAAAAAAAAAAAAAAAAAATCTCTGGTGAGGATAAGGTGCGGGAATCGAAGGTAGCCAAATGCCGCCGCTAAAATATGAACGGCCTCGATGCAATCTCGTGTCGTCCACCGCCATGCGGGACCGCTAAGATCATCAGCTCAGCATTCTTTGGCGTCGGGCGGAGTCAGGATGACCGGGTTGATGTACTTGTGGGAGAATTTGTCAATGTACCTTGAGAGGCATGGTGCTGTCTGTGCGAATCGCGGTGAATAATTCTGAAAAGTTATGGGGATTTGGAATCGAGGGTGGTAAAACGCCGCCGGTAATTTTGAACGGCGTCAATGTAATCTCATGCCGTCCGCCGATGGCCGTGCGAGACGCCAAAATCACCAGCTCGGCTACGTTTGGCGTCCAGAGGAGTCAGAATGAATGGGGTGATATATTGAGCGAGAGTTTGTGAATGTGCCTCGACGAGAGGTGTGGTGCTGCCCTGCGATTCGCGGTCGATTTTGAAAGTGGTGAATTGAGGGTGGTAGATTGCGCCGCAAAATGTGAACGACTTGGATTGAAGAGTGAGCCCTCCGCTGAGAGCCGCGGCCACACCGTTGATTGGCACTTCATATGTCAGCGAAAATTGGTTGGACAGGGAGTGGGGTTCAGAAGGGTTGGCGCGATGAACATTTGGGGCGTGGATACCCGTTTGTAGCTGTTCCGTGTTTACATTTATGGCTTTTGTTGAACCCTTTCGTGCGTATTTTGGACTCATTGTATTGCGTGTGGCTTTGCTCATAAGATTGGGCCAGCCCTACGAGGGGGTTCCAAGTCACGGGCAGGTTAGGTAGTAGTATGGACAGATTATTGCGTGAGTTACGGGACGGCAACAGCAGCTGGAAATTGAAGAAAAATTCCTGCAAAGTTTGGGCAGCTGAAATGGAACTGGCTGGATGGAAAACTCTTCAAAGACCAATCGGAAAGGGAAATCGAGGGACCGAAGAACTGAGAGAGGAAGGAAAGCTGGGAATCAAAGTCGAAAGAAAAATGAGAAGACAGGGGAACAGTAATAAAACCAGGGGAATCGGAACAACGAGGGTAAATAGAAAGTCACCGTAACGGGGTCCAGTTTGGTATACCAGCTACCCACTCGGTATTATCAACGTTGCTGCTCTTCTCGCTTCCTGCCTCAGATCTGACAATTTGGTGACTTCGCCCTTAGAACCTAGATTAGTCTCTCGAATGACTTGCACTTGCTTCTGGTGCCGTCAAGGTTGATTCCAGTTCAGATCCGACGACCCTTGCACGTTCCGTGGCTGAGGGTGGTAGTACGTTTCAGATGCGTACTATTCTCGAAGGTAGGAACGACAAGTCTATCTCGCAATATCATTACTTCGCGAAGGGACTTTAGACGGAGGGTGAAATCCCGCTCGTTGAGCTCATGCTAGAGCGGTCACGCAAATCTGTACTTCCGTTTTAAGATTGATTTTCGCGTCGTAAGTAGATCTGACGGTCTCGTCCCTTTTACAGCTAGACCGAGAAACGCCATGGCCGTGTGAAGCGCGTCAGCTGCTGACGCGGGCTTCAATGTCTTCTTATTAGACGCCGCTGACGCGCTCTTCGATGGAAGGTAACACTGCTGAACTTTATAATCAGAGGCATCGTGAAGTGAAGCACGGATGCGAGTTCTGAGAATTTTCGAAAATCTCCGTTCCCCTTCCCGCCCCTTTCCCGCCCCTTTCCCGCCCCCTTTCCGCCCCCTCCCCTCCCCCTCCCCCCGTCCTTGCGCCTACTCTCTCTCCTTTCGCCATTGCATGGCAGCAATCTTGTCTCCTCACTCCGTCTTGCCTCCGCTCGTCCCATCTCCTCGTCACTCGCCCTCACCACATTTCCCATTTCGCTCACCCCTCGCCCCCCTGCGCTCCTCCGTATTCACTCAGCGCTGATACCTCCCCCCCCTGCGCTCACCTTTCGTTCCCCCACCGTTATTCCTCACCCCCTTCGCTCACCCCTTATTCCCCTTGTGTTTGTCCCTCATTCCCTCTGTGCTCCTGCATACCCCCGGTGCCCACCCTTTTTCCCTGAGCCCATCCCTTTCCCATCCCCACCCTTTCCCCCTCCGCTCATCCATTCCCCATTCCCTCACCCTCCCCTGCCCTCATCCCTCATCCCCCCTGCAGCACTCACCCTTCGTTCCCCTCACCCCCCTGTGCCCATTCCTCATTTCCTCCATCTATTTTCACCCTCCTCTCTGCGCTACTCCCTCCTTTGCCCAGTGAATTTCATTTTCCTCATTGCACTCATCCCATCCCCCTGCACTCATCCCATCCCCCTGCACTCATCCCATCCCCCTGCACTCAACCCTCATCCCTCCACCCATGAAGCCCCCTGCGTGCGTCCCCTCTTTGGAGTCTGATCTGAACTGATGCATGCACCTGGTAACATGATAAGTTGGTGCCGATATCTGATGTAAAGCATGCACATGTTTAGTTGTTTTTCAAGACAAAGGTGAAAACGTGCAAATGTGTGACCACCAGTTGGTGTTTTTAAAGGGCTGTTTCAAGCAGATGCAGCATCCTCGTGTACCATGTTTTAGACATAGTAATATAATGCATGATACGGTATGTTACAAGCCTTTCCAACTACGGTACTGTGCATTAGTTTGGACTGACCCACACGAGCAGATTTGTGTCGGGCATGCTTCATAACAACGTGCAGGTGCTAGGTGGGTAAGCCATGCCCAGATATACCTGGACTGGATACTACCGTACCACCAGAACAGAACCACACCTGATTTTGATGTCAAGCTGCTGGTAATCAGCTCCATTGCCCGTCACTGCTGTTATTTTCCGAGGTATTGACACTAGAAATCTATTCCATGGGTGGCATCCCATGAGATGACTGCTCGTCTGAGATTGGACGGCGGAAATTCCAGCCTCAGCTGGTAACCAGCTCCCTTGCCTGTCACTGCTGTTTTCCGCCTCCTGCGACCCCCTCCCTGCCATGCCAGGACAGAGAGATAGTAAAAAAAAAAAAGGGGGGGGGGGGGGGGGGGGAGAAAAAAGGGAAAAACATTTCGTAAAATGCAAAACGCTAATTGTGAAGAAATGGACTGGATATTTCTTGAGAGTCAAACATACCGGTATAACAAGGGAGCGATGGGCTTACAAAGAGGGTGAAGAAGGCAACAGGTGCCACAGCGACCAGTCTGCCTTGAAATGCACTTACGAGGATGTGACGTGCTTGTGAAGAGGGAATTGTTAGGTGCTTATGAGGAGTAAAAGGTGACGTGTTTACAAAGAGGGTGAAGAAGGCAACATTGCGACCCCGGCCTTGTACCCCACACTGACTGCCAGCCCGCCTTGAGACGCCTCTGCTGCTCCCCCCATTATCTCATTTGTTCCCAGCAGAAACCGTGTAAAAAAAGGCCAGCGAACAAGAGGAGGTTCAAAGTGCTTACGAAGAGAGTAAAGAAGGCAACAGGTGCCACCCCCGCCTTGTACCCCACACTGACTGCCAGCCCGCCTTGAGACGCCTCTGCTGCTCCCCCCACTATCTCGTTTGTTCCCAGAAACCGTGTGGTCTCCATCTCCCACCCTTGCCTCGTGCCTGACATTGTGGTTTTGAACCTGAGAGGAGAGACCGCAAATTGTAAAACGGAAAGAGGTGAACACAAAGATGACAAACAAGTAGTGACAAAACAACCACTACAAAAACAAGTCGAAAAACATGAGAACAAGACAGGTGCGAAAGAATTGAAAGATGAACCCCCACCAACATGACACACAGTTTATGTTCTACTGTTGATGCACAACAACTAACAAGCTGCTTCTAAGACTAACTGACGCATCAAAGCTGGTGTGCTCCCAGCCATACCGTATTTGAGCTTCTGGCTTTACAGCGGGTCCCAGCTGGCGCACTGCGATTGGCTGAAGCACCTCCACTGACAGTCCCCGATCGGCGAGAGAATATGAGGGCGTCACACGCGTTCCCAAGGGGTGCTGGGGAGAGTGAGAAGGGAAGGCGAGGGAAGGAAAGGAGAGAGAAGCTAAGGGAAGGAGAGCGAGAAGGGAAGGCAAGGAAGAGTAGCGGGCGTCACACACGCACACCTATGTTGCGCCTGACGCCCTGGAAGGGCAGCGTCCAGCGTCCGGACGTTCAGCGTCCGCTCATCTTGCTGATTGGGAGGGGAAGAAGAGTCACGACATTACTGTGTGCCCGAATGCGCCAAAAGAGGTAGTAGAGAGCATTCGCACATTGCAGGAGGGGAAATGTAAGAAGCAGTTGGAGAAAAACCGGGCGGAGATGGCGGCCATGGATGCGGTGAGTGGCAAAACCAGCAGCGGGGTGGGTTCTAAGAGAGGGCGCATGTCAGATTTCTATGGGGCGGAGGGGTCAGTGGCTAGGCGGGAGGCGGATGATGCCATATGTCTCTATTTCGCAGCATTGGGTGTTCCCGAAAACCAAGCCGACAACCCTCTTTTCCGCAACATGATAAGGGCAGTTGCAGCAGCGGGTGGTAGCTATGTCCCTCCGAAGAGAAAGTACGTGGGCGGGGCTGGACTGCAGCGGACTCGTAAGAGGATTGAGGAGGGGTTGGATCCCGTGGTTAAGAAGTGGCCGGAGAAAGGAGTCACCATCGCTAGTGACATGATGAGTGACAGGAATGGGCGTGCGCAGGCGAATTTCCTTTGCGTCAACGAAGATGGAGCTGTGTTTATGGAGAGTGTTGACTGCGGGATGGAACGGAAAACAGGCGGTTACATTGCTAGCCTCATCCGGCCAGTCATAACGAAGGTGGGGCCAGTCATAACTGGCTGGTGGTGCATAGTGCACACAAGCGACCTGAGATGGAGGGGGCCGGGATAATTGAGGGTAACAAGCCAGACCCCCCGGTCCCGGAGGGATACATTCTGCAGGAGGAGGTGGATGAGGAGGAGGAGGAGGAAGAAGACAAGCTGCTGGCTGATGAATATGTGGCAACCCCCCCTCTTCCCTAGGTTATGCATGTGAGAAGAGGAGTATTTAACTTGTGTGTGAGATTAGGAGATTTTTAGGATTTTCTGGATTTTATAGAGTATTTATGACTGTAGGTGACAAATGTGAACTTATTGCATTCAAACCCTTGCGTATCCTTACTAGGCAGGTTTTTTTACCCCTGCCCGGAAATTTTTTTTGCCCTGCCCGGACTGGCGTCAAGCGGGCGTCCAGGGCAGAGGGCCCTGGGCGTCAAGCGTCTGGACGCCCCGTCCAGACGCCAGCGTAAAAAACGCCTGACGCGTCAGGCGCAACATAGACGCACACAGTGGACACACACAATATTCCAAGAACTTATCGCCCGTGCGGGCGTCTCTTATCACACAGTAGACAAATATTTCCTGCCAGTACTCTCCCCTAGAAAAGCAAGTGCACTCATTCCCCTCCCATCCCACCCCACCTGGTATGCAAACCCCACGTTGGCCGTGTCTGCTGTCCACCCTTCCACCTGCAGCACGCCTTACAGAGTAAGTACCACCACTCCCCTCCCGTTCAATCCCCCAACTGGTAGAAACAATAACAATTCCTACCTGATATGCAAACCCCACAGTGGCCGTGTCTGCTGTCCGCCCTTCCACCTGCAGCACTCCTCTCAGCGGGTGGCATGGCAGGAAGAGACTGGCCTTGACTCCGTTGACTCGGTTCATCAGGAACTCGCCCCTGGGGAAGTCAACCCACAGCATGTCCTGACAGGATGAGAAATATAGTACGTTGAGGGGAAGGGAGAGTGAAATAAGGAAGATACTCGCATTGACTCCCTTGACCCGGTTCAACAGGAACTCGCCCCCGGGGGAAGTCAACCCACAGCATGCCCTGACAGAGGGGATGTGGAAAGATGGGGAGAGATTACAAGGGAACATGGCAGCAGTAGACATTGGCTGGGGCGAAGGGGACAGGAAGAGACGGGGACAGGAAGAGACGGGGACAGGAAGAGACGGGGACAGGAAGAGACGGGGACAGGAAGAGACGGGGACAGGAAGAGACGGGGACAGGAAGAGACGGGGACAGGAAGAGACGGGAACATACCACGTGGCAAGTGGGTAGCTTGAGGGAGAGGAGGGACCGATAGGCCATGGATGGAGCATAACACATCAGAGTAAGAACAATGTGGATACTACATACGAGCACATACCACATGGCAGGCGGGCAGCTTGAAAGAGAGGAGGGCCCGATAGGCCATGGATGGAGCATAACACATCAGAGTAAGAACAACGTGGATACTACATGCACATACCACATGGCAGTCGGGCAGCTTGAAAGAGAGGAGGGCCCGATAGGCCATGGATGGAGCATAACACATCAGAGTAAGAACAATGTGGATACTACATACGAGCACATACCACATGGCAGGCGGGCAGCTTGAGGGAGAGGAGGGCCCGATAGGCCATGGATGGAGCATAACACATCAGAGTAAGAACAACGTGGATACTACATACGAGCACATACCACATGGCAGGCGGGCAGCTTGAGGGAGAGGAGTGCCCGATAGGCCATGGATCGAGCCCACCACCCCACCATGAGCGCAGTGCGATGGCTGGGGCGCTCCTGGCATGGATGGGAGGGAGGGAATCAGAGCATACAAATATTAAGGCATCTCAGAACCCAAATCGGTAGGCCATGGATCGAGCCCACCATCCCACCATGAGCGCAGTGCGATGGCTGGGGCGCTCCTGGCATGGATCGGAGGGGGGGGAATCAGAGCATACAAATATTAAGGCATCTCAGAACCCAAATCGGTAGGCCAGGGAACGAGCCCACCATCCCACCATGAGCGCTGTGCGATGGCTGGGCCGCTCCTGGCATGGACATGAGGGGAAGGGAGGGATAGATTTCAATCAGTCAGGTCCATTCTAATAGTTTCAGGCCAACAAAGTTATAAAGGTTATGGATCAAACCTACCACCCCACCATGAGCGCCGTGCGATGGCTGGGCCGTTCCTGTTAGAACGGGAGGGAAGGGAGGGAAGAGGAGCAGATGAATAGTGAGGCACTTTCAACCTGGTGGGCCATCGGTAGGCCATGGAGCGAGCCCACCATCCCACTATGAGCGCTGTGCGATGGCTGGGCTGCTCCTGGCATGGATGGATGGGGGGGAAGGGAAGAAAATGGTTTTTCTCGGCGCGTCAGAAAGGACCAGGCAAGAAGTGCATCACCACAACAACATGTCAGCACACCTGGAGGTCATGGAAGATTTGCACGAGAGAGTTGTCGCCAGAATGCAGGGTGGTTCCGAAGGAGGGGACGAGGCGGGACCGGTCCCATCTCAGGCGGAGAGGGCCGATTTCCATGGTGCCTAAGGTAGTTAAGAAAACCGACACACCTGAAGGTCATGGAAGATCTGCACGAGGGAGTTGTCCAAAGGAACCAAACGAAGGTAGTTAAGAAAACCGACACACCTGAAGTGCATCACCCCAACAACATGTCAACACACCTGAAGGTCATGGAAGATCTGCACGAGGGAGTTGTCCCCGGAATGCAGAGTAGATCCAAAGGAAGGGACCAAACGGGGCCGGTCCCATCTTAAAACGGAGAGGACCAATTTCTGGAGCAATGGAGAAGCGGGTGAAGGGTGCGGAGGGCCAACCCTCTGCTTTGAAACACATGGGCATTTGCCAACATACATACCTGAAGGTCGTGGAAAGATTTGCACGAGGGAGTTGTCCCCGGAATGCAGAAGCGATGGAGCGGGTGACGGGCGCAGAGGGTCGCCCCTCTGCTTAAAAACACCTGGTAAGCAGCCAACGCACGCACCTGAAGGTCATGGAAGATTTGCACGAGGGAGTTGTTGCCCGAATGCAGGGTGGCTCCAAAGGAGGGGACCAGGCGCGGCCGGTCCCATCTCAAGCGTAAGGGGCCGATTTCCGGGGCGATGGAGAAGCGGGTGAAGGGCGCGGAGGGTCGACCCTCCGCCACTGCTCTGATGCGGAGAGGGAAGGAGGGACGGGAGGAAGGAGGGGAGGAGGAAGTCGAAGAGGAGGGAGAGGAGGAGGAGGGGGAGGAGGAGGAGGAGTTGGGAGAAGGGGAGGAGAAGAATGGAAGGTGAGGGAGGGACGGGAGCGGGAACGGGAAGGGGGAGAGCGACGGGATGTCTAACGAGAGTGCCGATCGGAGGATGTCCGTCCGCGAGTTGTACTTGCTGGTAACCGTAACCGTGCGTCTCTTGCGCGCGGCCTCTACTCGTTTCGCCACGTGGTCAAAGGCTCGCAGAAACGCCTCGGGATTGGCCTCTACCATCTGACGCAGCTGCGTGACCGATATCCTCCCCCCTGCCCCTGCTCCTAACCCCGCTCCTCCTGCTCCTCCTGATCCAAATCCCCCTCCTCCAAATCCTCCTCCGCCTCCTCCTCCTGCTCCTCCTCCTGCTCTTCTTCTCGCGAACGAGGCTGTAGATCGTCCGAACTGCGTATTCAGCCCGCCTATCCCCATCCCCAACCTATTTCCTTGCCCTGATTCCGCCTCTGCGCCTCTGCCCCATAGTCTTTCCGCTGCTCCCATCCCCGCCCGCACTTCCTCTGCATTCGCACCCTCTCTCCACCTCCCCAGGCCAAGGGGCAACCTGCGAAATAACCCCATTCTACTGGGGGTACGACCCACCCCAGCCTCTTCCAGAGCCTCTGTTGTTCTGCCCTCGCTAAGAGAATCTCTAAAACGGGTTCTAGATGACACCGCGAGCTCCCTAGTGGGCCTGGAGTCTTCGTACTCGTTACAGCCCTGATTCGGTAATAGGCTCGAGACCTGCCTGATACACTTTTGCAAGAGCCCCAGGCCATCTGTATCTGCACTTTCAGTTCCAGCTTCAATAGGCCGGTCCACAGAAAGAATACGCTTATCTACAGATGTAACTTGCCGTTCATCCTCAAAAACCCTCCTACTGTGCACATTATAAAACCGCTGCTGCTGCTGCTGCTGGTGCTCAGGCACTTGCTGCTGTGCAGGCTGCTTCTGCCGAAGCCGCCTCCATTGCTGAATCAACGTCTCTTCACCACCCCCACCATCTCCACTTCCCCTTCCCCTTCCCCCATCTCTTCTCCCCTGCTCTGACGCTGCTCCCTTCTTTCCTCTCGCATCCCCTCCCGAGCCTATCACCCCTCCCTCCGGACCTCTCAGCACCAGAATTTGGACTCTCTCATTGGCCGAATCCGCCTCCACCAATGGCGAGCTCTCATTCTCCGACTTGACGCGGATCCCGCGTCCTCCGTCAGAGCTGCCGTCCGCTGCCGCCCAGCCGGCAGAGTTGCCGTGCCGTCTCTCCCATCCGCCGTCCCACCTCGGAATTGCCTCGTTCTCCTCTCCGTCCGCTCCTTCAGAGCTCCCCTCAGGACGCGAAACCCTAGACGCCAGCCGGTGCAACAGGCTGTGCCGCGAAGGCTGCCCGCGAACCAGCTCCCGCCCGGGAAAAGACTTTTGCGGAGCTTCGAATAAAGACCTAATTACCGCGGGAGACGCCGGGGAAGATATTGCTTCGGGAGCGGGAGGATTTCCCCGCGGAGAGGCGGAACGCGGAAGAATTGCGGGGGAAGGAACCTGGGAGAGGGCTGGCGGAAGGAGAGCGGGGAAGGACGCGGAGCGCGGTGGGAATAGACGAGGGTTGAGAGAAGGGGAAGCGGGGGAGGAGGAGGGAGAAGATAACGACGGAGACGGCGACGGCGAGTGAGCTGACGACGGCGCTGGCGACGATAGCGAAGTCGACGACGACGATGTCGCTGACCGCGAATTTCGAGCACCGCGTGACGGTTCTTGAGAGAAATATTTCGGGGATAGCGCTGTAAACGAACCGATTTCCGCTACCTCGCGCTGCCATGAGCCATCATCCAGAGCAGAGCCATCACTCGGTCCTGCCTTCTGCTTCTCCTGCCTCCCTGACTGACTTGCACCCGAGCCTTTTCTATACGTCCCGTCCTTATTCAAACGCCGTCCAGACCCTTTTTTCCGCGAGCGGGCATTCCTGACAGCGCCCGTTCCTGCTCCTGCTGCTGCTGCGCCATTCGCGCCGTTACTTCCGCTTCGTCTGCTGCTAGCGCGGTTCCCCGGGGATTGATTTGGCCCAGCGCACTGGTTGTCGTTTTCCGCCGTCGCTTGGTGGGCAGGAGAGGGTGAAACGCCGGGGGAGAGCAGCAGCGAGAGCTGCTCTGCCGCTTTCCTAGCGCGACCCCTGAGGTCCTCGAGCACGTCCATAAGAGCTTCAGGCGCGTTTCTCAGACAATGTTTGAGGTGCTTCAAAAGGAGGGACCCTTGGGATCCTCGAGCACGTCCATAAGAGCTTCAGGCGCGTTTCTCAGACAATGTTTGAGGTGCTTCAAAAGGAGGGACCCTTGGGATCCTCGAGCACGTCCAAACGAGCTTAAGGCGTAGTTCACGAACGAATTTTGAGGCGCCTCAGAAGGCGAGACCCTTGAGGCCCTCGAGCACGTCCGTAAGAGGTAAAAGGTGTGGTACATACAGTTACGACCTGCTCCGGTTAGAACCGCCACCGAACGTACCACACTGGTATAAAACTGAAACACACCACAGTTTTTTCACCTCTGAAAGTTGAAATTTACGAGTTCTAGCTATGCCTGTTCAAACTCTGAGGTCTAGCTACGCCTGGAAACTGAGAAGCTCTTACTGCATAAAGATTATGTAGGAGAGTTTATGAGCTGCTGGGATACCATCCATTTATAAAACCAAGAAGCACCTATCGAATTGATGAGCTTTCTAGGTGAAGGGGGAAGGGAGGTGGTGCTACTGTAGGTGGCTGCAGGGGCGGGGTAAAAAACTTTTCCTACCACCATTCCGAACCTATACTGTACTGAACAGGCTTATAGTGCACCGTTACGAGACCCGTTCTCAGACTGTTACGAGTGCAATTGAGTGAACGAACGAGAATTGCACTATCGAAGCAAGAGTACAATGAGCGGAGGCATGAGCGAAGAATATGTAGCGAAACTACAGTGGTAACGGTAATGGAATGTGGTTGTCGCGCGACGGGCCTGGGACTGAGGTTGGGAAAAGTGTCGAAGCGGAGGCTCGGAGCGCGGGTTACCCGCCGAGCCGTGAGGTCGGGGTGTGATGTGCGAAGGTGGCGGGCGGATTGTCGATACGAAGGTTGCGAGTGGTAACAGTGCTGACTGTGGTGCTACAGTGATGTACGCGTTGAGCAGGGATGCGAAGTAAGGAAAAGGAATTTTCCTTACACTACCCCCCCGTCTTCCTTACGAAAGTGCGTGTACATCCCTGAAATTTCGGCTGCGCAGATACTCGGTGAGGCCTGGGTGGTTTTCGATTCTGTCCAGGGGAACCCAATTGTCTTCGGTGGGTGTTGTCAGGCATATATGGTATAGTCTGTGTAGGCTGTAGTGAGGCAATTCATATAGGGTACAACACTTTAGGGTTTACTACTTGTACTCCTCATTCTGCTCAATGCATTCATTGCTCGTTTCTTATCATGGTATCAGAGCAGGTTCCCTAGTGGGAACGATTCCTAGGGCCCACCACGATATTTTTTTTCCTGCCCGGAGCGCGCTTCGCTCCTGCCCGAGTCGCGCTCTGTGTGCCCTCCCTACCGTCGCATTTAGCGGCCCCTCTCACCGCCCCTTACGCCGCCCTTTACGGCCCCTCGCGCCGCCCTCTACGGCCCCTCGCGCCGCCCTTACGGCCCCTTACGGCCCCTCGCGACGCCCGTCGCCCCCACCCCCCCCTCGCGGCGCCTTTACGGCCCCTTACGGCCTCGTCGCCGCCCCATCTAGACCCCTTACGACCCAATCGCCGCCCCGTCTGGGCCCCTTACGGCCCCATCGCCGCCCCGTCTAGGCCCCTTGCGGCCCCCTCTGCGGCCCCGTCTAGGCCCCGTGCGGCCCCTCTACGGCCCCGTCTAGGCCCCTTGCGGCCCCTCTTCGACCCCGTTGCGGCCCTTTGCGGCCCCTCTGCGGCCCCGTCGCCGCCACCCGCGGCCCCATCGCCGTCACCTGCGGCCCCGTCGCCGTCACCTGCGGCCACCCCGCCGCCACCTGCGGCCCCGTCGCCACCACCTGCGGCCCCGTCGCCGCCAACTGCGGCCACGCAGCCGCCACCTGCGGCCTCGTCGCCGTCACCTGCGGCCACGCAGCCGCCACCTGCGGCCTCGCCGCCACCTGCGGCCCCGTCGCCATCACCTGCAGCCCCGTCGCCCTCCCCTAGCGGCCACGTCGCCGCCTCTACCGGCCCTGTCACCGATCAGCCGCCTAGCGACCGAGCCGCCGAGCAGCCCAGCAGCCGAGCCGCCTAGCAGCCGCGCCGCCCAGCAGCCGAGCCGCCCACCTGCCGAGCAGCCGAGCCGCCCTGCAGCCGAGCCGCCCAGCAGCCGAGCCGCCCACCTGCCGAGCAGCTGAGCCGCCCAGCAGCCGAGCCGCCCTGCAGCCGAGCCGCCCAGCATCCGAGCCGCCCACCTGCCGAGCAGCTGAGCCGCCCAGCAGCCGAGCCGCCCAGTCGCCGAGCCGCCCTACTGTCAATCCGTGTGAAGAATAAAACGAGAGAAATGAATGAACTATGAAAGAGTTGGGTACAAGTACTAACCCTAATTAGGTTGTACCCCTTATGGGCTACCCCACTACAGCCTACACAAATGTATAAGCTATAATGTTCTGACACACCCCCATAGGCAAAGTGGGGGAGAACAAGTGGTCACAAAACCAGTCAAGCAAAGCAAAGCAAGCTCAAGATGGATCACAAAGTCACCACACAGTCCGAGCATAAGAGTAAGGCCACAAGGCCAGTTCACATGCAAGATCATATATATAAAGGTAAACAAGCAAGTGCAGGTATAGAAAGAGTACAGTACAAACAAGATCAAGAGGTAAGCAAGTGAGGCCAGGTAGGCACAACACCTAGCAAAGTACAGAAGCGCTGATGATCACAAGGCGGAAGGGCCTTGGTGAATATATCAGCAGTGTTGGTCTCAGAGGCCACGTAGGTGAGGCGGAGCTGACCATGCTGCTGCAGCTCACGAGCCAGGAAGTAGCGGAGAGCAATGTGCTTCGTTCTGTGCTCCAGTCTGTGCTCCCGACACAAGGCCAGCATGGCCTTGTTGTCTACGTACAGAACTGGAGGAGAACAAGGCGGCTCTACTAGGTCAGTTAGCAGATAGGTGAGCAAGCATAGCTCTTGTGCAGCCATGGCCCCTGCGTAGATCTCAGCCTCACAGCTGGAGCTGAGAACAGAAGACGAGCGGGTAGACCGCCACGAAACAGAGCCGGAGCCAAGGCTGAAGGTGTAACCCTGTGACGACCGCTGCAGAGCCTGGTCGTCAGCCCAAGAAGCGTCTGCGTGACCTGTGAGGACTACTCGACGTCGCCCTCCAAGCACTAGCCCCATGCCCGACGTACTGCACACGTAGCGCAACACCCTCTTTGCTGCATCCATGTGCTCTGGTCGGTGTCTCCCAGGGGCAATATAGCGTGCCAAGATGCTAAGAGGGTATGCAAGGTCAGGTCATGTGCAGGTCATCAGGTACATGAGGCAGCCAACAAGCTCTGGGTACGGGACACTCGACTCTACGAACTCATCCGAAGGCAGAGCTGAGAGCGAGTGGCGAGTAGACAGAGGAGTGGCTTGAGGCAAGGAGTACGTGAAGCCGAAGCGCTGAAGGACCTGCTGCACCATGTGTGACTGATTCAGGGTAATGGTGCGCTGTGCTCTGTCCCGGGTGATCTGCAAGCCAAGGTAGCTGTGCACTTCACCCTGGTCTGTGCACGTGTGTCTCTTCTGCAGCTCGGACTTCACGTGGGCGAGTCCAGCAGTGTCAGCAGTGGCAAAGACCAAGTCGTCGACGTACACGAGGATGTAGAACGGCGGCAAAGAGGTGTCGGTGCGCAGAAACAGCGACGGGTCGGCTATAGAAGGAGCAAACCCAAGAGCCGCAAGTGTAGTCCTCACTGTGTCGTGCCACTCATGGGGCGCCTAGCGGAGACCGTAGACTGGCCGCCGGAGGCTCCACTGGGTACCAGGGGGAGACGACCCAATGAAGCCAGGTGGGCGGCGCAGCCAGATCTCCTCGTGCAGGCTGCCTTGCACGAAAGATATGCTGAAGTCAAGAGAGTGAAGCTCGTAGTCGCGCTGAGCGGCTATGTGCAGCAGCATCCGAAGAGTGGTCATCTTCGGGGTGGGAGAGAAGGTCTGAAATTAGTCAACTCCCTGCCGCTGACTGATGCCTCGAGCCACGTAACGCGCCTTGAAGACAGGCGGAGAACCCGGCGCCCGCTTCACCCTGAAAATCCACATGCCACTAACAATGTTCGCCCCAGGTGGGGGAACCTCGTCGACATAGGTGCCTGTGGACTTCCAGGAAGCCATCTCTGCGTCCATGGCTGACTGCCACTGAGAGGAGTAGGGACCCTCAATTGCCTCAGCGTACGATCGAGGAGTCGGGATGTCTGGTGCATCCGGGTCTCCCTCACGGGCAATCAGCGTGGACACGAGATGGGGCAAAGCAGCAGCAAAGCATTAGAACTCCTCCTGCTTGTCCTCAAGGACGTCCGTGCTAAGAGTACACTCACCCCCGACGGACGGAGGACAGACAGACTCAGACTCAGCAACGAGACTGGCAGCGTAGTCTAGACGACAGCGAGCAGCGAAATCGACAAGCTCACCAACTAGGGCAGACGCAGCAGTGGACTCAAAGGAAGGGTCAGTGACAACAGTAGCAAGGAGACGTGTGACCGAAGGACTAGCAGCACGAAGGGAGTCATACTCTAGGTCAGCAAGAGTAGGAAGAGAGGACTCTGGAGGAGACGGCAACGGGACACGCAGAGGAGCAGTGGAAGGATGCAGCGCCATCTGGTGTGTGCCGGGGAACGCAGGAGGACGCGGACGCGTAGTACGACCACTAGTGCGAGCAGCACGAACAGGCGACCCAGGACGAGACGCAGGCGCACGACGCTCAGCAAGACCTCCAGTAGGACCAGTGTAGGGAGAAGGAGCAGGTAGAGGGGAGGCGGGCTATAACTGTGACTGCGACTGGACAGGCTGTGGACACTCTAAGGAAGGAGCAGGACCTGGAGAGGGCGGGAGACCAAGAACATGCTCGATGAGCGGAACGAAGTACGGCCTCGGCCGCTCAGCGCCTCCAGAACCAGCAAGGACGGCACCAGTACCCCCAGCGGCAGCACCAGCGCCAGCAGCACCTCCAGCTCCAACAGCGCCAACTCGAGCACCCTCAGAAGCACCAGCGCCAGCAGCACCGCCAGCGCCAACACCCCTAGCAGCTCCAGCTCCAGCAGCACCAACTCCAGTAGGACCGTCAGCTCCAGCAGCCTTAACAGCACCCCCAGACGCACCAGCACCAGGAGAAACACCAGCGCCAACACCCCCAGCAGCTCCAGCTCCAGCAGCACCAGCACCGCCAGCAGCTCCAGCAGGACCAACTCCAGTAGCCCCAGTAGCACCCCCAGTCGCAGCAACACGTCTCCAGCGGCGGGCAAACCACTCGCGCAGCTCCTGTGGAGAGAGCGGCTCCCGCCTCGACATAGCACCGCCGGCGGCCACACGAGCAGACCCAGCGCCTCCAGGCTCCGCACCCCCAGGCTCAGCACTCCCACGCTCAGCACCCCCAGGCTCAGCACCCCCAGACTCAGCACCCCCAGACTCAGCACCCCCAGTCTCAGCACCCTCAGACTCAGCACCCCAAGACCCGGCACCCGCAGGCTCAGCACCTCTAGCAGCACCAGAGTCAGCAGCTACCTCGACAGGCTCGACTGCGTCTACCTGGGACACACCTGACGGGGCAGGACCGTGAGGGGGGAGGGGGTCTACCGAGGGAGGACCTGGCACAAGGAAGAGCGGCGGCGGGGGGAGGGGCGCACTGCGGTAGGGGAAGAGACGGTAGTAAGGCACCGACTTGTCAAAGGTGATGTCTCGGGAGGACAGAACACGGTGCGAGGTGGGGTGGTAAAACTGCCAACCAGGCGCGTCAGGGGGGAAGCCAAGGAAGATGCAGGGAACAGCACGGGGGGATAGCTTGTCCGCAGACAAGTCGCGAACAAACGCCCAAGATCCCCAGACCCGAAACGCAGACGCATCGCCAACCTTCCCAGTCCATCGCAAGGCGGGGGAGGTCTCTGGCAAGGAGACCCGGGGCTGAAGGTTGAGCTGATGCGCGGCGTACTGAACCGCAAACGGCCACAGAAAATGGGGGGCAGCCGCATGCATCATGGACATACGAGCGACGTCCATGACCATGCCAATGCGGCGCTCAGCAATCCCATTTTGCTGTGGAGAGGCCGGAAGCGTGAAGGTCTGGCGGATGCCCTGTGCACGACAAAAGGCTCCCAGACGGGCAGAGGAAAACTCCCCGCCTCTGTCAGAGTGCAGACGCAGATCTAGTCGATCAACACCTTAATGACGTCACCCTTGCTACGCAAGGGGAAGACTGTGGTGTAACGCGAGTAGTCGTCAACCACCAGTAGAAAGTACCGCTCTCGCCCCTGCCCACTGACGCGGGCTGGGCCCCACACGTCCATGTGGAGAGTCTACAGCGGAGCCTCTGTTAGAGGAAACTCGGAGGAGTGAGGGGCGACGCGCTGTCGCCCCTCGACGCAGGGGACGCAAGTAGGGCCAGGCCCCGGCGGAAGGGGAGGGAGAGACCGAAGGAGACCAAAGACAAGGACACGGGAGGCCATGCCTCGGAGACGAGGCAAGGAGGGGTGACCAAGGCGGTGGTGCCAAAGGAGAGTCTGGTGGGACAGCAGACGACACGAGCAAGGGGCAGACTCAGGACCAGACCTGGACGCCACAGCAAACACCTGACTCGACGCAGCTACCTGGGCAAACTCAGCAGGAGGAGGAGACTCAGTCGTAAGGGTGTACAGGCTCGACCCTGGCCGACGGGTGAACGTGGCCAAGTGTCGGCCTGTCCGAGCACACGTGCAGTGGGTCACTCGCTGACTCGGAGGAGTGAACTGGTCAACCCCCCTATCCTGTAGGTCCGCTCCACTCACCAAGTTCGTAGAGAACTAGGGGAGGTAGAGACCAGACAGGGTGCCAGAGGGGGCTGCCTTGCACAGTAGGACAGTGGAGAAGCTAGCAAGGACAGGACCCCTAGAGGGGTCTGCCAGGGAGACTGCAACCGGCCGACTGAGCAGCGTAAGAGTGGTGCGGTCTCGAAAGAAGGAGCGAGATGCACCCGAGTCCAGGGTGAAGGTGTGGAAGGCTTGAGCCGACGTAGTACTTGAGAGAGCAGACTCACTAGCACCTTGGGCAGCAGACGCACTGGCTCCAGGGGCAGCAGATGCACGAGCATCTAGAGCAGCAGCCTCACCAGTACCTAGAGCAGCGGCCTCAATGCCCGAGTCAGGCGTTACACACAGGTAACAGTCACCAGCAACACTAGTATCAACAGCATACATGGCAGCAAGAATAGCATCAAAGTCAAGATCAAAGATAGCAACCCCGGCCTTAGACAGATCTCCCCAGCGAGGGATCTCTGACGCCTCAGGGAACTGGCGATGCCACGCGTCCGTCAGGCGACCAAAGCAGCGCTGGGTGGAGTGCGGGCCTCCGCACTGCTCACCAGCTCGGTCGCCGGTACAGAGGACGTAAGCGCATGGACCAAAACCCCCACCGCACTGACGCGCAGTGTACCACTTACGAAGCTGCTGAGGGGACAGGGTCACACCACTCCGCTGCTACTGGCGCTGAACACCACCGGCGCCACTCCTCTGCGCAGAGTCGCGACCCGCTCCACCACCGCCGCCGCCTCCGCCGTCGCCGCCTCCGCCGCCGCCGCCTCCGCCGCCTCCTCCACCTCCGCCTCCTCCGCCACCTCCGCCGCCTCCGCTCCCTCCGCCACCTCCACTGCCTCTGCCGCCTCCACTGCTGCCGCTGCCGCCGCCACCCCTGGCACCACTCCCACCACCACCCCCACTCCCTCCACTGCCTCCACCACCACCTCCACCGCCCCCTCCAAACCCTCCAGCGCCCTTGCCCCCCTTGCCCTTGCCGGTGCGGCGTCTCCCGCTCGGGGCAGACGCAGCGCCGACTGACTCGAAACCAACAAGGTCGGCCGCAGCAGCAGAGGCAATAGAGGGCAAGAGGGGGGAGGGAGAACACCCCTCAAAGACGGGGGTGCGAGGGTCACCACGAGAGGCTCCTATAGCGACTACGCTCTTCTCTATCGCTAGGAGGGCCTTCTCGAGGAGGTCAACGGTGAGAGTGGTGGGGCAAACTGAGAGGAAGTGGTCCCTGACTACGAGGAGAGAGTTAGGGAGCCGGGTGACTATGTAGTAGAGGGTGATGTACATGGGGGGGGGGGTGCTTGGCGCAGAATTCAGCAGGAAGCGCAGCGCGGTAGCGAGTGTCACTAGTGCGGAGGTGCGTAATGAGGTCAGCGACTGTGGGAAAGGCAGCAAGGTCAGGGAAGAGGTACGGTAGCATGAGGCGGCTCAGTGCAGCAGTGGCAGGGGAAGAGTAGCGTGCAACTACAGCGTCGTACAAGGTCTGAGCACTCTTGTACTGGTTAAAGTGTGCACGCTCAGTGGTCGGTAAGTGGCGGCGCACAGCAAGGCGAGCAGCAGCTTTGCGCGTGGCCCACTGTGAGCGAACACTGGCATCAGCATTAGCAGCAGGGGCAGGATAGGCACCAGAAGTGAGGTCAAACAGGGAGAGTCCGTCTGCCCTATCGCACTGTAGGAAAAGCTGCAGATCATCTACCCAGACCTCAAAGTTAACTGCCCGACCCTCAGCGTCAAAGGTGAGAACGCTAGGGGAGGCCATAACAGCAGTAGACAGGCAGTTAGTACAGTGGGGCAGGGCAGTGCAGTGGCAGAGACTTTGCTCTTACCAGGCAAGTGGGGCGGTTGGGCGGCTCGGCTGCTCGGCGGCTCGGCGGCTCGGCTGTCAGGCGGCTCGGCTGCTGGGCGGCTCATCGGTCGGGCGGCTCGGCTGGTGGGCGACTCGGCTGCTGGGCGGCTCGGCGGTCGGGCGGCTCGGCTGCTTGGCGGTCCGGCTGCTCGGCAGCTCACGCGGCGACGGGGCCGTGGAAGGGCGGCGACAGGGCCACTGAAAGGGCGGCGACAGGCCGCTGAAAGGGCGGCGATTGGCCGCTGAAAGGGCGGCAACTGGCCGCTGAAAGGGCGGCGACGGGTCGAGGAAGGGGCGGAGACGGGCCGAGGGAAGGGCGGCGAAGGGCCGCTGAAAGGGCGACGACGGGGCCCGCTGAAAGTGCGGGCGGCGGTGGGGCCGCTGAAAGGGCGGGCGCCGGGGCCGCTGAAGGGCGGGCGACGGGCCGAGGGAAGGGCGGCGACGGGCCGCTGAACGGGCGGCGGTGGGGCCGCTGAAAGGGCGGGCGACGGGGCCGCTGAAGGGCGGGCGACGGGGCTGCTGTAAGGGCGGGCGGCGAGGTCGTGAAAGGGCGGTGACGGGGCCGAAGGGAAGGGCGCCGACGAGGCCGCGTAAGGGGCGGCGCGACAGGGCCGCAAGGGTGGCGTGACGGGGCCGCGTAAGGGGCGGCGCGACGGGGCTGCAACGGCGGCGCGACGGGGCCGCAAGGGAAGGGCGGCGACGAGGCCGCGTAAGGGGCGGCGCGACAGGGCCACAAGGGCGGCGTGACGGGGCCGCGTAAGGGGCGGCGCAACGGGGCCGCAAGGGCGGCGCGACAGGGCCGCAAGGGCGGCGTGACGGGGCCGCAAGGGCGGCGCGACGGGGCCGCAAGGGCGGCACGACAGGGCCGCAAGGGCGGCGTGACGGGGCCGCGTAAGGGCGGCGTGACGGAGCCGCAAGGGCGGCACGACAGGGCCGCAAGGGCGGCGCGACTGGGCCGCAAGGGCGGCGCGACGAGGCCGAAAGGGCGGCGCGACGGGGCCGTTAGGGGCCGCTAGAGGCCGCTAGAGGGGAGACGACTCGGGGCGCGACTCGGGCAGGGGCCAAGCGTGCTCCGGGCAGGAAAAAAAAGTTGGTGGGCCCTAGGAACAGTTCCCACGAGGGAACCAGCTCTATACCATGTGAAGAATGAAACGAGAGAAATGAATGAACTATGAAAGAGTTGGGTACAAGTACTAACCCTAATTGGGTTGTACCCCTTATGGGCTACCCCACTACAGCCTATACAAATGTATAAGCTATAATGTACTGACAATCCGCTGCTGTTCCTACTTGTGAGCTCACTCCCTACTAGGCCACTGCAGTCATGGCTTGCCCCAGTGTCCTTACTTTTGATGCTGAGGGCCGTGCCGTTGACTTTGAGGTCTGGGTCGATGACCTCCGGCTGTTCCTCCAGTGCGATAGGGCAGACGTCCTCTCTCTGTTCGACCTCACCTCTGGTGCCTCCCCTGCCCCGCCTGCTACTGCTGACAGCACTGTTCGCTCACAGTGGGCGACACGCGATGATGCTGCCCGTCTTGCTGTGCGTCGCCACTTACCGACCACTGAGCGTGCACACTTTAGCAAGTACAAGAGTGCTCAGACCTTGTACGATGCTGTAGTTGCACGCTACTCTTCCCCTGCCACTGCTGCACTGAGCCGCCTCATGCTACAGTACCTCTTCCCTGACCTTGCTGCCTTTCCCACAGTCGCTGACCTCATTACGCACCTCCGCACTAGTGACACTCGCTACCGCGCTGCTCTTCCTGCTGAGTTCTGCACCAAGAACCCCCCCCCCATGTACATCACCCTCTACTACATAGTCACCCGGCTCCCTAACTCTCTCCTCGTAGTCAGGGACCACTTCCTCTCTGTTTGCCCCACCACTCTCACCGTTGACCTCCTCGAGAAGGGCCTCCTAGCGATAGAGAAGAGCATAGTCACTGTAGGAGCCTCTCGTGGTGACCCTCGCACCCCCGTCTTTGAGGGGTGTTTCCCCTCCCCCCTCTTGCCCTCAGTTGCTTCTGCTGCTTGGCCGACCTCGTTGGTTTCGAGTCGGTCGGCGCTGCGTCTGCCCCTAGCGGGAGACGCCGCACCGGCAAGGACAAGGGGGGCAAGGGCGCTGGAGGGGCTGGCGGGGGCGGTGGAGGTGGTGGTGGAGGCAGTGGAGGGGGTGGGGGTGGTGGTGGGAGTGGTGGCGGGGTTGGCGGCGGCGGCGACAGCAGTGGAGGCGGACGAGGCGGCAGTGGTGGCAGAGGGAGCGGAGGCGGCGGAGGTGGCGGAGGAGGCGGAGGTGGAGGAGGCGGCAGAGGCGGCAGCGGCGGCGGTGGTGGAGCGGGTCACGACTCTGCGCAGAGGAGTGGCTCAGGTGGTGGTCCGCGCCAGCAGCATCGGAGTGGTGTGACTCTGTCCCCTCGACAGCTTCGTGAGTGGTACGCTGCGCGTCAGCGCGGTGGGGGTACTGGTCCCTGCACTTACGTCCTCCGTACCGGCGACCGAGCTGGTGAGCAGTGCGGGGGCCGGCACTCCACCCAGCGCTGCTTTGGTCGCCTGACAGACGCGTGGCGTTGCCAGTTCCCTGAGGCGCCAGAGATCCCTCGCTGGGGAGATATGTCTAGGGCGGGGGTTGCCATCTTTGATCTTGACTATGATGCTATCCTTGCTGCCATGTATTCTGTGACTACTAGTGTTGAGGGTGACTGTTACCTGTGTGTACCGCCTGACCCGGGCATTGAGGCCACTGCTCTAGGTGCTAGTGAGGCTGCTGCTCTAGGTGCTAGTGCGTCTGCTGCCCCAGGTGCTAGTGCGTCTGCTGCCTTAGGTGCTGGTGAGTCTGCTCTCTTAGGTACTACGTCGGCTCAGGCCTTACACACCTTCACCCTTGAGTCGGGTGCGTCCCGCTCCTTCTTTTGAGACCGCACCACTCTTACGCTGCTCAGTCGGCCGGTTGCAGTCTCCCTGGCGGACCCCTCTGGGGGTCCTGTCCTTGCTAGCTTCTCCACTGTCTTACCGTGCCCGACAGCCCCCTCTGGCACCCTGTCAGGTCTCCACCTCCCCTCGTTCTCTACGAACTTGGTGAGTGGAGCGGACCTACAGGAAAGGGGGGTTGACCAGTTCATTCCTGCGAGTCAGCGGGTGACCCACTGCACGTGTGCTCGGACAGGCCGACACTTGGCCACGTTCACCCGTCAGCCAGGGTCGAGCCTGTACACCCTTACTACTGAGTCTCCTCCGGCTGCTGAGTCTGGCCAGGTAGCTGCGTCGAGTTAGGTGTTTGCTGCAGCGTCCAGGTCTGGTCCTGAGCCTGCTCCTTGCTCGTGTCGTCTCCTGTCCCACCAGACTCTCCTTTGGCACCATCGCCTTGGTCACCCCTCCCTGCCTCGTCTCCGAGGCATGGCCTCCCGTGTCCTTGTCTCTGGTCTCCCCTGGTCTCTCCCTCCCCTACATCCGGGGCCTGCACCTACCTGCAACCCCTGCGTCGAGGGGCGACAGCGCGCCGCCCCTCACTCCTCCGAGTTTCCTCCGACAGAGTCTCCGCTGCAAACTCTCCACATGGACGTGTGGGGACCCGCTTGCATCTGTGGACAGGGACACAAGCATTACTTCCTGTTGGTGGTTGACGACTACTCGCGTTACACCACGGTCTTCCCCTTGCGCGGCAAGGGTGACGTAACTAAGGTGTTGATCGACTGGATCCGCGCAGCTCGTCTCCAGCTCAGAGAGAGTTTCGGCTCGGACTTTCCTGTTCTGCGTCTGCACTCGGACAGAGGCGGGGAGTTTTCCTCTGCCCGTCTGGGAGCCTTCTGTCGTGCACAGGGCATCCGCCAGACCTTCACGCTTCCGGACTCTCCACAGCAAAATGGGATTGCTGAGCGCCGCATTGGCATGGTCATGGACGTCGCTCGTACGTCCATGATCCATGCGACTGCCCCCCATTTTCTGTGGCCGTTTGCGGTTCAGTACGCGGCGCATCAGCTCAACCTTCAGCCCCGGATCTCCTTGCCAGAGACCTCCCCCACCTTGCGGTGGACGGGGAAGGTTGGCGATGCGTCTGCGTTTCGGGTCTGGGGATCTCGGGCGTTTGTCCGCGCCTTGTTTGCGGACAAGCTATCCCCCTGTGCTGTTCCCTGCGTCTTCCTCGGCTTCCCCCCTGACGCGCCTGGTTGGCACTTTTACCACCCCACCTCGCGCCGTGTTCTATCCTCCCAAGACGTCACCTTTGACAAGTCGGTGCCTTACTACCGTCTCTTCCCCTACCGCGCTGCGCCCCTTCCCCCGCCGCCGCTCTTCCTTGTGCCAGGTCCTCCCCCGGTAGACCCGCTCCCCCCTCAGGGTCCTGCCCCGTCAGGTGTGTCCCAGGTAGACGCAGTCGAGCCTGTCGAGGTAGCTGCTGACTCTGGTGCTGCTAGAGGTGCTGAGCCTGCGGTTGCCGGGTCTGGAGGTGCTGAGCCTGCGGTTGCCGGGTCTGGAGGTGCTGAGCCTGGGGGTGCTGAGACTGGGGGTGCTGAGCCTGGGGGTGCTGAGACTGGGGTTGCTGAGCCTGGGGGTGCTGAGTCTGGGGGTGCGGAGCCTAGGGGTGCGGAGCCTGGGGGTGCGGAGCTAGGGGGCGCTGGGTCTGCTCGTGTGGCCGCCGGCGGTGCTTTGTCGAGGCGGGAGCCACTCTCTCCGCAAGAGCTGCGCGAGTCGTTTGCACGGCGCTGGAGTCGTGCTGCTAGAGCTGGAGGCACTACTGTTGCTGTTGGTTCCGGAGGTGCTCGTACTGGCGGTGTTGGAGCTGCCGGTCGTGCTGGAGTTGGTACTATTGGAGCTGCTGGAGCTGGAGCTACTGGGGGTGTTGGTGCTGGTGTTTCTGCTGGCGCTGGTGCGTCTCAGGGTGCTGGACCTGACACTGTTAGAGCAGGAGGTGCGGCTGGCGC